GTATACACCGAAACGATTTTACACGTCGCAGCACACTTGTGACAGTTATCAAGGTGGCGAATTGAGCGGGTGCGGATTCGCGGGAGGGGCGGCGCCAACGAGGTCGTTCTGAGATCCTACGTTTACCCATAAACCTACATTCCGAGCTGTTCTCCTAACATTACTGGAGGAGCGGCAGTGGGTTCACGTCGGAAAACGGGAAGAAGGCGCATTACTTCGACCCGGGATTCTGACGGTTATATTTCCCTGTATTCATTGCGGTGACATCTCCAGAATTCTCCGCGGAGACGAGACAGCGGTGGTAACATCGTCAACGCCGCCGCCTGAGGTCAGACACAGAAGAGAAAATCGTTTTGGGGAGCTTCATCGGAATTTCGACGCAAGGAGCCGCGCAAAGTTGACACGGATTCGCAGACGTCCCAGTGAACCGTGGAAAGAATGTCCATGACGATCGTCTCAGAAATTGGACAACCTTTCAAAGACCTATTTCGCCAATTTTCCCGACATTGACACGAGGCGAGCCAGTTAGAAAGCTTTAGATTCCTCTGATGTCTGCTCATTGACAAAATGAAAGTACCGGATTTTAGCTCCCATCCTCGTTCAGACAGCTCACAGAATCTCGAGGAATCTGGAGCGATGGCCGCCATCCTCTAGTCGGGAGGGGGGAATCGACGGGCAGAGTTCCAGGTCTCGAGGCTCATCATAAAAATCATCTGGTCGCAGGGCGGCAAGTTTCTCGGTGGAGGGAGCTTCGGATTTCTGCTGGGGCAAAACTGACAGCCGTGCTTCTTGGCCGAAACCCCCTACCCCGCAATGGGGTCACGCGTTATTTGAAGTAGCACGTCGACTTTGCGGAGCACTGTGGAGCCGTGAAATCGGCGGCGGTGAGCCGTCTCAAGAACGGCCACCGAACCATTTTTCCTCGACAGCGCTCAAACAGACTCATCAAACTCCGACCACCTAAGGTAAGTGGAATGCAGAGTCCGACTCTCGGTGGCAGTTCGAAAGAGTGACTGACCTAGCGGTCGATCAGCCTCCGGCTGTATCGTCGCTCGACTGACCGCTGCTCACGACCATCCCACACAGCCAAGCGAGAGGCATACCGTGATCATACGGTCGACATGAACGGACAGGAAGAGCAAGAGCCACAGACTAGCTGATATATCTGACCGGCGAGCGAGTTCTCGAGCGGACGCGTATCAAGGGGGGCATTCCGCCGCCCCCTCCTGACCACAGATATCCCCGCTCGCGATGCTCAAGTATAGGTTTGCACGAGGTGCGACATCGTTTCGCCCTCACTCACCCCTTCTGAACCTTACTCACCCCTACAATCTTTCTGGATAGGCTAGTGCTCCTATGTATCGACCCCGCAGCAAAAAAGCCGGCGAGGGATGAGAGACAGTACTCGCATCTTTTAATGCGGGGGATCGAGGGCCGAAAATCGGATTTTCCATTCTCCACAGTCGCTTCACGCTCGCTGCTCGCGCGCCGCATAAAAGCAACAAAAGCACCCGAACGAAAATTAGCCAACGCAGAAATTTTCCACAGCTGATGACTGAATCTGCCGGCCCTCTTCTTCGGCAATCCACAACTCTACCAGCGCTAGCGTTCAGCTAGCATGGCAGCCGTGGGCTCTTTCGACTGCCTGCTCGTCTATACTGTCTATCTTCCGAATCTTTTATCAGCCTGCTCAACAACCCCATCTTGTAGTGAAGCTCGAAGTACCGAGACGCGTTCGGATGGAATCGATCCAAGCGATGGACCAGGACATCAACAGAAAAAAAGGGAAGGGAACGAAGCAATATTGGTCTTCAGACTTCGGTCATCCGAGGACCAAGTCATCTGCATGCTGAGCGGGATGAGGCTTGATCCCTGTCCGATCGTCTGGTCTGCAAGATGGGAAAACCCATCCGGGGGACATTCGGCTCTCTTTTTCCCTCCAACAAATCGCATTCTATTAGGGAAATCCTACACCATTCAAACCGAATCCTGAATTCGATTGAATGGCATTCCTCCGCAGCGGAGAATGCGGTGTCTGAAGCACCGTCGGCGTCGGCAGCGGATACGGCGGGAACGTTTCATGAAAAAAAAAGCCGAAACTAGCTCAGCGGCCGCTGACTGGCTGTCAGGCAGCGAGCAGGCAGGACGTCTGATTGGTGATTTCGGTTCGAGCCAAACGCTGCTTCTGGATCGCCGCTATACACAGGCTGCAGCTAGCGCCGATGCTGGGGAAGAAGAGAACTCTTCTTTTGCGATAATAAAATTCGCACCGTGGCGCGGACTTGATCGCTGGCTTGCCGATCTTTCGTCCATCCGCTCGCTCGCCCGCCCGCTCGCTTGTGTTGCTTGCTGCGATGGCCGTCCGCCCGGCCAGCCGCCTCGTCGGTAGTGTGGACTACAAACTTTTTTTCTTCCGGATGACGAAGAGAGTGCGATCTAGCGAACCACAAAAATGTCTGTAGCGTAGTAGCTCTGGCTTCGTCACTGACGGCGGCCCTTCCGGTGACGGCGTCGCCATACGGATCGCGAGGGATGACAATCAATGAGAGCTTCTTCGCTCATCCTTTCGCTTTCTATGCCGCGAATTCCTCAATGATGTCTGAATCTTGCGGCTTTCGTTCTCAGCGCAGAATACTCAGCCCTAGTGGTATCAGACCCTGACATCTGATCCCTAAACGATGTCTGTGAGCGATCGCGCATCGTTGAACTTGGAATGAACTTTTATGCTGATAGCACGTGGTATAGCCGGAAGCGCACCATCGTGACCCTATTTTCCCTGTGCGGGCGATCCCAGAGTTTGAGAGAGAAATTAGACTGTAATTCCTTTTTTACGGAGCCCTTTCCTGATGGTCGGATTTGATGATTTGGGGGCAGCTAGATTTCTATTCATTACACCCTGACAAATATAAAAGAAAATGAGTAATTTGAAACGGATGCGCCGATTATATCCAGCGGCTGAGGCCGGGCACTGAGTGAGCCTCGCAGAGCCTTGGACCAGCAGGCTCGCGATATGTCCACGTCGAAGTTCGAAAACGGGTTTCTATGCATCGGAGACTGCCTCGAAGACTCATGCTGAGTCCGCCACTCACAAATGACGAGAGCTCAACTTCTGAAATATCAAATCTTATCTCATCTAAATGGCTGATGTTCAGAAACGTCGACTTCCACGCGCAGTCGTGGAGCTAGCGGAAAGGGGAGAGTGGGCATGGCGAACGTCCGCTGACGGCGACGACGACTGCCTCCTCTATTATAGCCACGCGAAACGGAAGTTCATTCACAGCAGTTGCATGCATAGGAGCAGACCTCACAGAGGACACTAGCAATGCACACCTTCTGACTTCGAGTCGAACTGATGGCAGCAGATATGCAGAATGAGCTGTTCGCGGTATCCAACTGCGACGTTTCGCCTGAAACAGTGGAGACGGAGAGAAGGAGAGGCCAACCGGGATTATTTGGCCGACCGAAGAAGGTGAATACATTCCGTCAGGGGATCGGGTTCGACAAGAATATTGGAGACGGGTCGCGAGAAGCGAATTCCATACATCCGCTCGGTGGTCGCGGGTGTTGACCGAAATCTAGGGCTAAATCTTTGAAACGATGTTATTCTTTCGGGATCGAATAAGATGATAAGCAACGCTGCAAATGATGTCTGGCTCGGTCTCGGGAGTCACTGCTGCTCTTCTCCGTTTTCTGCTTGACGAGCGATGGGGCCTCTCGATCTATCTTATTGAATACGGCATGTTCATTCCATACCTAGGTGTATCCGAAGAGGAAACGTCGGCGTCGGCTCCGGCCTCGCATGCGGGATGCTTGAACAGAAGTCGCAGTATCGGGAGTCGCTGCTGGAGAATTCCGCCGCTACGGAGACGAATTTTGAATTGGAAGAAGCTTGTCGCAAGTCTGGACCGATGTTGCTCGCAACGGTAGTTGAGGAGGTGGAGATCGCCTCCGGAGCCGCAATAGCACGCTCTGAGCTCTACGATTGTGTCCCAGCGGTAATCGCCAACAAATCGACTAATTATCGTACGATAGATCCTAATTCTTCGAAACGAGATTCGTTCATAGAGATTGAGATTCTTTGACGACTGAGGCTTCCCCGAGCTAATGTTATTCAAACTCGCCCATCCATCGATGCACTGCTATGTCTTCGGCTCGGACGATTCGCGGACTTGGCACGATACATGGCGGACGGAGTCACAAAAGAAACCAACCGATCAAAGAAAAAAATACGCTGAACAATGGTGTCTGCCTTGCAAAACGTAGTTACCAAATCCGAATAGTCCCTCCGCAGGAGTCGGTAGCAGCAGGTTTCTTGGTGAGCGAATGTGAGCGTGAGTGTTTGTGTGAGTGTTGATAGAAAAAGAACCGCTCGTCGAAACGTTTACCAATTCAAAGATATCTTTTATCAGCGTCCGAGGACGCACTTTTTTGCGTAACTTTGAGCAAGTATCAGGTTGTGCAAGTCGGGTATGAGCCGAGTTAGCGCTCTTGACTGGAGTAGTCGGGCTCCGTCAGCAAGTGACTTCTCTTCTCGTCATTATATGCTTTTATTATCGAACTCTTGATTTTTGCAGCAGAAGCAACAACAAAAACAACAGCATTGATGCGTCGGACGCTACGCTCCGTCAGTCCCGAGTCTCGTCATTAAGGCATTACCAAATCATCGAAAGTTTGAGCAAATTACCAATCCGATGTTGCCCTCGTCTTCCCCGAAGGTATCACCGCTGTCGCCCCCGCTGTTGCTGCTCCGCGAATGCGCGCAGCTCCACTAAGTGTCGCCACGGCGGCAGGAGCAGCAGGGACACTTTCTTCCTTATAATTCTCCGCTAAAAGGTGGTTAGTGGCACATTGCACAGTTATAAACGGCTGAATCGGAGACCGTTCTCATAACTTATTCTTCCCCGACGTCCCTCTCCGAGCGCAGAATGTATAGGACGGGCCTTAACAATCCACATGTTGGACTTTTTCTCTGAGACCGCGTACTCGGATCGAGGGAAGGTTTAATCATCGGGGGGAGGGGGGGGGGATTCATCTTTTTCTTTAGCGGCCTTCTTGTCTTTCTTCTTCTGTGTTTTCTTTTCAATTGTTCTCGAATCCGCTTCAACGAGCGCATGTCCATACACCTGTCCATAACCGTTCTGAGGCCCATAACCATTACCGTTGGCCACAGGGTGACCGGCTGGCGGAGGAGGAGGCGGCGGACCCAAATCCATCGCCTGCATACCGTCGCCGACGTCCTCAACATCGAAGTCCAAGGCAGCGACCGAGTTGCTCCGAGACCGGTGCTCCTGTCGGATCGAATGACTGAACGCTCGTTCGTTCAAATGGCCTTTCTTCCGGTAGATGCCTGTATTGAATGGAGAGCTTTCCGCTGAACTAGAAGTATTGTGGTGGTGATGATGATGATGATGATGATTATTATGGAGTTGTTGCTGTTGTTGCTGCTGCTGCTGTTGTAGACCCGTTGACGCGGGTTGCTTCTTGTACGCCCGGCTCGACGGACGAGTTCCATGTGCTGTCGCAGGTCGTGGAACTGTACCGTATTGCATGAAATATTGCTCGTGAGGGAATCCACCTGGTTGATAGGAAGCAACAGGACTAATTGGTCGCATGTTCGGTAGATAAACCGGTTCTTCGTAAGGGAAGAGAGGTGGTCCGCGACGTCCTCCGTACATCGCGTGATGCTGAGATGGAGGTGGATACGCTATCATTGGATAGACTGGGTACACGTTGCCGTTCGATTGAAGATCTTTGCCCGACTTCTTACGACTCTTATCTTTTGCTTTGAGCTTTTTCAGCGTATGGAGCTCTTTCTTCGAAATTGGCGGAGCTATTCCCATCATGGGCGCTACACCTTGATGTGGAGACAAACCGACTCCGACCGGATGAGGGAAACCAGCACCACCACCTCCACGCTCCATTGGAGGTAACATGGGCGGTGGCAAAGGAGGCGGAGGTGGGGCACTTGTAGGCTGAGCCAGCTGACGGGGTCGCCGAGAGGCCGTACTATGGATAGACCGTAGAGTTCCCGTGTTGAATGCACCTGTTTCCGTCGGCGGCGAGTATACAACGTCCCGGGGCGACGGACCGTTCCACACTTTGTAGTTATTCGAAATATCGTCGGTGTCGGTTTCGTCGTCCAGCAGGATGCTGTCTTCGTTCGGTGTGTCAGACGTGGAATTTCTCCATGATTGGTCTGATCCGTGGCCGCTTTTCTCTAAGCCCATCGCGCTTTTTGACCTACGGGGCGCCAGCGATGCGTACGGATTCTCTTCCATTTGTTTAGCGTACGTACAATCGGCGTAAGCGTGGAAACAGCATCTGACGAGGGCATTGGCTGCCTGCTCTTTTTTGCAGATGAACGCGTGGCATTCGAGAACTTTGATGCCCGTGGTTCTACGCAGTATGCAGGCGAACACGGGCGGCTGGGATGGACCGGCGTGTCTCGCGAATGGACTGTCGAGAGGCAGGAATTTCTCTACGGCCCGACCTCCTTGCATATTTGGCACGATCACGTAGCGTACTGCCGCACAATAGTGGAGCGTTTCAATGGGGAAGAAACGCGTGTGCTGACGCTGAGACTCGTCTACGTTCTCCAGGAGCAAGCCATTGCTCCATACCGAAAGCCAAGAATCTATGCCGCGGGCCGAAAGGGGCCCGGCCTCCGGGTACAGATCTCTCAGAGGTTCTTGAATGCCTTGAAGACCGTCTTTCGTCACGTGTGGGACGGCCGAGCCCAGGTACAGGACGCGACAACGACAGATCGGAGTCGTAGCCATTATATGTTCCTCCGGGTCGTTCGCTTTTCCGCTTGTTCTTCACCCCTCAGAGCTTGAGAATGTCCACTCGCAGAGTGAGAACCGAGCTAGGCATGTGCTTTGACGCCGCAGATATCCTGGCCGAAGATTGCTGTCCGAACGAGGTCACCACGTATCCTTCGTCTCACTCTGGCTAGATCACGCCAAGACGATCGTCTTTTCTCTCTTCACTAGATATCCTGTCGCTCGCAATGACATCACTCAAGGCTCAGCCTCGGATCTTGTGAGTACACGCCGCCATGAATTGAGTTGATGGCGTTCACCGACAAGTGCCACGAAATCTCCCAAGGGACGAATGTCGTCGATCTCCTCCGGGCAGGCTTCTGGCACGCTGACCGATTGCGAGGAGACACTTCACGCAGAGTTCGTGGACACTCAACTCACTTCGCTCATGTTTCGGTTATTTTCAGAGCAAAAACTAATTGCAGAGGATTTGACGTGACTCGCACAGCTTACGGCGGCCCCGTGTTGAGAAGCGGTCGACAAGCTGAACGCCAAGCCGGCGACCGTCGATGCCGAAGACTGAAGACCGGCCACCGCTAGAGCGCATGCGTAGTACTTCAACGCGGGGTGAAGCGGAAGACGGTCCCGGGTGGCGTGATGCGTTTTCCTTTATCAGTCGCGTTCTCGTTGATCGTCTCGACGACTGACGTAGCATGGAGTTATCTATCTTCGTTCCTTCCGGGGACTTCCTCGGTACTGGGAGACGGGTCAGTGACGAGTGCCCCCGAGGAGCTGCCGGTAGAGTGGTCGAACTCTCTGGAGCGGGAAAAGGGGGTCGATATCCGAGCGATATCCGAATCGATAGCGCTATTCTCGAGCAATGTGACGCCCGATCGTCGATATCCGCGCGAGGAGGCGATCAATCAGAAATCTTGATTTAGTGGTGGAATTCGTTCTGAAATGTTGTCACATTCCATATACGCTGCACACTCTTTCTGACATGGGAAAGAGCCAGAAACGTTCGACGCAGAAATCGGTCAGTTGGCTTTCTTCGAGGCAGTAGAAAATTGCTTTCTCCGCTGACTGGATTCTTCCTTTACTATTCGAGACGGAACCCAAAATACCCACGACAAAACTCCCTGTTATGCAAAGGTTACATTCAGTGCAATTCTCTCCAAGTCATTGTCGATGCACCACACGCCCCGTCGCACTGATTTCATCATGTTAGGATAAGGGATAACATTCCATCGGACTCCCGCGCCCGACCTCCTTCTCAAGTCGTCGTATACGACCTGGAGCGACGGGCGCCTCTCGGGAGGAACCAGACCCGGCTGGACCCTCTGAGCGGCGAGCCGACTAGGGGGCACGACGGCGATTCGCTCGGAGCACAGCCCGCGAGAGAGCTGGACGTCTTCACATCGAGAGCGCCCGCAGACTTTATGCTCGACGAAGCTGGAGCCTCCTTGCTCATTTCAAAGATGCTATCCGCCTACTTTGGGCAAACCCCGTCGGTGCGCTCGACCCCTCATACTTTCCCGTGAGCGCACGCTCAGGGAGGAGACTTCATGGTTTCTCGACGTTCCGCTTCTTGCTAGCCCCGGGTCAGGAAGAATCTGAAAAGCCACTTCCGACTAGACGCACTCTCAGCATCAATATGTGGATCATCCTAAGGAGCTTGAGTTCTCTCGGGGACGTCTCTCGGGTTGGGGAATCGTTCGACAAGACCACTTAACCAGAAGAGCCTCGCATTTTACACGAAACCTCTTATTCTATGATCTCGTCTTCCGATCTCAGGCTGGTGATCTTTGTTTTGACGCTGAGCTCGGAGTCGGAATCTTCTCGAGGCATTATCCGTTGACGGAGTGAGATCTTTCCGCGACCATCTCCATTTATTGGCAAAATTCCCTTCTCCTCGATGACTCACGAAGGTCTCCACGAGCGTTGTAGCGAGTGACCCGTGGCGAAACAACGATATTCCGACGTCATGTCTCCCCCTACCTTGGACTGAAGAAGATAGTAATTATCACGGCTTAAGGAGGGGCCAAGAACCGACGATGATGATGAGCCTTAGGATGAGCATCATCATCATCATCGGAGAACCGAAAAGGTTCACGTCCGACGAGCGGACTGCGAACGAACAAGGAGACCCTGAAATCGGCGGTACTGAAACTAGAGGCTATTCCTCTGACTGCTGGAAGAATCCTCTCGTACAACTCTCCGGTTCGCTGTCAGAGCACCCTACCTCAAGAACAAGAAAAGCGGTTTAGCATTTCCAATATTTCATTTATTATCATCTCTCATCGCCATCATCATCGCCGCGTAGTAATAATCATCATAATAATGCTATGATAATAATGTCGCGACTTTGCTGTACACAAAAATGTCGTTTCCCATGCATACTTATCACTTATCACCATGAACTTCCTCCAATATAGCCTCCGCGGTTCTGTTCGATTCATTCCACATAACTTGGAATCATGAAGGTAGTAGTAGTAGTAGTGGTAGCGAGCAAGATACTACATTGTGACGAGCGTCTCAGACTCCGATTCTGCCATCTTCTTCCACGTTGCCTGCCTCCGACTTTCCGTCCCCACGATATTCATATACTGGTACTTATCGAACAAAATACCAGTGAATTGTGATGAATGTGAACCCTAGTCAGCGTCCCCCGTGAAACTCGGTGCATCAGCCGATAGGAGAGAATCGCGACTCAATTACAGAGTAAGTCATCCGTCAGGCAAATACCTCGCCGCGTCCACATATTCGTTTCGTGTGACGGTCAGAAGCCTGCTCTAAATCGGCGCTGATCTTGCAAGGGTACGAGAGTACAATCCCCACGGTTTGGCTTGCTTCACGATAGCCCCGGCCCAGCATGAAGGGTGAGGATTGAATAGCGCTTCCAGCTGAAGGATTAGGATCGATTTCTGCGAGAGAGGCACGTGAAGAGGGAGATGATGATTTGGCCTCGGACGGCCGCATTGCCGGTCAGTACAGAATGTAGACCCGTATTCGAATCCAGTGGAGTCAGCTGCTGATTCGTTCGCGTTGAATAAATTCATATATAATTTGGACCAGCCTCGACAGCGTGTCGCGATTCAAGAGCAGCTCGAGAAAAGTGGAGGAGTCCTCGCTTCGGTGATGATGTGCTCGTCGCTGTCCTTTCTGCGTTTTCTGAGGCTGTTGATCATGCCAGCGATGGTGTTCGTACCGCAACGCTCAGAATCGGGACAGGGACCAGACAGCTACGCAATCTCATGAAAGCTTCCGCGGCATCGAATGTTCTTTCACCGCTTGCGCTCGTATCGTCTTTTGGAAATAGGATTGACTGAACTTCCGAGATTTTTGTGTAATGAGTACCCCATCTCGCTCAGCGACGGCCGATTGTTCTGATACGGAGGAGGCAAAGGAGGAAGTGGAGAGAACGTTGAGGGCATTGAGTATCTGGGGGAAGTTGGAGTCTACAGGCTTTCAGGGACGGGGATGCGGTCACAACTCTGCACGAATTCGCGCTCGCTAATCTCACTTTTTTCGTCGTCTGGACCTCGTTCCACGTGAACGATTCGTTCTCGTCCCCGTGATGCCCCTCATCGTTCCGTATTCCAGACTTGGTTATTTTTCGCAAGAGTGCGCGTCTCAGCTAGGATGTCCCGACTTCGAAATACCGAATCTCTTGCAAGACATCAGTGACGATCCGCTGCGAGCGATCGATCGCTTGACGCAGGCAAGCAGCGCTCAAGGCCGCTCCAGCCAAATGTCTGAGGAGATTTTCGCTGATATTCTTACTATCACTCGTTCCCAGAGTGAATACCGAAGGAGATTTTTTTTGTTGATCTCATCGATGAGCGGGTTGTTTTTTGGGCGGAATTCTGCTACGGTCTCTACATCCCCGTCCAGCCGACTGCATGCCCTTTCAGAGTTGGAATATCTAGAAGGAATAGAGAATCGACTCATATCTTCAGAGCTTCTACACGGAGCTGAAGGTCGCCAGCAGGCCGGTGCAAACCCCCGCATTTATTCATGAAGTTTCTTCATCCGAAGGTAGAGCTCAACGAATGAGCTCGTGGCAAGGAGCTCCACGTGCCCGTTTCTGCAGCGACAGTCCCCTTACGCGATTCGCGACAGCGAGATGTCCCGGAGAACTTCGCCTCTCTGCACTTGGCGCACAATGGAGAGGAAATCGCTCAGCGGACCGAGTCAAGATGACACTCGAATGTGGTAGATAAGAAGGCGCCACATGGCTCGTCGAGGAAATTCGTTCGCTTGGCTGGCACGATATCCCCTACGGTCGAGCACGTCGGCGTCGTGATTCCTTGGTTATTCACTTATAGAAAAAAAGGATTTGCCGGGAGATCCGAATGAGTAGATAACGAGATGGAACTCGTTTCTCAAATGATCGAAAATCAGACGATAAGTACCGAAGCGCTCCCTTGAGAGATCTGATGTTGCAGACTTCCACATCATCTCTAGAACAACCGAAACAATGGGAGAGAACAGGACGGATATCTATCTGTTCATTTTTATCGATAAAATCACAGAACCAAGTGAAGATTCCCGCGTCAACTGTATAGATCACGGAATAACGTACACAAACTCTTCCGAAGTGTGGTGATCATGGATGCTGTCGCATTGCCATCGCTTCTGATCTCAGCATGATTAGTCTGAAGCAAACCCTGAGGAATGTTTGGTTCACTGATGTCAAACACAACTCCTCTACGGCTACCGGAATTCCGATTCTGCATTTCAGGCTATGGCTTCTAGAAGACCGGGAAAATCCTTGCTCTCTTCCGAATTGCTCGTCATTGGTCGAGATCAGGGTTCAGGATGTAGGCTGCGGTGAAAGGTGGAACCCTGATCTCAGGGTAGACAGGGTCCAAAATTATACTGTATACGACGAGTGAAGTCCCCGAGTCTCCGAGGTGAAATACGGAGCAAACGCCTCAGGAAGAAGCGCGCAGTTGAATGTTGAGTTCATTGTTCCTTACTTTGATCGGCTGGCGACGTCCCTGCGACTTCCGTCCCATCAGAATACGGGGTCGGGAGGATCTGATACGGAGGATTGGTCGCCTAATGGCAATCAGGGGCTATTCGATTGCAGCGGTCATTCCTTGGTGGGGAAGCTTTCTAAGGTTCCCCTCCACTTGCTCCGTGACGGGCAGCAGCTCCGACGTCGGAGGCGCCGACGTTCTGTCACCTCAACTTTGTACTTCGTTCCCTTATCGAGGGCCTCAGATCGGAAAGTACTCCCGGCTGGGCTCATTCGCCAGACATCCCTCTTCATCGGAAATAAGGCCAGGTGAGGGGAAGGGCATGAATAATTCGCCCGGCGCTGCGCGAGGTTTTCATTTGCATCATAGCTGCGACGATGGACGCCCAAATGTGCGGTCGAAAGCGGTGCTCAGCCCCCGCAGACAATTCGAGCCGTAATCCTCATCGACTCGAGGCTTGACGACAAACAATAAGCGCCCAAGCCGGCAGCCCGATGTTCAGTACATCGTTCGATGCCCCTCTGGAATATCGATGATCGAAATGACAAATCGAAACTTCTCTCGACTCCGTACCGTCCCTTCGGCCAACCCGCTTGCTTTTTGACTAGACGTTTGAATGGCTTATATATAAACTGGGTGGAAGTGTAGGGAGTCAGCCTGATGCTTCCTTTCCGCGCTGTTCGGAGTGCAAAAGCTCTGGTAGTTTAGAGCGATCAGAACACGGTGTAGAGAGAACTGACTAGATTCAGCGATATACATAGATTGTCAGTCCCAAAGTTCCCCGATCGATAAATGCGTCAAAAATCGTCGCAGGTTAATCTGCAAAGCATTTCATTCACCGCATTCTGTCGTGCAGTGATCACACCTGCTTCTCGCGATGTTTCCTATAGGGGGAAACCATCGTCACGGTCATCGTCGTCGCTTAGCTATTCAGTGGAACTGTAGGATTCATCGCTGGTGACTGGATGAGACTAGGCATACTGTCAGGGTTTGGCTCGACCGACTAAAAGCTTTTTCACGCGACGCTCTTGTCCGCCTCGGATAAATCTTTTTCAACATCGCAGAAATCTACCGTACTCATGTTTTATCTAAGAAGGCATTACTGTTGACTTGTTTTTCCTATCGACGGATCGAAGCTCAACGCCAAAGACCCGCGAGAGTACGGGGGCTACGCGTCGACGTTGTTCGGAATGGGAGCCGCCATCGAGCAGTTGTCCCCGATCTTATGTTTGTCAATCTTCGGTGGTGCTGTCGCTGATAAAGGGCTGTTCAAGCCGTGGTGGGCATTCGTGAGGAGAAGGAACGCGTAAACAACCACTCGAAATGACTTCTGGGTAACCGTTGTCCATTGGGAGGAGGTGAAAATGCGGTTTTCAACGACTTCGATCGAGCATAAATTACTGAGAGAGCATAGAGCGGAAAAAGCGAAAGTCATAAGTGGACTTTGAAGACCATGAGTTTTCATTTGAAATTCACTCGGTGATAATGAGCTATGTATGTACTCTATGAACATGTCGACGCGCATACCGTTTCCAGAGTCAGCGACAACGCTCTCTGCCGACCGTTATTTCGTCCAACATCCACCTGGAAACGTTTGCTGGGTACTATCTATTGACTTTGAGAGTTTGAGACTCTTTTTCCACCGCTCAGAGCTAGCGACGAGAGCTGACGTCGAGCGGGGCCGGCCATCGCTCAACAAGATCCCTTCCTCTGTGGATTTCACGCACGATGGCGATGCGCAAATGTGTGTGTATGTGAATCTCGAGTGAGCCTTCCAATCGATGATTCGCGGTGCGAGCGCATAGGAATGCGCTCGTGATCCACAGAGTTTGGGAATGTCGCGCTATGGCTTTGTACCTTGGCTTAAAGAATGGCTATTAGTCAGTTTACAAACAGGAGCACTCATCAAAAAATGTTTGCTTTGTTTTCGACGAGCCAATCGGACTAGGCGTGTGTGTATGTGAATGAATCATATCGAAGGCAATAATGAAGAGATCGCTTGTATGATCGCTCCGCCTTACTGCATCTCCGGAGAATCTCGAGATAGAAGTCGGGCGAGCAGCTCTCGATAGGTAGCTTTGGTGTCATCTTCCTCGGCCTTGTGAAGCTCGATTCCGTTCCCTCGGATAATAATCATTCGTACCAAGAGCTCAGTAACATTGTCGTGATTGAAGAAGGTTTCTAGGCTCCCCACCCAAGCTGGTGGCGAGTAAGAGAATTAGGAGGAAGAGGCAGAACCCTGCTTGGACTCCCGAAAAAAACTCCGGCAGCCCCACGACTGATCGCCGGGGCATGACTCCGTCGCTGATCAATTCGACGACTCGCTGCCTAGAATCGATCTCACGAGCCGACGATCACGGTCGAGCATGCCGCGCCAACAACAGCGAGCTTGGATTTGTGGGCAACCGCAGAAATCCTCCTTTTCTTGGTCGAGGATCGAAGAACGCCTCGGCCGACAGCGATCACGTCGCGATAGCGATAGGATCCCCCAGCTTTCTACATATATTCTCAAATTGAACCGACTCGCGATCAGCGTCTACGATCCGTACCGCTGAGCGAAGATGCAGAATGACGCAACTGAGGTCACAACCGAGATATACGACGCGGCGGAAACGTCGTCATTTTGTCGCTCAACCGTGATTCCTGACATTTCCATCGACCTCCGATCACGAGCAATCAGAGGTCGATCGTATGGGATCAGAGAGGAGGGGTCTTTCTCTCGAATCCGACAGGGATTATAGAGCTCAGATGCACAGAGGAACAAGCCGAGAATCGTCATTCTCGATAGGAAAGAACACTCGTAGCCATTGCGATTGACATTATTCCCGATCACAAAATATGGCGACGACAGAGAATATCGGGTCAGGAACCCGGTCGGCGTCGTCGGGAGGATTCCGTTCGAGCTTGGCGGCCCTTCTTTCAGAGAGGGAGAGCACGCAAGACCTCCGGGAATTTATCCCTCGATCGAAAGGCTAATCCGCCGCAATCGCAAGAACAAAACTTACTGAAAAACTTTCAAATCTGCACTTCGCCGTGAGCTCGCTTGTTCGTTCCTTATAATTCCTCCTGCCGCTAGGATACGTCTCGAAATGGCGGACTCGACCTGCATTTTGAGCCCATAATAATCGGAGCTTAATGCGCTCAGACATATTTGTGTCCTTGAGAAACGAAATTCGAAATCACGCTCGCTAGGGCACCCACGCACTCATGCATCCACCACCGACCCAGCAGCACTGGATCAATCACTTGCTATGCTACTCACGTCAACATCCATTCCATAAAAGTCGATTTCACTGGTTCTTGATGGGTTCTCGTCGGGGATGTTCTGCAAGAGCCCAGCGGTGGCTTTATCGAAAATACTCGAGAAACACTGCGTTCGAGAAACGCGATGAATACAATCGACAGACGGCACATCTCCTGCTGACGATGTGAGCAGAGATAGTGGCGGACCACGTCGTCGTTGATAAGCCCCGCTGAATCCGTTGGAGCTCGGTGAAGCTTGGGATCCCCATGTCTGGCGGAATCATTCCAAGTCCCCAAACGCAACACACTTGTACTATCGTTAATGTGTGGAGCATGACGGGTGGTTGTAGTTCGAGTGAATAAGTGCTAGCTGCCGCATTGATTTTTTTTGTTGGTTTCGATACCGACTTTCTCTTGACGCTTGCTTGCTTTCTTCCTCGCTCGCTCTCCTGGTGCCGGCTCACTCGACATGATTCGATTCTGTATTTACAGCTCGGCGAGGGGGCGTGGCACAGCTCCCAGAGCAGGGAGTCGAGGGTGGAGGACGTCGACAAGCTTGACGGCACTAACGACAGCGACTTGGGCAAGGACGCCGTCGAGGACGACCTGTCGTGTCGGATCCACTCCGACCCTGCCCACTTGGTTCGCCCACTCGCCGACCACCCTGCATCGCCGCGACCGTCTCTAAGACCAGCTCGCAGACTAAAAGATTTCGGAAAAAACGACGCTACGCTCCCTCACGATCTCCCCTATGTACACATTACTTTTACGCGCTTCTTATTCTGCACTATCAGTATCATAGACGCGTCGATCGGAATCCGAGCCATCCTGCGCAACATCACCAATCATCGATATCATCATGCGGAACCAGATATCTTTGTAGGCAAGCTTAATCAATTTACTCATCAGAACGTCATGAACCGGAGTCCTTGTTTGCGAATTGGTTACGAAGAATCACAGCGAGATTCCGGACCGAGCGAGAGCTTGCTCCGCCGTCCATCCATTCGTGCGCCGGTCTGTCTGGCTGACCGACCGTCCTCCTGTCGATCAGCAGATCGATCATTATCCTCTCGGCCCTGCGCCTCCCTTCTCATATGTCCGAGGGCTAGGCATTCATTTGTTTTATGGCACTCCATCCATCCATACGCTCGCTCGCTCGTCGGCATCAGATCTGCGCATTCGTATGAGCGATCGCTCATCCTCACGTACGTTGATAGGATTACGCTCCAGGTACGACGACGACGATCCTCTTCGTCCAAGGTATTCATCAAGACCACCTGAAACATTGGCCTCTCCGTTCACTCCCTGCTCTTGGCAAGGCACAACAACAGACATCGAAGCGAACGAAGGGCGGAAAGCACATCTCATCAGAACACGAGCAACATCGACAGGCAGGTTTGCTTGCTTGGACGCTCAGTGGCAACGATGAATTTAGGGGGTTGGCCAACGTAGCCCGCCCATGTGTATGCATGAACAAGGACGAGCCACCCTGCACACCGACCGCGTCGCTCACACAGGTCTCTCAGAGACACAATTGGCTGAGCGACGGGTAATGCAAGATTGGGAACGCTCTTCATCACTGACCGATATCCTCGACCCAAAACGAGATGACCCGCATTCGATTCAGGGCAGGAGGGAATGAATGAAAATCGATCCCGTGGACCCGGGTGAGGATTTGGGGATCGAAACAACTAAACGCATGAGGAAACAGAAATCATTCACGTGTCGTGAGTCGAGGACGTCACGCGCAAAATCAAAAAAGATCTAGCAATGAAGAGACGGATGTATCGACATGGAGGATTGCAAGCAACATGTCAGTCAGATGTCTTCGAAGTCAAACCATTTACGCTACACCGTAGTCGGCGGTGTAGCGTAGTCCGTTTCAAAATTATTCGATTCGCTTATGGACTGACCGTCGCCGAGCTTGAGGCTCCGATCCATAGGCGCATCATTTTTGAAAATGAAACTACATTCTATATCAGATCACATGAGCTCTCCCAAAGAAAATCTCAAAGGGGCAATCGAGAGTTTCCGATGGGGGAACTCGGGAAGATGCAGCACTTGAAACAGAGCCGAAACCGATAGGGTGTACGAACCTGATGGTGTCTTTTTTCGGTGGTTTGGGCTCTTCCTGGGTTGGGTCAACGGTCATCACCAACATTTCGATTTGGTGTACTCCTGGTAAGTTTGAGCCCCCGATCGAAGGAGTATCAGCGTCGAAGTGATCCAGAGGGACTCGCATGCATACTAAGTTCCATTTTTTCAACAATTTCTCCAGGTTGTATTCCGCACTGTCGAATATCGAATCGATTAAGATCATGGAGGGTTCGAATCGAATTAGTGTATCGATAGGTTCGAGTACAGAGCTAGAGTCGCCCCGGGAAAAGCCTTCCGGACAGGAGTAGCTACGACTCTTCGAAGAAAAATAAAAAAGCTCGAAAACAACTCACTTCCTTAGCTGGTAGGTCGCCCAGAAGCGAGCGTGTTGATTCTGATGTAGCAGGTAACTTGCAGTGACGATGACATTTTCGAAATCTTTCGGTTCGTACAGTATATCACTTCCGAGGATGAGATCTAGAGGACCGAGTTCAAACAGTGATGGCGTAAAGGCGCCCCACGTCACACCCAGGACGGGAACCTGGAAGTGGACAATGCTTGATTAACGAGGGACAGTCCGACTCGAAGGGAACATGGCTCGCCGACGTCAATCCGAGGTTAGCTCCTACCTCCGTGGTAGATAAGCCATTGGCTTCTACGTTCCTCTGGCAGTGTTTAAGGCAAATGGGCAGGTTGGCCGAATCGGAGAGCGTGACGCGGGCACCCAAAAGGGCAGCGAGGATACCGGGAAGACCGGTACCGCATCCCAGCTCTATGACACGTTTGCCCTGGATGAGAAGGAGAGCCGTCACTTCGGTGAGATTACCCCAGTATTTACGGAGGCGACCCGCCGCGAGACAGCGCACCCATGTTAAGAGGGACCCCGCACTCACCTTCACGTGATCACGATAAAACCAGATGTACTGAGCAAGTACTGGTGCGCAAGGCCAAACGTACAGACCATAATTGGCGTCCGCCAGTTCGATGATGTTGACACACACGCATTCCTGCAAGGGGCAAGCGAGACATACGACTACCGCACATCTTCCGATAGCCTGATAAGACCGTTGAAGACGATCACAGATTCGAGTCATTGAAAGCATAATGCTCCTATATACCTTGGATGATTCGAACACGAACTGTCTCGACTTTCGATTCTTGTCTATCGGAACCACAGAATTTACGACGTCGGGTGGAACGCCACCTAGAGTGGAGGAGAAGTCGCTTTCGGTGAGAGCTCAGCTTCCAGAAGAAGCCCCGCAGGAGGAGAAACAGGACAGGAATAATTCGAGTCTACGAGGGCCGGGCTATCGCGACGATTTCGCGACGTACCTTTCGAATGTCGACGTTGTGAGCTCTGTGTGACTGCCGTATTCTGGTTGTCTTGTTTATCAACCCAGTGCTCTCTATCGGACCGGTCGCCGTGAGCCGCTCTGTCTCTTTCACGACTTCGATGACTTCGATGGCTTCGACTGTTTGATGAGGACGAGAATAATTTGGCGTAAGACAGTCTCGTTCAGCACAGTTCTCCGTAACATGAATATATATGTATTTACACACATCACGACGAGGAAGTCCCGCTACCTTCTATGATGCTGATCGGACGTTGGTTGTCTTTCTACGCCGGGAGGACATTGAGTTTCGCGCTCCTCGGATACTACACGTGATTTGGAGCTCCGCTTCCGGTCACGACCGCCCACCGGAGTACCTGCGAGCCCTGCGGAAAGCCGAGTGAAGTGCGCCCATTAGTTCCAAGTTCAGCTGATGTCGATGGGAGCGTCGCGGTCTTCCTCAATGAGAGCTATTAGTTCAGGGTTTGCTTCGCCGACGTGCGACGCTCTTCGTCGAAAACCATCACCACGATGTTCCGCCTTTCAGACGCCTCGTCCAGCTGACAAGACACTTGCTCGATCGTTCTGGCGCTGCAAGACCCCTTGCCGGCCAGCGCGATATTCTTGCAGCGAGCCAACCGCCACGCCGTATCCCCGAGGACCTCATTGACCCTCTCCGCTACCGAGCGGCGACTCGTGAAAAGACTCTCTTCTCCAAGACGGAGTCCGAGTTGTCAAGAGCCGAAAATGAGGCGTCGAGGAGAATCACTCTATTTACTATTGCAGCGACTCGTGACTACACGGGCTGAGGGGAACACAGGCCTTAGTCAGTCAGGCATGCGGAGTCACCCGTCTCATGGGAAAAATTCTACCCCATGGATTGGGCCGAGCTTCAGTTCACAGAGCGAATCAATCTCATTTTGACGTCTCACTCGTGGAATGAGAGAATGGTCGGACCAATCTGCCGCCAGAGCCACACCTCAAAATGAGCCAGTCCACGACTTTCGATGGTCTAGCTTTTCCGGGAACTGCGAGCTCCCCTCGACAGGGATCCGAGTGCGCCAGCGCGGGGTCAAGCCGAGCGAAAATAATGAGCTGCAACCCCCATCGCTCGCAGGAGCACAAGGAGCCTATGCGACTAACAGGGGAGGCAAGCAGCTGAGAAAGCGGAGGGAAGCAGACTTGGGAAATCCCTTGTTTCGAATGGAAGAGAGCATAACAACTTTTCGGGAAATAGCATATTCCGAATCATCTCCTAGAGTGGGGCTCATTCTCGTCTGCTCGTGAGTTCGAAGCCCTCCTTCCAAGAAGGTTCATTCCCGGTTTCCTGGCAAAACTACTCTTCTTCGTCGCGTTGTACCCGCGCCTCGGAGCCTTCCCTTCTCTCATTGAAGCCGATTCATAAACGATGCGGGAATATCACTCGTAGGATTTTCGAATGCATCGAGCATGTGGAGTCGCAGCACGGATCCGCGCGGACCATACGTCGTTGAGAGGGTTGCTTCGACGCAAGCTCGTCGGAGAACTCGTCGACGTAATCGCCGGCTCCGCCACTCACCCCAGGCGTATCTTCCGAGCCGATACTCGCAATGATAAGCGTGACATCCACTAATTGTCGTGCCAAGAAAAAAATGCGCACCTGGTGGGTCGAAGTCCTTGCTCGCGCCCCCCGCCATCCGCCGCTCAGTGGACTCCGTCAGGTGTCCACTGTCCCTTGGAGAATGGCTTCCATCTCCATCTCATTATGAGCTCGTGGGCCATGCAGCAATGGGGCTGTCGTCCGATCCGTTATCACCTGACAGCCACCGCCATGGTTTTTGAATCCTCCGCGTGCGTTTCGTTCCTGGAGCACGAGCACGGAAATGGTGACCACTCCGACGAGCAGCAGCTCCCGTTGCGGCAGCAGCAGCAGCGGTACGAGGATAGATGAGTCTACTACTGGAACCACAGACTCGTACACTGCCAACGACGACGAGATTCCTAGCTTTGCATCGGAGAAGCCGCTGCCGACGACAACAACACAGATCCGCACTTTGAACGTCGTCGCAACCAACTCTGGCACAACCACTGGCGCCTTCTCCTCCACCGAGAACGCTGAAACTTATCCCACCACCGTGTTCCGCACGACGTCGACGACGACGGTGATGATGATTGGCGGCAGCAGCAGCGGCACGACGACGACGACGACGTCGAACAGCAGCGCGATCAGCGATCTCTGCTGGTGCTGCTGCAGCACGGGTTCCGCCGCCGAGCGTTGTCGTTTGCGCCGCGCTAGCCAGCTCGGTACGCTGTGCAGCCGCGGCAGCAGCAGCAATTACATATCACGTCTTCCTCAGCGACCGCAACCAACGACATCGTCGCCGAATTAATTACAACACCTCGACCAGCTCTACGACGACAGTGACGAAACTGCACATAGCGCTGGCCGCCATCTTGTCTCTCGACTCTCGACGATGGGCTCTTCTCTCCTCTTTTCAGCCAGCCAGTTAGCCACTGCTGCCAGCCAGCTCTCAGCCTCCTCCACAAGGACCACCGCCGCCGCGCCGCCGACTTCTCCTCCTTCCCGCTAATTTTACTCTTTCTCCGACGGAGACGGAGCCGCCTGCAACCCGCCGCTGTTCACCACCACCAGGACTGTAGCTCCCGATGCTAGCTCCGATGTAGATGGTGATACCATCGCCGCGGCCTCCATCCAATGCCTCGCTGCTCGGCTCACGATTGCCGAGAGACTCCTACTCGGCGTGCTGCACGCTGCCAGCCAGACCCTCCCTCGCCTATTTTGTTCTCTCCTCTGCCGCTAGGATCCGGGTCCCGCGGCTGAATATCTAGCGGGTTCGAGTGGGGGAAAGTTGTCGCTGCTGCCGCTGCAGTCGACTGGCGCAGGGATAAACTGTTTAGGAAAAGCTTATCTGCTCCTCGACTGATCGAATAAAACAAGCCCGAGTACGGGCCGGCCGTAGGGATTAACTGTCTTGAGGATGATATTATCACAAAGCGAGGTGTGACTCTTCCCGGATGTATGCCAGGAACTTCTTGGAATCGGCTCGGGTCCCCGTCGGTCGGGGATCCGAGGCACATTACGCGAGCAGGTGCCGTCTATTCCGATCTGATTCGACTCACTCAGATGCTAGCCTACGGCAGTAATAACTGTTTCGTCGTGAAAAAAGGTATTCGTCAAAAAACCCAAGAAGAAGGGCTAACGTAATCCTGGCGTGGAATCTCAGGTCGCAAGGAGAAGTCACTCGCTCGCTAGAACCTCTTCTCCTGTTGATTCGATCATTGAAATGGAGAGAATGGAGGACATGGTAATGTAACAATTGTAATGAAGTCTTCATTCACATATGCAGATCCGATCCAGAGGAAGCTCTCGGAGGTGTTATGGCGCATGCTGTTCTGCGTTTGGAATAGATCCTCTCTCTCACTTTCGCAGTTGCGATCCGCGACTTCCTTCCAATTAGTCGCTTTCGGAGCCACGATCCCGTAGGGTCTGGATCGACTGGATGAGTCTGCCCGACGATGTTCATGCGCAGATTGTGCTGCGTTGATCTGATGCTGAATACGTTCACCACTATCCTTCCGGAATTCGTCAGGCGATCCGTGATGCTCGAGAGAAATTACTCGTACAATCACCAAGACCGCTCCACAAATTTTATTGCATGAAGGACATCCTCTCATAGTGGGGGGCAGGAATAGACGACATATGTTGATGGGTTATTGAAACAAATCGTCAACGTAGAATCGTTGTTGAAGCTCGCCAGAGTGGTCACCGTGGGATCGCTCCGGAACGCGATCGACGAGATCACAACAAAGGGTGCGTCCGGGACGAGACGGCGAGCGGCGACTGCTAGAGCCTGCAGACTCGCACGAGGAATGAATCCCGCCCATTGCGCCGCAATAACATTCATCTGCGCATTGCTGTCCCGTATCTGGAATAAGATGGTCCCTTATAGAGTGAATCGAGACTTTGACGAAGATGCAAATGTCTGACCGAGCGTCCGCTTGTTCCGGTGGCGATTAACTCACGTTCATGTCTCCTCCGGCTGAGATGACCCCAGTCCAGTCGAAAAAACTCTGATCAAAGTCGTTCGGAACGTCTATATTGAACGACTGCTGATAATTGAACCTGGAAAAACCCACATAATTGATATTCAGAAAGTTGGCGAGCCGGGGCCCGAAGAGCATTGATCGATCGATTACCAGCAAAATGTTGTCGGATTATCGACCTGCATGAGCATTTTTTCCACTCAAGATCGGTAACTCTTTCGATCAAGAACTGCATGGGCGAGAAAGGAGAGATCTCAGGTGTCGGAGGCTCCCAGGAGAGGAGCACGTCGTACTTGAGATCGCATCGACTGGCACAGTCGAGAACGCGGTCGTAGACCTTACTGCCTGGATAAAACTTCGGATCTCTCAGATTTACTTCGACCTGCAAGAGAAAAAGAGTCAGAGGAAGCGTGTCCGAGTGTGCCGGGGATCACCGAAGATGGAGATCGTGACCAATTCTGATGTTCCGCCGAGCATTCATGAGATCCCGGAAGACGGGCCGGGTAGTTGGGAATCCACCGGAGCGGGTAGTTGGGTGGCGAATCGCACCTTCTTCAAGTCAAGATTGAAGCCTCTCTTTCGCGGCAGAGGGTTGACTTCCGAACCGTTGATGCCCAGTCGATGATACAAGTCGCTCCGAAGTGTGAGGATCAGAACCCCGCTGGGTGTTATGGCCATGGAATTCCCCCTGTGGAATTGGAACGAATTGCGGGTTAGCATATCAGTCACATATTCCCGGGGTAAAGATTCAGAAGAGTCTGCCAGCGGAATCGACTCCAGATTAGCTGCGCAATGGACTCACTTGTCGGGACTGTAGGCTGTTATCACAGATAAACTGCCGTTTTTGATGAATGCGCATATGAAGTCGAAATTCAATATTTCTGCGAGTCGTAAGCGTCTTAAGAGGTAGTAGGGCTTGATGATTTCTCTGGATAGGGAAAAGTTCTCAATAATTCGCCAAACAATAGAGACGTTCTCCAGAGAGGCGGCGAAGCTCATTGGCGATAGAGATATGTTGAGGGCTTGACTTCAGATTGAGAACAGGTCAGATCAGGGACTTGTGACTTCGACTCGGCTCCCGTCAGGGAGGCTGAGACACTCACTTGAGATTCGCCGGTATAGAAGTTGCGCCCGGAATGATCAATTGCAATACATGGGTGAAATTCCGATCGTTGATCAATCCATCGAGGTATGATCGTCCCGACGAGGAGTGGAATAGGACCTGGTTTTTGAGGTCTCCAAGTTCGGGGAACATCGCGAACGACTTGACATCGAGATCACCACGAAACCCAATAAACAGCTCTCTTTCCTGGATCGACCTAGGAACTCATTCCTCGGCCGTGGCGCACGGAAAGAAAATGAACCGCTGAGCACGGTCGCCAAGAACACCACAAACTTTCCGGTTAGGTTGGATACCTCTCTCGGTCAGCTTACAAGAGAACACACAGAATCGCATCGGATGATCGATCGCGCGCGTCTTCACCTGTCTTCGATGTAAACATGGGACTCGCTGCAATGTTTATCGGATGAACGCATCTTGTTCTCAAAGATCCCGAGAGGGGCGGATTTTTCACCCACTAAGGAGCGTCGTTTAGGACAAAAACCGGAGGAATGACTACACTACAGAGACGAATGACCCGGAAGCGTGATTTGAGGGAGCGCCTCTCATTTCATCGGAGTAACTTCGGAATCATCGGATAGATCCAGCTGGATAGATCCAGCTCGAGTCGCGTTGGCTCTACTTCTTCCAATCATTTCCGATGGAGCGATCCGAAATCGAGTGCCGCCGGACTCATCCCGGGTCCCTCGACATGATACTGAATTGCCGAGCCGTATGGAGTCCGGGGAGTCTCAATTCGCCAATTGAGTGAATTCTAGCGCATTTTATTGGTTTTGGGGGGATTTTCCTATTGACACGCTCAGTTTCGCTTCGCCTTCCGGCGGACTTATACAGCTAAAATAGGGGCGGGCGGTTACGAGGTCCGTCGACCTTCAGAACAGTAGAAAACAAGCTCGCCGCACGAAGAGGGAGAGAAACACTGCCGCACATATGAACATGAAAACACTTATCAACAATTGATTCTCGCTAGGCGCTTGAGCGGTTGTAATTGTCGTCGGTGTGGCTCTCGGCGTAGTCACGCCTGCTGACGGAGTCACTTGGGGTTGTTGGTCGTGGGCTACCGAACCCGTGCTTGGAGCGGGCATTCGACATCGAACCTCCGTCTCGGCGGGCTCCGTCGGTCTGGCGTCAGGCTCATCTCCTGAATTGAATTTCACCATTCGTATTCAGCTGAGAAGAGTGAGACTCTAATATTTCTCTCAAGTCTACGAATAGTCGGAATTGTCTACCTGCATGAGCATCTTCTTGTGCTTCCTCCGCAGGAACGAATCGTTGCTCGAGGGCATGTGAGTCGCCTTGTTTCGCCCCTTCAGACGTGAACGACATTTGTGAAGCTAGTTGACGGGCTTCTTCGTTCGTCTTCGATGGACCGGACTTGCTCTGTTCCTGAGTGGAACTCGGTGTTAGTAATTCCCAGTTTCACTTCGAGGTGAGCTCGCATCTATGCTCTCGCTTTCGTTTCCTCTCTGGATCGTAGTCTCCTCGTAGGATACGAAGCGTTTTACCTGCTTCCGAGAGTCTCTAACCTTGAGAAGATTTTTTGTAGGTCCACAATGCGAGCATTTGAAAGAACAGCTTTTCCGCGCCATCTTCTTCCTCTCATCCGACGGACAGTCCAAACTACCGATCGCACCTTCGCCCTGAGTTGGCATGAAACCTAAGCGAAAGTTTATAGCGTGGGTTTTAGTCTCAGTATGTCTCCACAAGCTTGCTCAACATGGGTGGGCACACATGCGAAAAAACCATGCGAGACGACATGTACCGATGAGAGCTAACATGGCGGTTCTCAGGGACCACGACGGCTGCCATGTTTCAGGGTGATGTCCAGAGATCGAGAGACAAATTTTCTTATTCGTTTCGAATCGACCGTTGGGCTGGAATAGCGCAGGTTTCGTTAGCTCCGGGGTCTTGGAGCCCTTCCTGGATATAGAGGCCATCCGAATTGCGTGAGGAGTCTTACCGTCATGATTATAATGTTTGGAGGCTTCATGGGATACTCTGAAGGGAGCAAGATGCGACCGTGATATATGCCGCCATCGTAATCCGAATCAGGTGGGCCCCGGACCGTGAAATGCCATTCGAAAAGATTATCCTGCAAGGGGGAATTCCGAACCTTTATCGCATCGGGGTGGCGAAATTGCCTGAGAGGCATCAACAGCAACCAGAAAGCTCAGAGACTTTATTCAAGGAGATCCGCTGAAGGAGAAGCCAAAAGACACTCGCCCAGCGGAGTTCCCGTGAATTCTGACAACCACCGGTCTCACCTCCAAAGGCTGTGCGAAGTAGTCCTCTGTCGGCTCTCGCAATTCTTGAGCTTCTTTCATCAATCGTTTGACGGCTACAGCAGAAGAAGTGAGGGATTATCACGAGAGTCTGTGGGAGCTCAACTGGAGTCATAGCAAAGCTGTTCGCCATCTGTGTCGCTCCGTCGATCAAATCTCTCCAAGACGCTGAATACGCCGTGGTAGAGGTATGACATCGGGAACCCAGCCCCGTATCTGATCGAGGCCTGAATCAATCGCGTAGCGCACGGACTCTTATCACAAATAGGGCCTGAACAAGATTTACCTGGATTTCTCTGATTGTACTGCGCCATTAATTTTCTTCGTCAAGTTCCTCTCGTTCCCGTACAGTTCTACGACTAAGAGATGACGTGTGCTTCACATCAACGTCTATGGATTCTGATAGCGCCCGAAATTTTTGATGCCGACAATTCTGCAAAGCAAAGACAGGAGAAAACTCAATGCGTGTCATTTCCTGTCGGGTGATCTTGCTTTCTCGGCTTCGAGCTCAGAAAACGGCGGGAGCCCCTCGCAGCGATTCATGGGGATCAGCTGAGCCCAGACCACAATCATTGCACTGCTGCAAACATTTGGCCGGAAGGCTCGAGGATTGGAATAATTTTGGAGAAATTCCGCAGATCTGTCCGACTCACTTTCTTCGTTATTTTTGTTACATAGAGGCGAAAGCTGAAAGATTTAACGACAAACTCCAATCCTTGCATAATAATTATCTGGAATCGCCGCTCCCTCCCAGAACGGATATCTCACTAACTATTCAAGATGAAGTGTCAGAACTCCCGTGATTCTCGGAGTTACGCTCTAGAATATCTTGACGGGTCGCTATCGAACAGGAGCTTCAAATGTCAGTGCTGCTCCCGCGATCATCGAGTTTCCATCGGCCCATGATCGGAGTGAATGAATTTGCGCAGTCTCGAATTACTCACGCTCAATCAGACGAGAAGATACAGCGATCCCATAGAATGGGATAGCGATCCCAGGCCTCCGACAGATTGATGGGTGTTCCAGCTGAATCTACTTGTGTGAGAGTGAGAAGTTCTACAGGCGGACCGTCGCACACACTCACCGCAAGGGACGACCGTGCGATGCGATGTTGTCATGGTTGTCCGTAAAAGTCAGATGGATACAGCTAAAACGACGGAACAACCAACCCTTCACCGAATCTCACGTCAGATGACGACGACGCCTTCGATAGGTTCTGAGTGGTATTGTAGTTGCGGAGATTGCTGAAAATGTGAGCTTAGACGATTCTGGTCAGTCTCATCAGCGATCTTGGACAGCTCCTCCGCGACATCCCTGCCGGACTCCGGCGCGACGGTTCGTTGCGCTGGCCCGGTTTACGGATCGGACAGGGCCGAGGGAATCTTGATAACCCAATTTGGCTGGCACGCGGATCCGGACCCGCGTATCCTCCATGTCGTTCCTCGTGGGCGATCGGCGGGGAGTCCTTCGCGCAGTTTGGCTCTCTGAGATGAGCGTCATCGGAAGTTCGTAGGCGTTCTTTCGCATCAATGCGTTTTGGGCAATGCTAAACGATAGAGCCATCTCATGAAAACTGGTCGATGGGGCCCCCAAGTGTCCGATCCTCGTGACCATCAAGAAAACTTCCCGTCCTCGACTTGAGCTCTCTGTAGAAAGATCAGACTGATGTCGCCTCCGATAGGCTAGGGAACAGTTTGTAAATTGGAAAAAAAAGGCCAGCGTTCTCGTCGGTGAAATGGGTCTCTAGTCCGCATCGGGGAACAATGGAATCGTTCAATCGCCTGGAAGCGCAAAACCCTTCGTTCCGCCTTCCGGAGATTCGCACGATCACCCGGTTGCGGTATTTCTATGTCAATCGAATCCATTTTGGGATCGCAGATCAGCCCGACGCCAGATGATCGAGCGGTCAGGATTCGTGGGCAGCCTGGTTCGAGGTGATCTTGGGGAAGACGACTCTCTCGAAAGAAAAGGAGCAAGGCGTCACAGGACGCTGAGCATCCGAGAGCTGATAATGTAACACTGCTCAGATCAGGAACACCAGCTTGTTGAAAGAGGACGTCAGCCTCGGCTACATCGAGCAAGCGAATGAAGGGGAAAACGCGCGAGGCTCAAGAAATGCCCCGGGTAGGCAGAAATGCTTCTAGTTCGAGCCCAGGGCAACATACTGCCACGCAGAGTCCTCGAGATGTGCCCTAGTATAGTCAAGGCCTTCCCCAGTTGTCTCATTCTCTGAGACGAGCATACTGAGGCTGACCTCCACGGTAGAATAGGAACCATTTTCATGCGATCGAGCTCAGAGCCGCTGCCTCTCTGAGGACCCATAATCAGCAATGGTACGAACAATGCGACCCTTGGAGGTGTAAAACCTGCTTGGAGTATCGTTCTTCCTTCAGGCTTCCTCATCTCATTCATAGCTCCTTATCCGACACTCACAGCTCTGCGGAGGGGTGCCTCAGTCAGGTGTACCTCGTAGTACAGGTACGCCTTCGTTCGCGAACTCAGAACGAATAGAATAGAGTCGAGCGAGAAATCGAGGGTTGGCGTCACCGAATTCGTGATTGAAAACAATATTTATACAACAAGACCGAAAATACAGGGTTCCATTCCAAATGTTCGAAAACACAAGCATGCTTGAACAGCTCCGTAAATGAAGCATGTTCCAGGATCAAAACTCAGTTACCTATATATACAAGAGTTCCACCCGAGACGTAAGGCAAGTGATTCCATAGATTTTCGCGGAACTTCTCGGGGAACTTCTGGCCAGATTGGGCTCGAATCCACAACTGATCGAGTTGCAGACTAGCCCGGGGACGAGACGCTCATCCGAGGTTCCAGGGCTGTGAGTGTAGGCTGGTGTATTCCCCGGTACAACGTCCCTGAGTTTCTCTGATCCCCTCTCGAACGTGGACCGAGCAGCTGTTGGAAACTCGTGGTTGTCGAAAACTCTGATAGCTCGAAGAGCGCTTTTGTGGATTCGACTCCGTCCGTGTTCCCCTGTTCCTTCTGACTCCGTCCGCTGCTGTTGGGTATTTTTCGTGAGATGATGGGGCAGCGTCTCAGCGTGCTTGAGCTGGACGGCTCTGCCTCTGTCTGTGCTTGTGAGTCTTCTTCGCTAGTTTCGCCGCATTTTCCATTGCTTGGAGCCGATCTTTCTCTGCTTCGAAGATCCGATCGTTAAGCCCGACCTTCACGGAGTACCGAGGTTGACCGGGCTCCTGTAGATGGAATATTTAGGGCTAATGTCTCGGACAGACGTTCATCGTGAGAAGAGAAGAAACGCCCAGAACTTACCAGGTTCTGCTGTTCTGTTGGGCTTCCAAGTATAGCTTGACGGAACGAATTGTCGAATAGACCGCTCTTGTAATCGGAATAGAAGTCGTTCATTGCTAAATGGGGTCAATCAGAGTATTGATTATTTAATCGATGCGACCGGCATCGAATCTCATATAATCGGGTGGACATTTTGGGTGGAAAAATACTCACCTTGCACGGAGTTGAGAGAGATGTCGCATTTAACGGTCGCTTCACTAAGGGTTGTCTCCAACTCCAGCGCCCTGTCTAAATTTCGAGCCTCACCTACAGAGGCGGCAAATGTTATCCGAGCGGAAGAGTAGCTCACTAAGAGCGTCATTCAAGCGCTCGACGCGTATTTGAGTTGGCGAGAAGTTGGCGCTCACGCTACCATTCACAAACCTCGTATCAAGTTCAAGCCGTTTGCCTCGTAGAATTCCTCCGGGTTTTCCAAGCGTACACACGCACTGATCTCGATATTGCACTTGTTCGAAGACGCTGCGTACGGAAGCGTGTTTGTTCAATAGGGGAGCCCTCAATGCGTGAGCGTGCGCACATGAGCGTTCCATATGCAGGCTCTGACTTACTTAAATCATAGAGGTATCGTCCGTAGTGGGGGCAGGATGACCGTCTCTCAATTTCTGCCATTTCTTCGAAGTAACTCGCTTTACCGTGAAGCTCCAATGGCAAGAGAACTGCTCTCAGATGAGCATACGGGAGAGCTGCGCAGATAGTTCGTCGGAGTAGTAGTATTTATAGTATATATAGTGTTTGTAAATCAATCATGGAGTCGTGAAAGCAAGAGAAAGTTTGCTCATTCAGACTCTGTACTCATTCTAACTCACAGCCGAGCATTTGCTTGACGGCATCTTGATCCAGATCGAGCTGGAAGATGAATTTTCGTGATTCCGAAGAGAATGTCGACGGGAATTCTCGTTTTCGCTTAGTCCCAGAGCTCATTACAAAGTATGCCTCCTCTAGCTTGAGTTCTGCACGGGGAGCAATGCTCGCAGCTCGAGGGGTAAGTGAGCTCGGTATCCTGAGAATTCGACGTATTCCGGACAGTTTCTCGCGAAGTATGCTCTTCTGTCAGCGACTCACTCAGCAGCGATGGAACGAAACGTTCGAAAACATAGCGCGGATGAACGCATTCTTCACTCACCTCTCTCTCCCTCTCATAGGAGAAGCCGCCTCCCGCCAGAGCGAATTTTCGTTTTCGTTGTCTTCCCCATTATCCGAAGAACTCATGCTCGACGAGATCGCTGTGTAGATTCTTTGGACAACGATCTCCCATGAGATGGATAAGTGAGAGAATGAGACTTGATTCAAGAAACGGACCTCCGAGCGCCATCTATCGAATCGCTCACAATTCTCAATGTTATGAGCCTCTCTCAAAGGTCTCTGCGTGCCGCGATTGAAAGTATCGGCAGGGAGCTTCGCTCTCATTTTTCGCGATCGACTCAATGTTCTGTGGCCCCGTTACTGTGGATCAAGTTCAGTCGGGAGGACTGTCTCACCTCCTGAAGGATCGCTAATATACAAGGTACAAAGCGCGCGCGCACACACACGCAGTCGACGGGACAGACGGACAAGCAGGCAGGCACACGCAGCGGCGTACACCCTCTCTCACTCCGACTCCGACCGATCGACACACATCGAGCGCAGCTCGAGGAAACTTTCTGAAGTTGTCCTCCACTCCTCGAGCGTTCTCTGTATGCCAGTGTCGAGCTTAATTCCAAGTTGACTCCACGGCGACTTGAGAATACGATGTCGAACTTCTCCTCAGGGTAACGAGCAGCAATCGCGAGAACTTCTTCCCGTATCGCTTCGCGGTAAACTTCAACATTTTCCAGCATGGACCTGGCTGTGGTGGGAGCCCCAGCCTCCGGCGAAACGCACGTAAGTTGCTCAGAACAAACCCCCTTCCCTCGGGCTGGTCAGCGTTCCCTCTCGACTCTGACGTCGCCCGAGCCGACGTCAGGAGACCATTCATAGATGGACCACTGCTCCCGAATTTAAATACCCGATGAGCTCATTTAGCGCAACACTTGCAATAACAAGTTGCTGCGGAGGAACTCGTGTACTGGCTTCTTTAGCGTTGTCACCCATATACCACGGTATGGCGGGGCGGTCCGTCGCTTTTTAACATCGATACTACTCGAACAGCTTCGTCCTCACGGTAACTCTAGGAGAGAGAATCAGGGAAGTACTCCATGGAAGTTCTCCGACATTCAAACTCTGCGGAAATTAAGAGCGAGGGGCGAAAGAGAATCTGCTCCAAAACTCTCGATGGAGCTAATCTTTTGCCGAACTTTTCGAGAGGGTATCGGGGGAATTCCAGTCCATTCGCGCTCCATGAGCACATTTCTCGATCATTGCTTTCGGAGTCCATGATGAAGATCATCATCATACACGAGCTTGTTCGTGAATCGTAGCACGGCTCAGCCAGAATGTGACCGACGTTGGCGAGCGAGAGCAATATCGATGGCGGGCTTCATTTGCTAGAGGGAGAGCCTGATATAGGCTTTTCCCCTCGGAATTGTCTCAACCGGTCTATATTACTGAAGGACACTAGCAACTAATCGGCTATTCACGTGTTTTTGTCAGATGCAGAATGTGGAGCGTCAAATTCGAGCTCTGATCCGGGAGCATCACAGGCTCATGTCCACAGTGGAACAGCTCAGGTATGAAATGTCGATTCGGCTCGTGGAAGTCTTATCGTACGAGGCTTTTACACAGATGAATTTGTCTGAGGCTTTGGCGATCATTGACGAGGAAATGTTTCTCCCCAAATCAGCTCCTCAGCCGCGGAAGCCAAGCTTTCGGCTGCTACCAGAATCCAACAAGAGATAATTAATATGGCATACGAATTCAGAGAGGTTGGTAGGATCCTGTACATGTCCCTCGAAATTTGAATGACTTCAACCCATAGCGTGCTTATCTCAAAGCAGTTTATCCTCGATAACTACCCGGACTTTTGTAGGCAAATTTGGCGAGCCGTTGTGGCTCAATCTCTGCGGTACATATCAATACGACGGGTGCTGTTATGCCAAAGCCTATAGCTCAAATGGTGAGTCACTTCATCCAGAAACGAGATGCTCGGAGGATCGCATTGAAATCCGAATCGCAAAGCCAAGAGAGGGCTGCTCTCTTTCTCGGTCCACGTCGGAGAAAGATGATTTCATCACTTGAAGATACTCTCATTCCAGAACAATGCTCAACCTGCGACAATATCCGAGAAGGTCGCCTTAGATGGCGCCTCAGCCTTTTCGATCAACAACAACAACAACAATCACAGCATTAGCGACAATAATAATTATAAGACGGACCCAGATGCATCCTTCGACTATGTCGTCAAGGCACCGAAGAAAGTTCCCCTCCCCATAGTGGCGCCGAACTTGGTCTTTCACAATCCCGCAGGAACTTCGCCTGGTGTCAAGTTTGGTGCGCCACCTTCGGCGGTCTTCATCATAAAAGTTCCTCCTAATCAGACAGGCCCTCTGAACATCGTCACGTTGCAACAAAATGGAATCACGAATGGAGCCAGCATCACCGCTCCCGTCAACGGTCTCCAGGTCAACGGCGTCGTAGTGAAGGCGGTCGCACCAGGCAGCAAGGGCAACTTCCTGCCGAAGCCCGTCATAATCGATGATTCGAAGGTGACTTCTGCACCGAGCCCATTGATAACTCACAAGGTATAGGCCGTACGGAGTTCCACATTCGATATTGGAAATAATAATGATGTGCACTCTCCGATCTTATTGCTCCGGGAACCTGAGAACATCCCTCTACTCTCGCAGCTCGCTGTTCAAGCAACGAAGAATATCGAGACCAGACTCCAAAAAGTGCCCGAAGAACGAAATACGCTGCCGCCATTCGAGTTCGAGGAGAACGAGGAAGATAAAGTTTGCAAGGGAGTGAAGAAACAGGCGTGGTTTCTCGGTCATCTGAGCCTTTGCACTCCAGAAAGGTTCGCCGATTTTTCTTCTCCCTCTGGCTCACTCCATCGCTTAGCAAGTGTCTGTGAACCTCCACGAGTCTTCGAATTGCCAGAGTTGCGATGACGATGATATTTCCCAGGTTCCGAGAGTTGTCAGAGCGTCGGACCGAGAGACGTCGACGCAAAACAGCCAATCCACACTTCTCGTCTGCGGCCGTTGAAGAGCGCAGGAGGCAGGAAACCGAACGGAAAAGGAAGAAAACGACTTCTTCAGATGGAAAGAACAAGGTGATTGCATGCAGCCATTGTGTCCTGTCCTACTCCTCCTGAACCTCCGGAAAGGACCTTGATCAACGTCTTCGATTTGCAGGCCGAGCTCAAGGAGGAACTCCAACTACAGGCTGAGAAGCTCCGTACAGAAAAAGCCGAATTACTCAAGAAGCATGAAGAGGTGTGGTCCTCCTTCCTAAGCGTTGCCGGGAGCTCTCGCGGCGAGCGAGAGCGTAATATTGATTTCTTCCAGAACAGAGGGAAGATCCCTTGTCATGCTTCCCTCTATAACTCGCTCTTACTGTAAGATTAAACCCTCAACGGCTCAACGGTGTCTTTTCCCCAGGCGAGGCAACGTCTCACGGAGGAGCGCCTGCGTACCCGAATGCTAGTCGATCAGCAGAGAACCGTGGAGCAAATGCTAGAGAGACTCCGGAAATTCATGTCGATCGTGGCGGAGAACAGACCGCCATTGTGCGCGTGAATGCAGAAAAAGCTCCCCGAAGATCTGTCTCTGGTGCCGATCTTTTCGGAAACACAGATCGAGCCGACCTCGTTTCGCGCACTGACTGCGTGGAGAATCATGTATAGGGAACATCTCATTCTGTCACGTTATCTTCGGAGAATGCTCCTCTCATCGAGACCGATATACTTCTCGTGTATGGTATAGATACAGGATATCTTCTGCGTCCGTCGAAGATTTCCGAATCGCTACACTGTCGGTCGAGAATCCAGCGGGCAATTTGTTAGTTTTCACTATAGAACCCATATCATCTCAATCATGTGAAACAAGTCGAAAAGTGCGGTTGACCGGATCACGTGGGGATCTGCCGCTCCGGAGGTTGATTCGGAGTCGCGCGAGAAACGTCCCATTGCTATCAATAAAGTAAACTTGTTATGGAAGGGACTTGTCCCTTACCTCAGGGGTTAAAGCATTCGATCGTTCCTACCATTCCTAGTCAAGTCTAACAAAGGGAATAGCCCGCAGACCGTCGCATCGGGAGCCGAGGCTCGGAGTCGCGAGACGAGGTGGGCCTGTAGAGTAATGTGGGGATGAGAATGAGATCTGCGTTGGACCAATGGATCACGGCATCCGATGCTCAATTCATTCTGGGGACGGTTTCCTCATGCTGGCAACTCATTTGCGATCGAGCCTTATTGGCTCGCGATGGATTTCTTCCAAAATGGTGACATCACAGTCGCCACCATTTATACTACATGCGACTTTTTAGTGAGGGATCTTCGGCATTCGACGGCTCGGCGTCGCTGACGATCGGGCCTCCGACTCGTCGAAGCATGCGCGAGCTCAATTCCGAAAACAGCCTTCGGGGGAGCAGGGGGTCGGAGCTCGACATCATGACGCGCCTCTCTGAGTTCTAGACCCTGAGATCATGACCGAGGAATTTTGAGGGGGCCGCGCACGCGGGGAATGCTTTGCAAAACCTCGCGATTTTCTGCGGCCGAAGACGAAGGGCTGAAAAGATTCCGGTTTGTTTTGATCGGCAGTTCTCTTTCTCTCTACAACAACCCCTCTCCGGATCCTGATTCGGTGCGCATGCCCTACGCAAGGTTCCCGGAGATCTGAACGAGCTTTTCCTCCTCTCCTTTCCTCTTTCCAAGCTCGCGCATCAGGAATGACATTTCGGCATCAGTGAACAGCACGAAAGGCGAGAATAGGTTATCCGGAAACACGCCATTTCGGCATACTGTCGGAAGGAAAGAAGGTGAGCCTTCTTGTGAGTTCAGAGAAAATCTGCTTGCAAAGCTAAGCTTTCATTCTTCCCGATGCGAGGATTCATTCTCGAATCTGCCGCGGGTATCAGTACATTGTCCCACTCTCCACGTTTTCATCACCAATGAACTCATTGTATCAAATTCTGCAATCCTTGACGCTTCTCATGGCCAGAAAATGTCAGTCATTGACTCCTCGATTCGTCGGTGGGACAGACCCTTAAACTGCTCGACGGTTCCGCATATATCTGACCTTGGAGCTTTCCATGCGAATGGAGCAACGCTTCGACTCTGACCATGACCAGATTGTTCGAAACACTTGTTGTTTTCTTCTAGCGAATTCTAGGGGTCAGGAGTTTAAGTTGCCGGCAGCTCAACGGCGGTTTCCGCGCTTGATGACAATTTTCTGCCCAGTTTCCAGTGAACCGATCACTTGTGCTTTTGTGGAGTCAACACGGGCCCGTCTTGACAACATAAGAAGATGATCTTACAAAGCATCGTCATGGCTCTGATCATGAGTCCCAGCATGGGCTACAATAGTCCCCAAAACACGGTCTATGATTTTACTGTCAAGGACATAGATGGTACGCTCTAAGCACATACGTCAAAAAGACATGTCAGTCCCAGGGATGCGCGAATTGCCGGCACATTCCGAGCTGTATACGAGTCTTATAACAAACAGGAAATGACGTCCCGCTATCAAAATACCGCGGGATGGTCTTGGTGATTGTGAATTTGGCTTCGGAGTGTGGACTGACCGACCGCAATTACAAGGAATTGGTCATCCTCCAGAAGGTAGTCCTTTCTTCAGGCATTCGTTTTGAAGGTCGAAACCAGTATCGACCCTCCACCGTCAGCGGAACGAGGGGCGTCCGTCGATTCGTCTCATCAAGATTCGTTTTGCAGGAGCTAGGCTTCCGGGGCTTCCGAGTTTTGGGTTTTCCGTCGGATCAATTCGCTGGTCAGGAGTTGGAGACGAACGAACAGATCAAAACATTCGCGAGGGAAACTTATTCGATAAATTTCGATCTCTTCGCCAAAATCAATGTGAGTTGAAGGAATTCGAAACCTCAGCTAATATTACGAGAAGTCTAATTCTGCCGCATACCTTGGGAGGATAAAAAAAAATCATACCTAGTCCTAATCTCGAGGTTCCCTCCTTGAAGGTCAACGGGGCGGAAGCAGAACCCTTGTGGCGCTTCCTCAAAGAGAGACAAGGCGGCATTATTTACTCCGGCATAAAATGGAATTTCACGAAATTCCTCATCGACCGAAATGGAATTCCAGTCGATAGGTCAGACGAATGACTGAACTGCTCCAGAGCGTATTTTCCCCTCCTTGAACGAGGTCAGAAACGTCGGAACGAAAGTGTCTAATTCCAAGTATTTTTCCCCCTAGATTCTCGCCAACGACTCCGCCGTTGTCGATGAAGGACGACATCGTGAAGTACCTGAATCGTACCGCCAAAGCAGATGCGCCGGAAACGATGAATCAAAACAACACGGAGCTCTGAGAGAGAAGACCAAGAGAAAAGTTTCTTAGAAAAACTGGGTAGCTCCTCGCATAAGCTGCATTAGGTCCTTCGTAGGGAAAAGACACCGCTCTGGGAGGAAGGACTGATCGCAGCACCTGAGATCTCCCTGACTTGAGAGGCTCCGAAAGGACGCTTGAAACTAACTTCGCCACCGGACAGGAGATATTTGTCACTCTAAGGCTGATACTGAGCGAGAGTTGTGATGCTCCTACAGGCGACGGAGCCGAATTCTCGAGTGGAACAATGACAGTCAATCTAGACATACCGAGACAGCGGAACGATCCTTTGTCTTCCCTTCTATTCCGAATTCAGATGATTGGATGCCTCTAGGAATATCGAATAAATTCTTTTTCACCAAGAGCGATCGACTGCCGATCCGTTTTCTGTTACATAGTTCGGAACGAGCTCCCTTCGGAGAAATCTGGGGAGATCATCTCTGGAAAGATGGGTGATGCTACCGTACTCACCGACATTTGCGTATTTTTGCGCGCTGGATCGTATCGCCAGTAGGCTATGCGGAGAAAGGCGGTCTCTGGTGGACGGTTCTAGCTTGACATTAGGCGTGTATGGCGAGCTGCGGAAAGAAAATGCTGATGCGCGATACGAAACAGTCGGATGGGATTCATCCTCTCATATGCGAAGGTCTCGGAGGACGCGAGAAAGTGCTCGCTCGGAATCTATAAATGGCGGAAGAAACGATTACTACCGGTATTCCAAAGAATCACATGATGAGGAGTTTCGCTGAAGTTACTTCAATCCGTTGCGGGTGAGAGAGCTGTCCGGCTGTTTCCCACTTGCCCGCTGGCTCGTGGAGCAGGGGCTCTTATTCCTGGTGATGAAGTCGTTTGCTCGGGACATTTGCGACTGGAAGCCCGCGAGCTTGTCAATCACAATTGTTCTTCATTGGAGCTCATTGTAATAGGAAAGTGTCACGGAATACGTATCATCGGGACCAGTACAGATAAAGTGAGTCCCAGTTTATTCTTCGCGAGAATCACAAGGTGTATCGTCCCGCCGCTCGAAGTTTTGCACCGGGGGTCTCAGGAGCCTCCGGCCTACATCCGCCCGCAAAGTCTGCTTGGGACGATTGCGCGGGAACGATCCTCGGGACTATCACGGAGGTTGCGCGAATGCGTCACTACAACGTGTGCTCAGAATGGCCTCGTGAGGATGCGAAAAAAAGACATCGAGTGTTCGATGTCGACTCCTGCATCGCCTGAATCAGCCCATCGACAGCCGGGCTCCCTCCATTCGGAACCGTGGCAACCACGAACCACCCTTGGCCGGAAACGTGTTCGATGGACCATCCGTGTTCGGTTATCAGTTTTCCAATACCAGTACGAAAGTTGATCACGGATCGCATGCCGTTTGTCATCACTTCACGGGCTGAGCGGGAGGCTTCCGTGGTGGTCGGGGTCGATCGAGGGCCAGTCGGCGTATTGCGAAAAAGCGTCAGATAAAATCTTGACGGACGCCCGATGTCGGATTCAGACGCTAAAATTAGCTGGTCGCTGGCTCGAACCGCGATGGCCGGACGGAGCCAAATGAATTGATGAAAAACACATCACTCGATGATGCATTTGAGCTGATCACTATATTCGGCGAAGTTTAGGACTGGTGGATCCACGCAGCTCTGAATTTTGTTGAATGAGAGGTTTATCGCGCTGCTGTGCAGTCAGGACTCATTACAGTAAATTCTGTCTATTTCCTATATCCATATTCTCCATCCCACAGTCGTGCGAGTACACGAGATCAGGGCGAGGTGTTCGAACGTTTGAATTTCGTTTGGAGCTCATATTTTCGAATGCGATTCCGCTTTCAGTCATACGGACAGGATGTCGCTCAAGACATCCCTGATAACACTCGGATTCGTCGTTAGTTTCGCATCGTTTATCGACGCGAGATGCTACATCTTGATGCCGCAAGAATTCTATGAGGGCCAACGAAACCTCACAGGTCAGAGTCTAAGAAATTGCCGCTCCATCATATCCCCCATTGCAATCGAGCTTCCATGAGGATTATTCCATCGCTTGCAGAGACATCGGTGAATTCGCATAAAACGGAAACGGTGATTCATCTTCCGAAGAATCATTCCCAGGTACTGAGTGAGCCGGAGCCATTATTAGTGTTTATCGAATCAAGCCAGACAATTGGACGCAGTTTTCTGGTAGGGCAGAATCGAGTTCCGTCTCAGGCAACTCGGCATTCCGTAATTTCGGTATTCTTTGTGGACAGATAAGAATCGTTGTCGATGATGGGGATGAGGTCAGCGATCGAGATGAAGCAGCCCGGAGCGGTGTTGAGTTGGAATTGAGTGAAAAGGCCAAATTGAATGATGAGGCTGCTACCACGAGTAGCTCGACACCACTGAACTCCTCCGAGATTTCTTCGAAAACCGAAGGACCCGTGGTAGAGCTCAATTCGGGAAAAATAGAAGGTGTGCCTTTTCACCTGATTCAAGGTGCATGCAGCATTGTCGAGACTCTATCGTTCATTCTGAAAGAACGGAAATTCACCGTGCGCTCTGCAGGAATCCCCGCAACACAAGGGACGGTGCACAAGTTCTTCGGTATCCCTTTCGCTGAAGCTCCTCTCGGTGAGTTGAGATTCCGACACCCCGTGACCGTGAAATCTTGGAGCCCGAAAACTGTCAGAGCCAACACCAAGCCATTCCCTTGTTTACAGGGACCGTTCTACATAAATAGGTCAGATGATCCTACTGTCAAAGTCAAAGTTTACACTCTTGTACTCGAGAACTCTATGTAATTTTCATGATTCGATGCTTGGATTCCCAACCCACTTCGGAACGAAAGACCGTGGGCGAATTCCAATACTAATCTGGTAGTAATGTACTCGGAAAACGAATTGTCATGCGGCAAAATCTCTTCAGCAACCTCACCATCGACACCGCGAACTCGACCGAGGACTGTTTGTACCTCAACGTGTGGACTCCCGACGACTGTGTGTTGAATGGAACGTGCGGAGCACAGAAGTGAGTTCTCGTGGCCAGCCGCGACTATTTAATATGTATGTACAACCAGAATCGTATTCAGGAAGAAGGTTCGCCATGAACTTTATTGCAGGTCCGTCATGGTGTTCATTTACGGCGGAACCTACACGTTCGGTTCTTCAGGATGGAATATGTACGACGGAGAGCAGTTGGCGCTCCGAGGCGATGTAGTCGTAAGTATTTCAACGATCGGCTTCAGTTCTGAGCGATGAGGTTGCGAACGAAAATATCGGGACGGAAGAGATTACTAATAATCTTCTGGTCAATTCGACTAGGTGGTCAGCTTCAATTACCGAGTGGGACCTTTCGGGTTTCTATATTCAGCCACAGAAGATGCCCCCGGAAATGCCGGGCTCTTCGATCAGCTAATGGCCTTAAAATGGGTGAGTCTCTGGGCTTTTCCTCAAGAGTCATATAAACCTTGACTTGAAACCTATCGGGAGAATACTGACACGGCCTTCCCAATCAAGGTCCAGGACAATATTCGTCTTTTCGGTGGCAACCCCAACGACGTGACGCTTTTCGGTCAAAGTGCCGGTGCGATTTCCATTGCATACCACATGGCGTCACCACTCACGCGTGGACTCTTCCATAAGGTCAGAGGGATGATAACAACTCATGTACGATTAAGAGAGCGCGATTGACGCAATCTCTTTCTTCAGTCTTCTCACCTGCCCACAAATCCAGGTCATAATGCAGTCTGGTAGCTCTTACTTTCGGATGACGGACCCGACGCGCGAAGGTCCGAAGAAGGTTGAGAAACTCGCGAACAGCATGGAATGTCTCCAAGATGGTGAACTTATCGAAACACATGCCAAAGTGAGAAAGCACCGGTAGATAATATTCATGATCCAGCGCACGACTGTTTCCCTTTCGATATCGGATCGTCGATGAGAGATCTTCCGACTTGTTTCCACAGGAAATCGTGGCCTGTTTACGGAAAAAAGACGGCAAAGAGCTGATGGAAACGACTTTCTCGGCGTTCGGGCTCAACGCTCTGACTTTCTTCCCCATACATGGAGATGAGTTTTTGCCAAAGCCCGCTCAAGAACTCATCACGTCTGGCAAATTGCCGAAGGTTCGACTCTCGACACGGAATATCCAAGCGAGGAGCTCATATATGAGCCGAGCTCCCTGGACTTCCCGTCTGATCTGAATGAGCAATCGCTTATCTCCAGGTGCCGGTCTTGATCGGGAATAACAAAGACGAAGGCTCGTATTTCATCTATTACTTGTTCGGTCGCTCATTGAGCCTGGCGGACTTGGATTTGGTTGGTGGTTCTGCGCCCGATAACATTATTTGCTCGACATTCCGGGGAGAGATTCCGAGAACGGCACGGAGGGAATCTTTGAGAACATGGATGACACCCTCGAATCATTCCAGGTGACGAAATACGAGATCGATTTATACGTGACGTTTGGCTTACAAATGCTGCTCCAATCAAACGTTCGCAATATTCGCGCCCAATACTTCGATGGCGTCAAAGAGGAAGAAAGTACGTCGTGACTTCAGGAATCGCCGCCTGCCATTTGCTTCATTACACGAAACTTAAGCCTGGTTCGAGAGTCCATGGACGATGGGAGATCAATTCTTATTTTGAACATTGCTCCTTTTTCCAGCGATGAAAGCCTTGCGACAAGCGGCGATTATGGTAGGTGATCTCGCGATGGTGTGCCCGACCAAATATTTCGCCGAAGAGGCCGCAGCTCAGGTGAGGAATGAATTCCGGGAAACCTCGATCTGTGCTCCGAGCTTGTGCGGAAAATGAGCCTCCGTCTCGAAGGACGCATCAGTGAGTCGACCATCGCTCATTTCAGAATCTGACCGTCCACTATTATGAATTCGACTTCCGGAGCTCCTTTGGCACATGGCCGGATTGGGTCGGAACAACCCACGGAGAGGAGGTGAGCCGATTGTCGCCTGCCCTGGCGATCTCAGAACGGCGAACGCTATCGCGAGGAATGGAGTGAGCCAGCGAGTGAGGGTGACTTTTCTTCCAGATACCTTTCGTCTTCGGTCATCCGCTATCGGGTTTGGAAGCCAACGCGACCGCAGAAGATAAGGAGATGTCTAGAGAAATGATCAAGATCTGGACGGATTTCGCCAAGACGGGGTCTGTATCCACGCAAGTCGAATCTGGTGGATTCAGTCACAGACGTCACAGAGAATGATACCAACTCTTCGAACGGAATATTGGTGGTCTGATCTGCAGGAATATCTTGCGAGACGCGTGAGCTTGAAGAGGAACGAGTATAGTTTTCAGCTCGAGCTTCCTCTTACAGACTCACGCCGGTCAAACTGAGAGGGACGCCATGGCCCGCATACACCGAGAAAAGCCAGGTTAGCTAGCTCTCGAAGACGGACGCGAAGAATTGTCCCAGATGACGTGAAGTTGCAATATTTCGTTTACAGACCTATCTTCGCATCGGTCAGACATCGACGGGTATCGGTAGAGGTCCGAATGAGAGGATGTGCAATTCATGGAGGAAGTATCTCATCACTTGAGATCACTCCGACCCTCAGACGATTCTTGGAGCCGAGACCCAGGTGGCCGTGTCTTCCTTAGCTGTCCTGCGAGAGTGAAGGAGAGTCACGGGAATACGATCGGGAGACAATCAGGCCTCGGGAAAGTGGGACTCGTGGCCTCCACAGCGTAGTTTCGAACAACCTCCCGGTGGATGCGGTTCCTTCACAGGGTTATTCGATACTCCGAAGATTCTCGAGGGCATGATGTCATTTTCGGCAATATGCCGACCATTCGTTCTGATTGAAAAAGCAATAAAACTGACTGACCTGAGATCAGTGATGCCTGATATTCTCGTCTCTCCCGTCGAGCTTGATGAGCCAAGGTGACAGGATGAGGGAGTGTTGTCCGCGTCTAACACAGGTAGCCCTCGTGAAAAATACATCAACTGAGCCTCGAATGCTACGCTACGATGCGGTTGCTGACGGAAGATTCCTCATCAGGAATGTGAAGGATCAAGTGCCGCATCTCTCTCCGTCTTGCATTATAGACGACCTGAGCTCATATCTTAAATCCGACGTGTCCCTTCCGGAGGATCCATGGCACATCATCTACAGATCTACAGAAGATCTCATGCGTGTCCAGGCAGGAGGCGAGACGCTCAACAGGGCGGTCGAGAAAGACGCTCCAATCTCCGAGGGCTTATTGGGAATGTTTCTCGATGCGGAGCGGATTCCCCACACAGCAGCGCGAACAATCCTCTGGTCTGACTTAGGAACGAACCGTTTGAGGAAGTATGATGAGGCCACGGGTCTCAAGTGTCGAAGTCGCCTCGACCACAGATTGATTCTGTAGCGACAGTGTCTGATCGGTCCGACATCGTCCGATGTTCAGAGCTTGCTCCTTTCCGATTTTTCAGGGTCCGGATTCATTCGTTTCACGAGTCCACCTCAGAGCTTACGTTCGTAACGGAAAGTATCGTGAATCGCCCGGTCCCAAGACCAGCACTTGCCTGATCACGATGCATCCATCCAAAGAGACGCCGGCTCGGTCCTGCTGCTGCTGCTACCCGTCGCGCCGCTTCGCCAAACCACCGCCGAAGTTCCACAGAATCTCTGAGTGCTTGCGAATCTTGGATCGATCTGTTCTCCACCGGAATCCTACTGAGGTTAGCGATACTTCTCGTTATTCTTTGTCTCAGTGCATGTTACTCAAGTTTAGGAGGCGGGGAAAGCACATGAATTTCTGAAATTCAATCTAGCCAATCTTCCGTGTGGAGCTGACGAGATGCTGCGAGAGCCTTCGTCTATCGCTGCATCGTATCGAACTGACTTTCCCGCGCGTTCCTCGAGCTAATTGATCAGCGGCCCTAGAGCGTCCCCTGAACTGAGAGTAACTGCAGCACAAATATGTATTCCCGCATGGCGGCCGATGAGCGTGTTTTACGGGGAGAAGATTCTAAACCTACGATGACCTGAGGGATGCCCAATCGTCGACACATCGATATCGAATGAGACGCTCATACTATTATTTTGAACAGAAGCCGCCGACAAGCTCAAGCTCAACGCGAACATGAGTGCCGCCAAGAAACAAAAGACAAAAAATGGAAGTCGAGCAACGAAGAAGAAGAGGGACGAAGAGAGTGATGACGACTTCGATGATTTCGAGGACCAACAGACAGCGGTGAGTTGGCCCTGACATTCCCAACAGATCATTCTCTCCTCGGGCCGAATCGTTTCCGTACAGATTACACGTACGGGCCGCAACTCATTTTGACATTTTTCCTAACCCATGTGCGAATCTAGCCGAGCCCAGCGTCTTCGGGTGGAGGCGACCAGCCGGATCTCGAAGAAGGAGCAGCTGCACCGACCGAGGATGAGCTCCAAAAACATCTGGTGAGGAACGCCGCTCCTTCAGACGTCATGACCTGGATGAATGAATCGTTGGACGGAGAAAAATGGAAAATCACGCATCTCCAGAAAGTTCTAACGATACCGAATTTATAGGGTGAACCGGGCCGCTTGATCCTCGCTGGCTGCGTTTCTTGGGATAGTACTGGGAAGAGCAGTAAAAACAAAATCTCGATGCGTAAGTCGTCGGCCCTATTTTCACGCAAGGATCAGGAATGCTCGCCGTCGGAGCAAAGAATCCTAATTCGTCTCTCTTCTAATTTGACAGCTTTCAACTGCCTGTGGTCGCCAATGCGCTTCGGGCCTTGCGCCGACAAGAAAGTTTGCAAAGTTATAACTGGACGGCAGTCGTGTCACACCGTCTTGATCACCAATGAAGGCAAGGCCTGGGTTTTCGGGAGGAATACCAATGGTCAGTTGGGAACCTGCGATACCAAAGCTCGGAACATTCCCGTCATCGTCGACACTCTCAAAGAGTCCACAGTGATCAACGCCGCGATGGGGAAGAACCACACTCTCTTCCTCACCATCAATGGCACTGTTTTCGGATGCGGCGAGAACAAATGCGGACAGGTGAGATATTCTTCTGTCGTTCGAGCGACGGCCAGTCGGCGTCTTCGATCTGATGCCGACCGCTAGGCTGTCGTCGATTCGGGAACGGGTGCCGCGTTGTGGTAGACACCGGCGCCGATATATGTAACTCTCAGCTGGGCTTCGAGAAGACGCTCCCCAACGAAATGATCACGTCCCACGTTTCCAGGTAGGAGTCGGCCACACCCAGCCGAACATCCTCGTTCCCACCAGGATAAACATGAAAGGACGTAAGGTCGTAAAACTCGACTGTGGAAACGAGTTTTCGATGATGGTCGACAGCAACGGCCAACTATTCGGATGTGGTTCTCCAGAATACGGTCAGCTTGGTAATAATACCGACGGTCAATACTTCATCACCAGTAGCAAACTTGCGTTCAACTACGTCACGAGCCCAAAACGAGTTCCGTTGTTCGTTGAGAAGGACAAAGATAATCGCGCAACTCCCATTCACGACGTATCGGTAGTCGATCTTTCCTGTGGTATCAACCATACTGCCGTCATCGATTCGAACCGACGCGTGTTCACCTGGGGATTCGGAGGCTACGGTCGTCTTGGGCACGCGTCGCAAGCTGACGAGAAAGTCCCTCGTCTTCTGCGCGGTTTCGAAGGACCACAGAAAGGCGCTGCGAGAATTTGGTGTGGGGGCTCATGCACCTTTGTCTTGAACCATCTCAATATCCTATACATGGCTGGGAAAATCCACACTGGAGCCAGCCGGGAAGCGAACATGTATCCCCAGGTCGTCCAAGATCTCTCCGGCTGGACGGTCACCGATATGAGCGTATCATGCCATGCGGTCGCCATCGCTGCGGATAACAATCTTGTGGTACAAGGTGGTGGTAAAACGTACGGTGAATTGGCTCTCGGCGAAGGACGAAAATCTTCGGCCAATTACGATACGGTCAAAACTCTTGAGGGCATCAAGGTGAAACAAGTTGCCACTGGACTGGGCCACCTGGCTCTTCTAGCCATCGATGAAAACGAGGAAATGACAGCTAAAATCAACAAACTTGGCCAGTGGACACCGAAATGCGCCTAACAACTTCCTCTTGGCACTGTCGCGTGATTTGAGAAAAACACGCTCGACCGATGACGATGTGTCTACCTGAAGCTATCAATTGTGCGAGGCGGTCGACCGGAACGTTGATTCGTCGCAGGACATACAGCTTTTTTTATATACAGAAGTGGAACGATTTCCTATAGGCATCAAACAGCCACCTCTCTCTGAATCGTCTAAATGTTACGCTTTCACATCGGCCGACCGAGGAGAAATTCAGTGGGCAACAGAAAAACTCCCCCGGAAATTTGGGAGCTGCTGGGCCAATCAGCTTTCTTTCAGCCTAGAGAGAACCATTCGGCACATTCCAACTGCCGCGACACTCTGTGATTCTCGCCTGCAGCGGCTGGTTCATCGGGGTGGTGTGTCAAGGATAATTTTACCAAAAACAACGTTTTTCGCGAGCTCAGAGTGTCTGTACACTATATATTTTACTCATAACGTAAGCATACTTACTCTCCGTGTTCATTCTCACCGATCGAGTATCCGATTGTACTTCCAAGATCCGATAGAGCTTGGTCGAACCAATGAAACCTCCCTACAATCGGTATATCACTTATATACATATTGTAGAAGCGATGCTTGTCGTCGGAACATCGACAGAGATCTCCGGTCGGATTGATTCCACGAACTGCGGATGAGGATAGGTAGTCTTTTGAAGACCAGAATAAACTCTTTAACTTTGCTTCGTGTCTCTTTCGTTCCGTCCCTGGATCAGCTCGCTCGGTGAAAATTTCCCGGCCCTGAATTGCTTCGACGATTTGAGACTTCAGATAGCTCCAGCGCGTCAATCCGGAAACATCTCCCGATGAGTGCTCCAAGATCTCTGGAGGAACAAGCACCGGAGCATCCATTCCTGTATTTTACATAGCCGATAGACTAGGATCCGACGAGATTTCTCGCGGAAGCCATCGATCATCACGATTCTCAGTGCTCGCGGCAACTCGCAACCCATAAAGATTTCTCGTACTCTTGTTCTGAAAAAGAAGCCGGGCTCTGTGTGAAATTACGTGACTTGAAGGTTCTGTTTCTAAATGGTCGGAAACCAATTCTCAGAATGGCGCACTCACACCTCTCAAAGAAAGCTACCGGGTTCCCGAGGGTTCTTTAACTCACAGAGGACGTAGATCACGAAGGAAGATTCTGTCGTTCGCAGCCATCAATGGCACTTCGCTTCGTCGAAGCAGTACTGTCGAATCGATGTGGAGCGGCACGATCGCATCGAGACCTTGCAAAACTTAGGAGCGTCCCGATTTTTTCCGTGTCGGAGCTCTCGCCGTCATCGTTCACGTTTTCGTTCCTCACTCAGACTCCGACAATATTCATTCTACGCAGCGACACCATTCATTCCAACGGGGGTACCTCCTTTAAGAACCAGGTGTCTCGTAGCGGGGTTCGAATCTTTTCACTGGCGCCAGCCAGACTGGACAAGGGCTCAACCCATGAAGGTCTAAGAGAGCCCGACAGTCGAAAAAAGAGAAGCTAAGAAACAGATGCTCGTGCTCCACAACCAGCTTTAAGGTATTCCTCTATTGAAGGACAGTTCGACCGAAGCTCCGTATAACATTCCTCCCGAAACTATTCTTTCCTCTGATGTCGATGGCCGTGATCGGAGACTTCAGGGCGTTCGCAGTGAAACTCATTCTTCGCGACGGTCGTCGGAACTCTCGAGCCCGGAACATGGCTCGCAATGGCAGCATACTCGAGCGAGAGGAAGCACTTCTCACTCAGTCAGTGGACTGATTTCGAACTCGGACCACATTGGAATGTCTTGTAGGCCTCTCGGAATGTACTGGTCCTCAACAGTGCTCTCGCAGAGGGACCTAGCATTGCCACAACCACCACCACCACCTGTTACGACAGGTGGGAAATTTGCTTTTTTTTTCGACGGCGGCGACCTGGAGCTTGACCCAAGGGCTCCCCCCGAATCGCTTCGCACTCAAATCCGAAGACGGCTCGAGATAGTTTTCTTGACAACTGCAGCAAGTCCGAACTGTTCCAGATGGACTGCTCGGTCTAAACAGCCACACCGTGTTCGTAACTCCTAGGAAATAGGACGGGGGGTTCCGTGCCGGCCACGCGTCCCGGCCATCTGGTGTCGTCTCAAACAGGTGTTCCGTAGACGTCTGGCTGAAAGATTTCGGCTAGGTTCTGCGCACGCTTTCAATTTTTCATTGGCCTGGGGAGCCAACTCCGAAGCTCTTCGGCGATTGTCAGAATCGGAGGACGAACTCTTGAACGGGATCTTCTCTCGCTCTCGATGAGTCTTTATTCATTAGGGGATAGTGAAATTATCATTCCATTGATTCTGAGTCTGTAACAATCGAAACATCGATTCCCTCAATAAATTATCACATATGCCACGAGATTTGGCAGGTTTCGCGAACGTTTGGGAAAGGGCTAAGACACAGATTTCGGATACTTGCTCCGAATGCCGTCCAGCAAGAGTGCCTGTGTACATTGCTCGACCCCGAGAGCGAAATCCATGGGTTTTTCCTCTAGCAGGGACGACAGAGCCCTAGAAAGACGGGAACACGATTGAGCGGGATCCTCGCTTGTTTCCCGTTCAAAATCTCCGCGAGTTCACCAGTGGATGCTCAGCGCAGTCCAGGCTAACGTAAGGGTCGTAAGGGAAGCTCACCTGATATAAGCTGCCGCTATTCGCAGAATGGCAAGCTTCGATAATTTTTGTTGATCACAGTTAGATGGAACGCATTGCCTCAGAGCTTCGAAGGCTGCTCCGATTGTGTGGACTCGTGAACGTTCCCTGGCGTTCGCTTCGATGCGTCTCGATCGCAGGGAGTCCGAGCCATTCGTCGAGCTCGTCAAAAAGTCAATCTCCGAAGTCGACTCTTCTGGAAGACAAAATTTCACCAATAGGTCTCGGTCTCGGGCAGAATCGACCGATGCGCTTCGGTGTCAGAACTCCCCAAGCACTCACGTTTCACAGATCTCTTTTGGGTGTCCAGGATTCGCATGGAGTCCTTAATTGTACTTTTTCTCGCGTCGGCTCTCTTCTGCACGTTATTCCGCTTCGGTCGAGGTCTCGCATTCTCCTTGTCTTGACCGAGGAAACTCAGGAGTTCGGATGTGATATTCCCGGACACACTGTTCTCACTCGTCGAATTCACGGCTTCGTCTTCGTCCATTTTGGAGTCTCTCGTTCGCGAATCGTCTTCCGATCGAACTTGAGCCGATGATGAACACTTCCGAACGACGAGGAACTCTGATATACCGGAGTCACCGGACGACGGCCGCTCGTCGACATCCTGGATGAGCTTCTTGTTCGACAACTTGAAACTGTCTCTCGACTCCTCAAAGAAGTCCGTCGAGAGTGCTCGCTGCTTCCAGACACCGAGTGCCATTTATCTGACTCGCCGTTCGCAAGGTAGTGTCGAAGTATTCCAGCGGTACGCGTTTGAGTACATGTCAGGATCTATTGAACGAGACTGACTATACTCGCCAAGTCGTGGAAACCTTCTCGAGGGAGAGGATCATAGGAGAGAGTCTGAGCCGTGGGTCCGGCCCGCGAGAGGGTGCACTGTGACACCACCAATTGGAACCTATCTATGTGTATGCTAGCGTCGAGCGGATCCGTATGCCGGACCATCGACCCACAGACGCCGATGTGTCATGACGGGAACCCAGGTATGTGTCAGACATGGGAAATGGGCCTATGCACTGATGACTCCGCGAGGGAGCAAAGACGCGTGCTTAGAATAGACGGAACCGCGAACCCGCTTGATCCTAACAGGTCTCCACGGCTTTCAGGGAAACGGAGAGGATTCAGGGGTAATGATACCGCCGGGAGCAAATTCCGCTCATTACGTGACTTCACGAGACATCCCGGCTTCCGTCGTAAATTGTCTACGCTCAGGCTCACACCTGCGGGAGTTGACTTGTCACGGAAAGAGTACGGGAAAATTGAGCGCGGAGCCCACCTGTGGTATCGAAAACCGGGAAACCATTCTTGACGCTTGCGAACGGTGAAGTCGGACAGTCGTTACTTCGAGGTAGGACCCAATGCACGTAAGGCATGCACGTCGGGCTTATCAGCCGGGAGCAGACTACGTCATGCAGCATCGGCTTGTGACGGAGGACACCGATCGAATCGGGAGCCAACATCTTGTGTTCGGATCCCCCTCGGCGCTTCTTCGAAGCTGTGGGCACTTGTCACCAGAACTCCGAGGTTAGTACTGCTGGAATCTCTGAGAAGCAGCAGAAAATAGATTTCCGCCTCTGGACAGAATGTTGAGTGATCTCTCCCCAAGCTCATGAGAACGGGGGGGGACTCGATCTCGAACGGGGGGCTCCCGGGTCGTCGATGGTGATATTCAGAGAATTTCCAGCCGAAGCTGACTCTCGAAGGAATTTACAGATGCGTCGGATCATCGCGCTCGCAATGCTCATCGCAATTGTGTTGCCACCGGCTTGCGAGTCGACCGTCGGAATCCTCCCGTTAGCGGCCATGGGAGTTGTGGGCTTCAAAGTGTATCTCGGTATGAGACTCCTCGGATCGAGTGCAATAAGCCTGCAGAGCTATCTTCCGACGCTTTCTTCGCTCCATGGTTATGATATATTCGACGGTGAGGACGTCGACGACAGTGATGATGAGGACGACGATCAGGAAAAGTCATCCAAGAAAGCCAGACGGATTCAGAAGAGAGCTGTAGATTCCATCTACAATCGAGCGTTCCCCAGGCTCAATCCTGAGATATTGAAGTTCATACACCAAATCGACGATGACCAATGCTTTGAAAAATTCGTTTGCCAATTGGGAGCCGACCGAAAGGCCTTCGGGAAACTGGGGATGAATGTTGCCCTCATGCTGGAGTTCTACAGCTCCGACCCGAACTCGTGGTACAATACAGCGATGCATAAGGGCCGAAAACTTGGTAAGAAAGACCTCTGCCCGGGTCGATGTGAGAGCGAAGACATCAAAAAAGTTGTGAATTATGTCTCGAAGGAATTATTTTCCGGCTACACGGAATGAGTATGACGTAGATTTCAAGACTTGTGAAGATTTGATTGCCTCATCGAAGAAAGAACCACATGACTGAAATATATTCCATTCTCTCAGAACTTCCGGCTATTTCTTCGTCTGTTTAGAAGGAACTCGACATGGATCCCGATGATATATCATATGAAGAACGATCAAGTCTGCCGAGGTCGCTTGTATGACAGTCCGCGGTTGACGTAGATCTAGCGATTTCTCTAATCTCAACGATCGTGCCATGCTCCAGGAAGGCAGGATATCGATGCTCAGCTGATGCTGGTCGTCTCTATAGTCATATTCAGTCACATCTCCACGAGAAAAAGAGCATTCTTCCGCTCTGTCGGGGCTGAAGCCCGCAAAGACCAGAATCGCTGAATGATCTACGTTTATTATTATAATCATCATGCGACGTCAGGGCCTTGCGTGTACTTTACCTGTGGCTATCGGTGAGACTCCTTTAGGAGAGAAAAACGCCGTCTATATACTCGACGCATCTCGCTCTGCCGATGACTCAATCAGCGCGACTGCGGTACCACGGGTTTCGGTTCGATAACACTACAATTTATTGATGAGATCAGTTATCGCTTCCTCAGCTGAGCGAGAGACGCGCATCAAAAGAAAACGCAGATCGTGCATTGTGGAATCCACTATTTGAGATCATTCGAGAAACGACTCCGATGTCCCCATCTTTCTGACGTCGTCCCCCTGCATCGAACGCTCCTTGAGACCTTTGCATGAAACACTCCGAGTGAGCGATCCGTGAGGTCCGAGTTGCTTTCCATTTCCAAACCGAATGACGATTATCCCAACGACAGTGGGGAAGACCAGTCAACTAGAGTGAGGTGGGGAGGATTTTCTCTTCCGGATTGTGGGAGTCTTCTGCCTTCAGAGATGATCTTCATGACTTGTTGCTGTTAGCTGTCCATGTTTTCGCTCATCCATCCATCCCTCTATTTGTTCGGGTCAGTTTTTCGCTTTTACTTTCTTCGGGTATGTCTACAGCCGAGATCTTCAATCATAAACAAATCGACGAGAGTGGCATTCGGCTCCCCAGGAGTCTTCTCTCAGCGTTTCCAGCCCTGAGTATTGAATTGGCGTCGGGGAGCATTTGTTGGGGATCCGGACGGTTCTTTCCTCTTCAGGGATCTGTACCAACAGACAGGGAGAGATAAAACTCAGTCATTGTAACCTTCTAGCGCTGACGAAAATAGTTCTCCTCGTGAGATCGCTTTACTTTCCGTGAACGAGAGACGACTCAGAGCGGCCAGAGCTCCTCCCCCGTCGAAAAGCATCGGCACTCGAATATCGAAAAAATGCGAAATATAGAAAAATATCCGACGGAAAAGGATTAAGAAACAATAATTATTCAGCCTTTGTGGCGGAGTCTTACTTACACTAGTCATACCTGCTGTAGGGATTGTAGTAGGAAGAGGTGTCGGGAAGGAATGCGAGACGCCTCTCCATTGCACGGTACTCCTCGTCCGAGGCAGGGCCTACGTAGGGGATCACTTCTTCCCCGGTGCGTTTCGCCAGAGCCAGGGCTTGACCCCAACGGCCTAGGGGGGATCGTCGGAGAGTCAGAGATTTGTTCAGAGATGTGCATCCCATCGGCGTCTTAGGCAGATTGACGATTCCCAGATCGCAAAAACTCACCCGGATAAGCTGAAGCGAGCCCGTTCATCACGACGACAACAGCGAAGAATAGAGCGATAGATTTCATCGTCTGCGGAGTGGAAGTGAATGGGCTCGATTCTTGATTCCTTCAGAAAAACTTCCAACTGGATCGAGCTTAGACACCTGAACGAAATCGTGATCCCACCGCAAAGACAGGGATGAGGAGGATCCCATGCCTCGATTGACTTTGGGTAGAAATGTTGCGAATGCGGTCGGATACATATAAGGTTTCCTTATGGAGAAGCCAAGCAAGTGTGTAAATATCTGGGGGAATTCGCGCAAGACTTTGGAGCAATATTAGGATTCGGGATGCGCTGTGTACCCTCAAAGTTGCTCTGGAGGGCTTCCAGCGTTATTGAATACCGCAAGCGACTCCGCGGATCGCGGGTTCGAATAAAAGAGTCGAATCGTCCAGGAGTTTCCGGGGGAGCGAATTTCGATTCATCTGGGGCAGGTGCCCCGACTTGAGAGTAGGCGGAGTTACATCCGATCCCTACAGTTCCGAATTCTCTCAAGCTCGGAGCATCAGCCATCGGGGCTCAGTCCGCAAATGTCTGATGAAGTCCCGCATGCCCGGAAGGGAAACCGATGAACGGAGGGGAACATGGCGCATGAGGCAACTCCGGAATAACCGGAAACTCCCAGAATCTCAAGCAGCGCACGTATCACGCGGGTCAGATCCGACGATTTCTCGTTGAATTATTCAGTCGGGGTCAGGGACTAGTGGGGCTGATCTATGAGCTGCGTCAGAATCGCGGTCGTCTTCTGAATCCGGTAGCCAAGTGTCTCGCATCCTCCAAACTTCGCAATTAGACGCTACGAGGAACGTCCGTCCATAGATATTCAAACATACTACTGACGAATGTACTGCTACCCCGAGGGGAAAAGAGACGGGAGTCGAAAAGGAGCCATAGTCCACGGCATATCCTCACTAGAGAAATGTAGCGTCGCGCGATCCGAAGGAGACAGACGAAATCTTGCGAAGACTCCGCTGATTGGGGGGAGCAAGTCCGCCTCGAGTAAATCGTTCGATGCTCGAGACGATGGAACTCGGAAACACATGTTACCGGATTCCAATATCCTCAACTTGAACAAAGCCTTGGCCGTGCGGGGTGAGCCCGACCGTGCATCCCGCAACTCAAATTTGCATAAGGCAATCGAAGTACAGAAAACTTATGTTGCAAGCGGGTTGAACTCCCAAGTTTCTCGACTCGCAGTCGAGGACGCAAGCCGGAGTTGCGTCGCAGTCCACAGCCGTCAAAGCTCCGGATAGCGACGCCCACGGCCTGGGAAACCGCTCGCGATGTTCGGGCTCTCAGGGCAGCGGCTCCGATCACAAACGTATACCTCCGAAAAAGTCATGCGGGACTGTTCCTCGATTTTCTATCTCTACGCTCCATATGTATATCTGTGTGTATGCATTATGTACGGAAGTCATTGTAAGTTATCATTATCGATCGCTCATCTAGCGAGCTTGCTGCCTCAGTCGGATTGGGACAAGAATTCTCCGGACTTTGAAGAGATTCATAGGCCAAAGGCCCGGACGAACCAGTGCTATATGTAATTCGAGAGAAGGTCATATGAGGCACTCGACTTCAGCAGGCGCACAATATACGCACAGAGCAGAGTCGCAAGTGGACCACTGCGGAAATGGATGGCGCAAGCGGAGCTCCGTCTCTTTGATCCACACTACATTACATCACATTACACATTCGAGCGACGTCGCCCTAGAAGAATGACCACTCGCTGGAGACCTCATATCGCCAGCCCGACAGCCGGCGTCATTAGCCCCATCGTGATGTGGAATTCACTTTTCTCGCTTCGCTGACTGACTGAGTCAAATCAGACTGAAGTTAGAGTCCTCGGGACATGTGAATCTCGCAATTCTCCGAGCACTCTTCGGGGACTTATTTTTGTCGAGGTTCCGTTCGTCGCGTGAAAGCATCGAATAGTCGCCCCGGGTCCTAGGTAAATGAGTTCCGATAGGATATTATGAATACTGACATAAGAGCACCAGGTCTCAACGCCGGAAACAGAGCATGTCCGAGCGGTGTATGTATCGCACTCGGGGCCAGACATTACTTAGGAGAGACCGAATGATTGCGCCGAAAAAAATGAATGAAGGAGACAGAGTACTCACTGAAAACTCTGGCGTACGGGAATTCCTCAGAAATCGCGAAAGGGCTCGTTAAGCTGTCAGGGTTTCTCGTGAACCTCAGATCCGGACTGTGTCAGAGAGTGGGACACGAGGCTTTATGAAGCGGAGCCTCGTACAAGCTCCTCCTTCTCCGCCTTGGCCCTTGCCTCTTACCCTTCCAATCTCGAACCATCCGCGGAGTCACATTACTATGGAGAGGATGCTGGGCAATGTTGAAAGTTTTCTCGAGGCATTTGCGCTGTATTGCGGAGGGTACGAGGTACGACTGAAATGCGCCGGCGTACCAGCCGCTTCTCAACCTGAGAATCGCTATGGAGTCATCGAGGCGAGCTCAGAACATTATTATCCGCCGTGGTGCGCGAGCCGGCGGTTCATCAGCTCACTCAGACACAAGCTTGCTCGATCCACATGCCGAATGGCATTGAGCGAAACTGAAAGAGAACTCGGATTCTATAGCACGCTCTCTGGCCGGAGATATACAGAACTCCAAACAGATAAATCAAAGATCCGGGCTTTCCGATGGCGGTAAGGCTGGAATTAGCCGCTCCCAGATGCCTCCGGCTGATTTCCCTGTCGGGTAGACAGCGTGGCAGAAGGAGGCCAAAATTCAGGATTCATTGGGAAAAATGGGAGAATTCGAACGAGAGGCGACCTGCATCTCTGTCAAAACCTCCCAAGAAACTGACGGCACAGCCTCCTCGGGCTCGCTGCATTGGGGTTGTCGATGAATTCATTCCGTTCGGAATGGAGCCTCCATTCGGATCCGTATAGCATTGGATAATACTATTTCCCCGGAAATTCGTCCTGTGAGATGGATGAGGCCGTCATGAAAAGAAAGGATTGAGGCAGACCATCAAGTTTCCCCTCATCTCATTCACCCGGGGCAGAGTCTGAAGTTGAGGGTACGAGTCCGGTGGTGTCTTCCGACCGACTTCAGAGGAAATAAATATACTCGACGTTTTTTTGACGTCTGATATCTATTGCCATAAGCTACATAGAGCATTGTCCGCCAGCCAAGGCGCATTCCGAGACCGGGAAATGAACTGCATCGATGAATGACTGGGAAATCATGCTCTGAGAAGCTGCTTGAAGAGTCTCGGAAGAATCAATCGAGAATTTTTCACGAAGCTCCCTACGCTTCGGCGGATAGATACCATGGCGGAGTAAGACCTACGAAGTCATTCTGCGCTTAGCTTGCCAGTTCACTCCAAGCTATGACAGAGCTCTCGTTCGTCAGACACCGACTTTATCCATTCGATCTGATAGTTCTCAGCCCGACCAACAAGAGAAATCACAATTTTGTGCCGGTAACTTTGAACCTCCATGGGTCGGGGGGAAACCTCGTTCCGCGGTTCCCTCGGTTCCGACGACCAATAACGACCTTATAGGGCTTGATCGACGCGGAGTGCCATGTCTGTGTCGGTTGGGCCATACTCGATCCTCTCGACTGCCCGATGTCGACTGATTCCTGTCGGAACCCGATTTGAGCCGAGAAAGCGATCCTATGTAGAGTCCCTCAGGCTCAGGAGTTCGAATGCTTGCACAGAACTTTTCGGTGGGAATGTGGATGGATCAGGTGCAGACGGCAAGCATTTCAGGGGATCGGTGAATTTATCATGGAGTACAGTCGATATGTTGCTCCGCTTCAATTCCATTCGATGCAGCCTCGCGAGTGATGCTGATGCTCGAGCCCTCTCCCGATTGGGCATGACGCTCGGCCAGAAAGCTCGCGTGTAGGGAGTTTCCGAGTCTTTCTTCTTCGTGTTTGTCGATTTCCAGCGAACGCCAGGAGATTCAGGGGATCGGGTCGATGGGATGCAGGAGACTCGCCTGTCAATCTGACACCAAGGAAGACTTCGATTCGGCGCTCGAACTCGAGGGGCCACCACCGGAGATCCATATCGTGGCCTTGCGCTGTGCTCGCGAAGAATTCATCAAGTACGGCTTGGTGATAGTGCGAAAATACGGCTTATTCAGCAACCTTTCGCAGTATCTTCATTCATGCTATGCTTGTTATATGCTCGTGAGGCTTGTGAGAACCAGGGTCGTGCAATGTTGATCTTGATGCCTGTTCCGATCGCTCGCCAGACACCGGAGATTCTTCTCCCCGGTCGCCGAACTCGTTTTTTCATTCCGATTCTCGCCGCCCTTCTCATCGAGACCAAGCGTTCGCGCTTCTTCCACAACCTCCATCTCACCCGACAGCAACTGCACAACGAACCGGTTCAATGCTGCTTCTTTATAATTCGGTGATTGATAATCGAGTCCGGATTCCACGATGTACGCACCTGAAGAAACGCCCCGGCCATGATCACGTGTACAAAGGGCTTTTATTCGACCGGAAACCATCATGAATACAATTTTTTCACATATCGATTCATCACGATTCTCGGAGGATCGCCATCCACATGAATTAGCGGCTACCAATAATGTACTCAAACATTCCATAGCAGAGCCTCCTCAGATTCCGTGAGGATCCCGCGTGACCTCGTCATTGAGGGCCTTGTCCTCGCGCCCACCCATATACTATATCATCCTCGATGAGGGAGGTCTCAACAGATCATCGGGGTTTTCTACGGATTACTCGGCTCCAGGTGATGAGAGGGAGTCGAAACTGCCGGGGAGCATTGGACGGGGCGAAGTGATTCCCGTCGATCGACCGCAAACCGACGTCACCACCGCGGGGCAATGTATTATTCCGTCGAGCCCCCCGCAGCCCCAGGAGTACAGCATTGCCGGAAAACCGTGACGAAAGGTCCTAGTTGGACCGAGATTCAACGGATACACCGAAGGAAGTTGCTTCTTGGTTACTGACAAATACATAATAGCTTTACGTGGGTCTTCTTTCCGGGGGTCCGGGTTCCAACGGAGCATTGGCGTAAAGTTACTGAATTTGAAAACACTTCAGATCCTCGGGCCCGAAGCAGGCCGGAGCTCGTCTATCAATCTCGTTCAGAAGATCCGACATCGAGCAGCGGATTTTTTAAGGTCGAGGGATGACGGCGAAGTGAAAATTTGCCCGGAGAAGCACCATCCAACTTCAAGAATATGGCGAAAGCGGAGCCCATCACTCAGGCGTCGAAATTATCCGTCTTGCACCGGACATTCCCCTTCTGTGTCGAAAGCCTAAGAAGCAGCTGCTGCTCGGAACTTTGAATGCCAGACGCCCTCCAAATTGCTCATTCCTCCCCAAGAGATGAGGATAACAAGCGCTGCAACCGAGTAGATCAGTGGACCACGATATACCTCGACTTATCTCCATAAGCTCATTATCGGGCCTTAGCAGGCTCGCGTTAGATAACTAATGCCTCTCCACGTCTCACTCGCGCCCACTCGCCGTCTGCTGCGAGAGATCCTAGGCGGCGTCTGAGCTCCGGTTTACCAGAAATTCCCATGTCTCAGAAAAACAGGGAAGCGAATCAGTATGTGGACGACTACGATTAGCGAAATGGAAGGAGGAATTATCGCTACCTCGATATCAATTATGTAACATGAAGTGGTATTCGCTGTCTGCCCAAACTCCAGACCTGACGGACACAGCCCGCAAACATCGCATAACCTCGAAGGGGAAGAATCTGCTTCGGATGATACCCAAGCTGCGGCCGTTCTCTCCGAGGATAGCCGAGTACAATACCACGAATTTCCGATCGCTAGAAGTGATTTTGATCGATGAGGTGCCTGTCTAGTAATTTTGGCTGGAACAGCAATATACAACGATTGCGATCATAAGATGGGAGGAGTCACGCTCTTCCAGATAATCCATCGAAGAATTCCTGGGCCTTGGGCCCATGTGTCTTCAAGATCAATTATATTGGTCTCTGTACCGGCGGCATTTTGGGGGATTCGGAGTTCGCTGAGTTCATAATCATGTGTCCCAGAGTCACGATCGATGTCGGCATGAGAATTGATAATGCAATCGAAATGAAGGCGGATTCTCACCAGATGCCTCTCGGCAGCTTGAAGCTCCGGCGAGAAAATCCACTTAGATCATCGAAAACCTTCCAACATTGAGGGAGTCAGCATCTGATCCCAGAATTTGATTACATCGGAGCAAATTCGACAGCCGAGGGCAGCGGGTGTGACCCGGCTCTACCGGCGCGGTCGAGAGCAATCTTCCCCGCTTAGGATTAAGAGGAGTTTCCCGGGAGAACACCTACGAGTGGCATTTCGTAGGATTAATGAATTTGTGCTGAACGCCCTCGACGGCCGACCTGAGGTATCGGTCGAGCCCTTTCCGGGCTCGTTCCCCCACAGCAGACGCAGAACCATGCTGCCTTGATGCGGTTTTCGTTTCCCCGGAGGAATGAAGTGCTAGAACGCGGGACGAATAGAGGATCATACTCCGGACCTTGATCGAAAGTAAGCTGACGTCAAGTTCCCCTGCTGCAGGAAATAGAGAATCAAAGCTTGAAATGCTCCGAGAGAGGAGACACGTGACAGCCGAGGATACCTGGGGGGAAAATTAGATAATGCATCGGGGGAACGGAGCTAGAGAGCTGCTGTTTTCGATATTTTCCCGTTCGCGGTTCCACGGTAGGATGGCAGTTCATCTTCTTTGGCTCTGGGCCTTCTGGAAGAAATCCAGCTCTACAACGCTTCTTGGGCTACGCCGGTCTACTGTGGGGTACAAATTCGGTCAAATTCCTCCCTTCCGAAGAAATCGCTAGGTGGAACTGAACGCATCGAAGTATTTCTTATCGGAATACGTGGGTAGGTCACGCCGATCCACGAGCGCCTTTGGCGGAGAAATCGCAACGAGTCAAGACTACCAAGACTATCAAGCAGTGCATGGCGAAAAAATAAAACAAAATTCCGTAGTGTAAATATGCGCAATTTACTCGACTCATTGAAAATACACAATCTATCAAGCTGAAGTTGCGAAACCCCTAAATTTCAAGCCCGAGATTCGAGAGTCGAGACCGCAAACGCAGCGTTTCAGCGTGATTCCCTATCCTTCGAGATGCAAAGCGAGAGAGCCTGCAGACATCAAGTTCAAAACATCGATATGAGTTCCATGACAGGACCCTGCGCGATCACCGGCACCACAAGATATATAGCGTGTGAAGTTCTCGACACTCATTGAAGCCGCAAGTCGTAGCAGGATTTGATGCATGTACTTGTGAGAGAATAAATAAATTGTGAGTAAGGTGAATTATCTTCGCCATCTTGAAGATACACTCTGAGGAACAACCAAGCGTACACTCGATGGCAAGTCGCATGAGACATAGTATGGAAGAAAATGTCCTAACTATGGTTGAAATGCCGCCAGGGTTTGGAACAAACTTCGACGGGTCCTTCGTCATAACTATGCCTCTCGTGTTATTGCGTTTGTGAAATCGTCAAGAGCTTTCGAGAGATGTCCTTGTAGTCTTGATTTATGTATGTGAGATTCGAGCATTAGGATATTCTTAGGTGATACTACACATTGAGAGGTGAGGCAGGTTCCTCACCTCGACATGATGTTCACCTTCGAACTCCGAATTCTTCACAACATTCCCGCGCCATGTTTCCCTAATATTCAGACGCATTCAACATGCGTGTTTCATCCTGGAGGGTGTCGAGTGAGTTTCTAGCAGACAATGCTTTGCAAACTCACTCGGATTGTCCACCAGGTTTCTCGAATCGGCGAACCATCAATCATTGAAGGTTCGAAAGTCCACATAAGAACTTCAGCAATGACGGGATAACCCTCCAAAGCACCAATGTGTCTCCCGAGCCAGGATGTGCTATCGTAACGATGTTTGTGTCATTTTATGATAATATGCGAGACCAAGTCGAAGGCACTTTTCATGAGCCGGCAAGGGAAATGTCCGGCACGAGCAACTATCTTCTATATATATGTATGAATGTTTGTAGCTTTTCAGAAGATCGCAAGCCAACGGACCGAGGTGAAGGGCTATCCGGCACCGGTCGCTGCTCTGGACTGAGATCGCAGGCAGTTGCTCGATTGAGCGAATCATCACCTTCAGCTAATCTGAGAGATTGATGTCTGCTGAGCAGTCGGCATTGTGCACGTATATGATTCTGTGTCCGATACAGTGATTCCGAATATTGACGATGAAATGCACTCCTGATATCTAAGTTCCCGGGGCGTAGTCGGGACTGCAGTTTCCCAAATCCCATGTCGGAAATTCATGCTTGCGCGAATGCGAGCGTCTATATGATTATTCTTTGTCGGCCAATATCTCGTCAAGGTTGAGGGACTTGGTCAGCGCCTCGAGATTCTCGAAGTCCTCAGCGCTCCCGTTGATGACGCGAGTCTCCTCTGACACCGTGACGGCTTTCTTCGTCACGATCACCTGCGTTGAACGATGTATTATTGATTGCTACTGTTGGACCTGATATCGAACAACGGTTATTTTCGAATGTGATGTGATCAGAATACCATACGGTTGAACGAACCTCAGTGGTCTCCAGAGTGAAGCCGTCGCCTTCCTCAACCTGTTGCGTGATTTTTCGCTCAGCTACTTGCTCGGTCTGGATTTTCTTCTCTGCGTTCCCGTCATCGGACTTCTCGACAGACCGGGTTTTCTTTTCCTTCTTCTCGTGACTCTCGTTCTTGTGCACCTGAGAACGCGAGTCATTCTTTGAATTCGAGATCGAGTATGCAGGACGAACAGCGTTGGGAGATAGCTGGCTTCTGAACGGAATGTTTTACATACGGTTGTTTCAGATTCCTTTCCATTTCCGGTCTTCGGCTCGATCACGTTATTGCGATTATTGTCCTTCTTCTTCGCGCCATTCGCAGCTGAATTCTTCCTCGAGTTCTTCTTGTTCTTCTTAGACACGCGTTTCTCTCGCGCATCGCTCTCCGGAACCGTCTTCGGGAGAATCCGAAATTTCAATTAAAAACACTAGCAGACACTGACTAATGCATCGTTCCACCTTCTAGAAAGAAAGGAGGCTCACCTTCTTCGGAGCGGCGGCTCCGCTTAGACCCACATCGATTGGTCGCTCTTCTACGTCAGTCTGGCGCAACACTTCACGCGTTTGTTGCTGCGACGCTTCACTTGCGACTGAGACATCACCGCCAGCTATGGGCTGCGATTCCACGGGTCTCTCTTCTATTGTGGGAACATCGATGGGCTTCTGTGGAAAAGATATTTCGACTCGTAAGGAAGGAAATCGTTGCAGGGAAGGAATATCATATCATGTGATGGAATGATGAGAATCCCTCAGACAGATCCATGCCAGCGCGGTTCTGTACCTCGATTCTCGATTGATCGTCCGCAGCGGAGTGCTTCCCACCCTTGTTTTCGCTCACGACTTTTTTTTCAGTTTTCGTCTTCGTCACAGCCCCCCCATCGTCTCTCGTTTTCGGAGAAGCAGATTTCGTTTTTCCAGCTCCCAGCTTGTCTACTGTAGAATCAGCTTCCGCCAATCCAACTTCGGCAGAATCCTTGTCCTTCGAATCCTTCGATTGCGCGTCTCTCCTCGTTTCCTTGGGCGATGATTTCTCCTTGGTGGGTGATTTCTCCTTCACAGGCGACTTCCCCTTGGACGGCGATTTCTCCTTGATCGGTGTCTTCTCCTTAGAAGGAGACTTTTCCTTAGACGGGGTTTTTTCCTTGGACGGCGACTTTTCCTTGGTCGGCGATTTCTCTTTGAGCGGTGATTTTTCCTTGGACGGTGACCTATCCTTCGCCGGTGACTTCTCTCTTGCCGGCGACTTGTCCTTTCTTTGCTTCTTGCCTACTTTGCTGTCGTCTCCCACTTCTTCGACGGCAGCAGTTTTCTTTTCAGGCGTTGAGGAGGTTGAAGAGCGTCCCTTGGGTGCGTTTTCTTCTTTATCAGAAGGAACAGCGGCGGACGCGGTATCCTGTTTCCCAGAGATCGCGAGTTTCGGCTTTTCGGGTGTGGTGCTTCGTCGCTCTTTGACGGCAACCTTGAAAGAAAGTTTCCAGCTTCAGGCTGAGTCTACTCGAAGGCTGTAGTGTTATGTTCCTGAAGTTCATACGCGCGAAGACCACAGTACTTACCTTTACATCGACAGCTGCCTCTTTCGGCTTGATGATTGATGTCTTCCGTTTGGGTCTAGCGCCTTCGGGGAGCTCGAGAAGCCCACAAGGAGCCGTAATTTTTGTCGCTGATACGGAGACCCGATCGAATTCGGATGCGGAGTTCAAGTAGAAGCCTTCGCCGAGGGGAGTGAAAACGGCTGACGAAATTCCATTGACGTCGTCTTTCCGACAGCAGTCTGCCGTTATGATGCGACGCAGATCTGGCAGGGAGAAGACGATGATCTGTCCCTGGTTCGTCATCGCGATGAGTCCGAACTCGCTACGTTCGTTGTTCTTGAACTCTGCGACCTGGAGTTTTCGAATGCGGGAGCCTTCGTTCGCCGTCAATTTGACCTTATGCAGGGGCTTGAGCTGGGAAGGGAGAACACCTTGATCTGTTCCTCTGAGCAGATCACCACTCTCCACAGGTTCGGTACTGAGCTCTCTTTCGGATGGGCATCGTGGCAAAGGAAACCGTGCGAATCCACCACGAAAACTCCGAGAACTGGAGCGTGATGCTTGAGATGGATCTCTTTGCACAAAGTCATTGCCAGTGATTCCTCGGTTTTCTTCAAGGCGTAAACGAACACGGCACCGGAGTTGGTGGATGCCCAGAATGTACGGGACGTCGAAGAATGAGAGAGAATATATGCTTCGCTGAACAAAAGAGAGCGGACCATGGAAGACAGGCCGTCGTCTTGCATGATCCGGGACTCGACTTGTCGCTCCACCGGTTTCACGTCATCAAGGTTCTTGGCGGTTTTGCCTCTCTGCGAACGACCCTTCCGTAGACGGCGGAAGCTCTCTCGTAGCGACTTCTTGAAGCTCTTCCGACGAACCATGTCGCCAGAATGAGCTCCCACACCTCCGTGATCCGTCTCGTTCAATGTACATTTGAACATGACCACCTGATCCGTAGCGATGTCCACACACCCGAAGCCGTGCGCCGTACCGACGGAGACAAGGTTCCACTCCTCGTTCATCGCGAGAGCGGTGACGCTTGCTGGCGGCTTAACCTGAACCACGTGGGTCAAATTATATCGGCTTTGGAAAGGCGCCGCTGTGTCGTGGGTCAGGGCGTCGTGACCTTTCCAGACGAAGTGGTCGCGGTCTCCGACCAGATTCAACGAGGTCACTTTGACGTCCAGATTCGGTTCCCCTAAGCCGAGTACGAGAATTTGTCCGGCTGTACCGCCGATAGCCAAGGTTCCGCTGAGGGAGTTGAAAGCAAGCTTCTTCACAGCGAATCGGGGGTCATCCGAGTAAGGATCGAAGGAGCAAACTTTTGTGAATTGCAGGAACTCGTCCTCGTCCTGATCCATCAGACGCGAGGAATCGTGGCACCTAGCGGGAACGGGGAGAAAAAGAGAGACGCTCATTCGGGGAGTTCCTTCGAAAACTCAACACGCGCATTCGGATTCTGATGCGCTATCATGGGGACATGAGTCTCGGGCTGGATGAAGAGATATCATACCTTTCGGCGAAAATTGAGCTCGTTTTGATGCAAGACAGAAGTCGGAGGACGACTCCCGTCGCATCATAAATCCTCACGCTGCCGTCCTCGTGTCCCGTTAGAACGAGATCCGAGGTCTCGTTCTCTGTTCCGACCGGTTTCTCGAGTTTTCCGCCTTGAATCGGCCATTTGGTGCAGGAGAATTCGTTCGCGGCGACGTCGTCTGTGAGCTTCGCGACAATCTCTTTCGGAACTCCCGGCGCGTGGATGACGTTCGTGATGGCTGAGCAATGCAGAGGGAACAAATAGGGCAGAGCGAGAGGCTTAAGATCCTGAAGGCTGATAGCGACAACCTCCTCTTCGACGAGAACCACAACGACTTTCTTCGCTACGACGAAGAAGTCGAGAACCTTCGAGGTGAATTCGAAAACTTTACGCTCGATGGGTCCCCGATGGATTGACAGCGTGTACCGGTCACCGTACTGCGCCCGAGGCATGCCGCCGGAGAAGATGAGCGTTCTTTCATTGTCGAGCGCGTAAAGCTTATCTATGGCTTTGCAGTGATGTGGGCCGTAGATTTGATCGACCTGGAACGAATCGAGCACGAATTCCAAGAGGAGCTCAAAATTCAGACACCGTGATACGAGCTCGAGCTCACCCGTTCATCGATGCTCACCTGTTTAGTGGATGACGAGAGGATCGTGCTCCAAACGGCGTACCCTCCGTCGGTGTGACAGGAGACAAACTTGCAATCATCCACGATGTGGATGGATGAGAGATCCTTCCGAGAGATATAGGTTTGTTTCGCTGAAAGCTTGTTCAAATCGAACAGCACAAGAATTCCTCGCTGGTAGCCAACGATGCACTGATCTTGATTGAGACACCGCAAACATTCCACTCCTCCCGGGCTGACTTTGAAATCTTCAGGGACCTGAGAAACAGATTGGATGACGCATGGAATACAGATACTCCCGCCATCTCCTCGGAGGGTGTCCTCCGCTCCCCGATAAACTCTCGATGAGGAGCTAGGGTAGCCCGTTCGAGGCCCTATTTTAGTGATATTCTTATTCGTGATCGAAAAGCGAGCAATACCTTCTCAGTTATGAGATCCCGTTGCACAACCAGATCGGTGAATTTGAAAGTTTCCAGATCGACAACATAGATATCACCCTGCTCGGTTCCGAGCAATAGCTGCGTTTTGTTGGGTGAGATGCAAACACTGAAGATGCGCTTCTCGAAGTTGTCGATCGTTCCCACGATCTCCACCTGGGTGTCCACGATTTCCCACAAGGTGAGCTCATTGTTCTCTTGGACCGTTACCAAGCGCCCTATAGCAGAAACTTTTTTCAGATTCGTTCGAGAACGTTGACAGAGACATCATCTCGAGTCCCACGGAAATCAATCCGACGGATGTCGTGAACTGCAATTATTGGTTTTCTTCTATGATGAATTGCTCACCTTGACCAGGGACGAAATGCACTTCTACGACTGAGCTCTCTTGCGCATGGTATCCCACGAACTCGACTCCAGGTGCGCCGTAAACGCGGATTGCTCCGTTTTTCGTGCAAATGCACATCAAAGAAAGATCTTCGTCGTAGGCCAGAGACGAAGGCGAATGTGGGAATCCGTGAAACACGGTCTGAAATCAACACGACACATCAGGCGAATATCGTGTGAGCGGAAAATCATGAACTTTCGATTATCATATGTGATTTCTCCTCCACGATACTCATAATCGAATCATCATCGAATTTACCCGAGAGAACGCGAAGAGTTCCTTAACGGTCTTCGCTCGCTCGAGCGTGTAGCCTTTCCGGCCGGTTATGAACTTGAACATCTTGTAAAAATTTATTGTGTGCTCGGTTTGACACGGAGAACTCGGATATTATCGATGATGCACTGAAATACAGAAAGTGAAATCAATATCGGCTTCGACGATAGCGTTTCTGGGACGAGCCCCGCTCGATTCTCGGAAGAAGTTTGGCGAGAGCTCCGAACCCCACCCGATGAGCTTGTCGGTAGCAGAGATATGCAGACCCCACCATTCGATATCTGCGATAGCATTCGTGGCAGCGAAACGCTCGTCGGTCCCAATCGTCGGAGATGGACCCCGATTCACATACGGGTCAGGTCAGACGAACGGGCCCTGATGTTGGCGAGCCCCGCCGCCACACAAATCGTGCGAGTCATCACAAAATTGATTTGGAATCCCTCCCATCGGTACGCGAACGCGCTGCAAGCTCCTAAACCCAAATTGTTCCGGGGCTGAGCATAGTTTTTCGAATCGTTTCGTTACGTGTCCTCAGGACGGAGCTATTGAACGTCACGCGGAGTGAGACAATGCTTTCTTTCAGTATAATGGTTCTGCTCTGCCGCAGAAAAGTCGGGACGCGGTGTCCGGTTGCCATAGAATACGTGGCCGCGTCTGTCGGAGGAGGGAGTCGCCGCGGTGAGAGCGACAGCACAGATGATTCGGAGTCACAGCGGGTCTGGTCGCTTCCAGCCAAATTTCCGCACAAACTGAGCGGAGCGACACAAGAAACAGGCTGGACTCTCCCCTGTTCCCCAATTCGACCAATTTGAATTAGGCGAGTAAGAATTGTGGAGCTCAGCTCCGATGTCCGAGAGGACTCGCGAAGTTGATCTCGGAGACGATTCCGATCATGTTTCGAAACGCAAAAGGGTGCTTCCCTGTTCATTCACAGAGAGGGATCGGTCAAGAAAATTGATTCGGAATAATTCGAACAGGAGCTCGCTCGGCTCGCCTGATGCGCATTGGCGGCGAATTTCCTCATCGGTAGGGGATCGGATTCGAGGGTCTGACCGATAGCGAGAGCCATTTATCTCTCGCGAGACGAGAATCATCTCACTGGTCATCGTTTCGGAGTGACGTGACCCTTTGAAATGAATCATCTTACGATGTCAGATGTCGAAACCGCGCATGAATCATCCCGCGGAGAAATCATTTTGGACTTCTGCCGACCTTATGGAACGCTTGCCGAGGCTCAGACCCGGCGAGCTGCTCTAGGTTACGAGAATGGTTTCTGGATCGACAATAATCATCCACTCGAAGCGTATCGCTCGTCAAAATATCGGCAAAGGTCGATTCGGGGATCGTACTCGTCCGATATCTGACGACGGTAGATTCCTCTAGAATATGACCGAATCCCAGTATCGACCGTGGCTGAGTGACTTGACGCAGTTTCAAAACTCGGCGAGTTCTCCCTGCCAACGATCCCCCCTACCCCTATCTAATGAGTATGCCGTCTGAACTCGAGAGGCATACAACAAGTTTCCAACCTGTTGAATACATGTCCCCGGCTTCCGCTCCTGACCGTCAGTAGTTTCTGTTGTCGGTCGCGTTCGATAGCGCGGCTATTGTTGCTTACCCAGCCGGCACTCCCAAGAGTCCAGGATGGCATCCGCTTCCACAAAGCTGTTGTCACGAATACCACACGCCACAAATGCGAGCGTGTCGCAGCTCACTCACGACAACGATACACGGGTTGACAGCTAGAAAAACGATGCGAAGTATTGCACCAACGTACAATAATGTAGCAACACTTCTCTATGTATCTGCCGTGTGCCGAAGGTGTCTCCGTGACGGGCTGTCCGTCCCTCTGGCAGCCTGTTGCCAGTGTATGTCTATGTACCAAGACAAGCGGCGGCGATGGCGGCGGCAACAACTTGAAGAGCGATGCTGAGTTGGACGAATGGAAGAATTTCTGTTATTTCTGCTGTCGCTGCCTCCCTTCTACTAGCTGCTGCTGTGACGGACCGGTGAGCTGCTAGCCAGCGGCGGCGCGACGGTGAACGAACACAACAACGGCAACAGAAGAGCGGGAGGAGATGATGATGGTACCTCCCTCACTCGTCGACGACGGCGACCACCACCACCGCTCTTTCACTCACGGGCGTGGCGCTCGGAAGCCCACGATGAACGCATATCTCACGGGACGGGCGCTCCGATTGAACCGCCGTCCGAAGCTCTACGGCTCCGATCTTGATCTGGACTCATGCGCACAGCATGCCGAGAATTTCCAGATATCTGTCTGTCTTCTACCGTTGAGTCCGCAGACCGTAATGGCGATCCCAGCCGTCGGTGCTCAGCTCGGAGAGGCCCATCACCCATCCCCATCAGCAAATGACGGAAGTGTTCTCTGCGAGGATCGTGCCTGCGGATTTCGATCCGGATCTGTACTTCCCACATGAGAAAATCCGGGAAAGAAGCTGAAGAATTTACATGTGGGGAAGATCCTCAGCTGCCGGGAATTTCTCCAGGCGAAAATTTTGTTAACTGCATCATCTGTTGCGATGGTCTTCGAGGAGTAAGTGACTCCTGACCTCCGATGATTGCGATCGATCAGGGAAAAATATCCGGAAGTGGATTCGAGGAGTGTTAGCAGAGGCGCGAAAGACTGGCGACGACTTATTTGAAAGACTGCCCGACAGTCCGGAAAACTGAGGGACCATCGGGGGTAATCGAGCGGGGAAATGGCGATGAGCTTGGTGATTACGGCAGAAGGGGAGAGGTTCGATACTGGACAACAGGCTTCGACTGCCCGGGTGACCAGAGGAATTCGACGACTGTCATACAATGATGAGGAGAATCGACGGAATGCCTCAACCTTCTCCACTTTCTCCACTTCCGTCCGCCACCTGACGCCGTCCACGGTTCCGTCCACGATGGGACCAACGGGGTCCACAATCTGAGGGATTCGCACGTGTCAGGGTAGATTCAGCCGACCAATCGAGGAGACCATCAGCGTGATATGCACCGTCGAAGGCCTGGCGGGAAGCGGAAACAGCAACTTGGAGTGGCGAGCTCGATCCATATCCTGCTGTATCACGTTCTCCATCTATGATATCCGGACGCGAGCGCCGATTCCATATTCTCATGACAAACTTCCTTGCTCGCTCGAAAATGGCTCATTCTCGGCTAGTCTTCGTACTGAGACTTCTCTGAGACAGGGTCAACGCGGCTCTCTGATCCCTCGATCGAAGTACCTGGTCGGACGGGCTGAGAGTCAAGTCTCTGAAATATTACCTAGGGAAGTTCTTCCCAATGGGCTCCACGATAAGCTCTGTGATTTCGATGTGAACTTGTCATGGTTATTCCTAGCGTTTTGACGCCGCGCCCCAAGCGCGCAAGAATCACGATTGCCATTCGATCACGAATCGTATTCTCGAACCGCGCATCTGCCGTTCGCCCCCCGGGCGAATCGCGGATTTCACTCACGGAAACCGAGACGGAGAGTACGAATAAATGCTCCCGACGCGGGATGACACGCATCGGAAGCCACTAGGTTTCGAGCTCGGCGCATCCGACGGAAGACTGACTCATTCGTTCACGGAAGCGCAACTCGATTCCTGAATTCACGTATTTGCGCAAAACTCACTCCATCGACAGCTCGCGTCGGGTATCCATCAGTCTGATTCCTGCTGAGGGACTCGAAGACCATTAGAACTCTCTCAGAGATCATGTCGAGTGGAATCTGGATTCCGAAAGCCGCCTAGCACAAAGATGTTGCATCGGACTTCTGGGGGGAACCTATGAGAATTTGGCCTCGTCTATATTTCTGGTCTTTATTATCGGAAGGAAAATCGCTCCCGATTGAACGTTTCATCCTGGATGAGGAAGGGAGACCAGCTGACCAGCTGAAGACCTCCCGCATGACTCCCTCTGAGCTTCTATCATTTCTGGGACTGACTACGTGTAAGGTGTCATCCCCTGAACGAAGCTCGAAGTCTCTATCTCAAGACCCAGTCTACCTTCGATGAGACAAGTATCTCGATGGAAAGGATTTCAGTTTATGTCCCCATGACGAGCAAGAGGACTGAATAAATGTAGAAGAACTTTATTCCACAATCGAATATGGCTGCGTGTAGAATCGAGGGTACAGCTCTCGGGAGACGGTCATTTTTGTTCGGAACCGTTCTCGCACTCGCTCCACTCTAGATCGAGCTCAGCATAGAACTCGTTTGGTGACCGTGTCGTAGATGTAGACATGGGGCACATCAAGGTTGCAGGAGCTCATGAAGCATTGGGATCTATGAGCAGGCAAGAAGAGCACATCATGATGGGGAGGATGCGCAACGCTCAATTCTTCAATCGGAGTACGTCCTGTCAGACCGACCGCGTGTATCTGCAAGGCCTGCGGTTCATCGAGAATTAGTGTCACGATCGGGTCCAAGTCTAAGACGACAATTCCGGAACATCACTTCCGTCTTTCTTTCGAATTCAGACATGGATATTTCTAACCTGAGCCGGCAGTCTATCGATTTCGTCGTAATTCTTCAGGTCGAAAACCATGCTTGGATCGACATATTCCGAATAGCCGTTGTCAGGGAAGTTGATATAAACAAAACCTCGATCATCATATTGGGGTCCATCCTCCGAGACGCACATGGCTCGGTCATAGAATCTCACATCGTCACCCTCAGCTATGTGCACGACGTACCAGCGGAAGGGTACGATCTGAAAGGGCGAAACGTTCCGATTAGGTACAGCTATGCTCCCATACATGCGAGACGAGATTATCCTTCGTCCGCTTCTTGTGCCTGGCTTCCTCTCATCTCAAGATGAGCCTCATCGGGCTACTTCCATACCTCTGTTGTCGGCGATTTAGGGTTGAAGGCGTACGTCTGGCGCTCCCATTTTTCAAGACCGGGTCCCTTGACCTGTACCATGAGAGACCGGTCTTCTAATACACAGGACAAGTACCCGTGAGTTGAAGGCTGGTCCATGTCGATCTGCGGTACTAGCTCACTACTTGGCTCACTACTTGGCAGAGCTACTTGGCTCTTGTTGCCGACAGATTGGTCCGGCTCCTCAAAGATATCGTCCAGCGCCACTGAAGCTCTCTGACCTGACTCTTCCGGTAGATCGGAGGAAGCACTCTCCCCGCTGAAGAACGTCACGCCGTCCTGCGTGCCGTTTCTATTCTCAACCGAGACGGCGAATCCTCCAGGCTGAGATGAGTCACTTCGAAACTCTTGCTCGATAGGTCGACTCTCTTGACCAGTGAGATTCGTTTTAGTTGACAGAGAGATCTCCTCGGATACCTCTCCGAAATTTGGCTTGGGGCCCTCGAAGCCCGGTGTGGAGTCCACGTCTCCAGGCGACATAGACGACTGACATTGTAGAACTTGAGAATAAGATGAGAAAGTCATTGGAATCGATAATTAGAGCGAGCGAAAAATACACAAACATAAACCGGAACATGAAAAATTGAATACCCTTCGGAGCTAGCGCGTCGATCCCGGTCAGGATCTTCTTGATGACGTTCGTCTTCGCTCCAGCTTCAGTGCAGAAAAATCCCGGATGACTCTGGATTTTTTCGTTCCCCCAAGTAGCGACGCAGAAAACCTCCCGGAATGCAGCGCCGGAATTCGTCGTTTGGAAAGTTGGCTCTATGAGATGTCTAACGAAGCACTCTTCAGCCAATTGGTTCTCAAGATTGGGGAGGAGCGCAGCAGCATCCGCTTCATCCTGAAACAAGCAAAAGTCTCAAATCGGCCTTGACTAATCTTCATTGGCTCAATCCATGTTCGAGCGGAGAATCGGATGATGCAGACAGAGAAACTGACCTGATAGACTGCGGTCTCGAATCTCCGAGCTTGCTTCGCCAGAGACGCCGGAAGAGGACTCCTGACCTCACCTGCCCTCGGCTCCTTCTTGTTCCGGTGCTCCGGCGGATTCGGCGGGATGACCGTTGAGACTCTGCTTGGCTGAACCTTTGTACCATTCCGAAGGGGAGCGGGAGCTCCCTCAAACTTCAGCGGCTCACTCTCTGCCATTCCGAGAGGTTCGAACTCAGGCTCGTCATACCCCGAGGGGAGCAGATGGGAGATGGATGGCAGTCGGAGCACCTTTTGGGAGAGAGAGGGCTTCATCGAGTTCCTCCTGAGACTCCACAAGATTAGGGTAAACATAAGGAGATGGATCCGGAAAGCACCGAAATCCTTCCCTTCGGCGATCTCGAACTTCTAAACCGTCCTGACCCGGAGAAAAGGGCTCCCCGATGATGATATGCGCCGAATTCGTTCAGCTCCGGGAGGATCGCTCAGAGGACATTGCTTTTAAATTTCTGGGCACTCTATGGTCTCGCTTCCGCTTACGGTCGGAAGGAGACAGGTCGCTCGCTTTCCGAAAGTTCTATTTTGCTCTTTGAGGAAAGCTTAAGCATAAGACGTTCGCATCATGTGAGGCAGATGGGCCCCTGGGATTCCAGGAACAGGGAAGGATTTGAATCAATGAGATATCTGATGCTAGGCCTAGGCGAAAACTTCCGTCCTCCAAGAAGCTGTCTCTCGCAACTGTTCAGCGTAAATTCGAGTCATAGGCATTAGGCATGAACGCTGAAGAAATCTCACCCTCACGACGAAGTGGCCATCCGCCGCTCTTTTGACCCGGCAAATATCCGCGAATCTGGTCACCAAGTATTTTTCCAGCGCAACGTGATTCTCGACAGAGGGTAGCTCGATGTCGAAGTTTTTCCTCAGTATTTGTTGGACGTGATTAAGAGGAACTTCGCCTCCTGCTGAGACGAGGGCGGCTCCCAGGAGATTCTTGAGGAATCCTTCTTCGACCATTTCCGAGTTAGAATCTTCCCTGATCACTCACGAAGAAAATATTCAGAGCGCCGTGAAGTGTGCACCAAAATAAGGGAACAAAATGTCGCGATGTTCAATGGAAGCCCGCCAATGGGATATGGAATGGAAGGTGATCCAATGTCTGGCGAAAGAGGAAGTTGCCCGACTCGACTGCCGCGTCGGTTTGAATTATTTTCCGGTGCAGGTCGATCCTCGCCTTCTACGCTCTCGATAGTTCGGGCTTGAATGCTTTATTGGAGTGTTTGGTTCGTGGATCGGTGATTCAGTGATCGGCTCGATGAAAACTCGATTCATGGCGAGACTTCGGCTCCGCAAAGAAACGACATGTATTTCGCGAGGGCGCGCCCTGAAATTGAGAGCGCTACTAGAGGCTGCAGTTAGCAGCAGAGGCTAGAGAGATGATGGAACAGAGGATGGGAAAGCCATTCCTGATGCATGCTTCCCCGAAAACCCCAGGGATTGCTGAATCGTCTCGGAGGGATTTCCCGGAGCGGCTTTCAACTTTGGCGGTAGATTACGACTGGTACGCCAGATGCGTAACGAAATGGACCACGATGTAAAATTCTGAATAGAATCGGCTGACGATATTGATGAAATAATTGAGAGGCGCTCGCATTGGGTGAAACCAGCGAATCTGTGGACTGACCGTATTGCTTTCGTGTTGACGATTTTTGCGGGCATCCCAAATCCCAAGTCGCGTCCTGCAATTGTAGAAATTGAGGAGAAGAAGTCGATAATGATCTCGTTTCGCGCAGTGGGACGAGGCTCCCTGAAACTTGGCGACACTCACTATGAGATCGAGTGCGGGGTCAGTCGGGTCTGATCGTCTTCCAACTTTGGCCTCATCAGTTTGGAATTCGTTCTTTCATTCATCTTTTCGATACCCCGTATTCGAGTTTTAAGGCTCGAGAGCATTTATTCGATAAGAATCGAGACTTCCGACCCGCCCTCTCCCCATTTCCGCAACTAATCCCCCATTGCATGATCTGATGCTTGATGCTCAACGAGGATCCATGGCTGGAATATGGGGCCCTCAGCGAGTATTGCGGCCGAATTCTTCGATTTCTTGCATTTGCGAAAAGTGGAGTAGACAACTTCGAGTTCTCTCACTTCTTTCACCTTTCACCCATGCCGTCCCTGGTGGTGCGAGCAGAGATCATCATCATCAGTTGTTGACATACACTGGTCTGCAACTGTTTTGTCGAATCGAAGTTCTCTCTGATGTGATGATACTACAAGGTTTGATTTCGTGCCGCAACATGCCGCGGGAACGAGCTCCGAGACTGTAGCTCATCCCCCTCGAGTGCGAACACCATTCGCTCGTTGGGCAGGACCCTCCTCCTAATGCAGAGTCGCCGACGCGCTATTACCACCATTGAGAATCGCTGATCTCAATACGCTGGAACTTCACTTCGAACAGGAAGCGGGGAAGGATATCGACAGCAGAAGATAGAGAATCCCCCCGAAGCGCGCTCGTTCCGATCGGCACCGTAGACTCTGGAATTCTCCTAGAGCCTCGGTTTTGCGGATTTGAATTGACTTATTCAATATTCATCCATTAAAGTCATTCCTTCATCGATTTGAGAAGCGAACACTGGGAGATTTTCTTCAATGATGTCTCTACCGCCGTCTCACATAGTCGTTTCGTCGTCACCGACTATCTTCTCTCAAGTACAGACTTTCCCGCAAGCCACTATAGTGCAGTCAAACCAGACGATGGTTCAAGTTCCGGTATCCGGGGTGAGTGACACATCGAGGACATAAATTCCCGAATTTCTAGGTCTCGCTACAGCAGGACCGTAGTCTTTCGAGATCAGAACGTCGAATATCTCTTCCTCTTTTCTAGCTCGGTCCTAGCGGTCTTGTCACGACCATTGTAAGACCGATCCAGAGCGTGATAACTCCGTCGGCGAGCAACATGATCACAAGCACCGCCCAAGCAGTGACAGCGATGCCCCAAGTCGCAGCTAAGGTTCGGATGGACTTAGCTTCCTTTTAGGTAGAATATCAGCTCCGGAAGAAAAGCACTGAATCGGCTTCGTCGCCTGGTCCCGAATAGTTTCGGAAGCATCGCTTGCTGAAGAAGCAGGAGCTCTTACCCTTTTGGCGTCTTGGACTGTATTCGATCTTTTGATTTCACTCGGCTGCCGTTTGGGTTGCTCACCATGAACACCCATGAAAGTTCACGCCTCTGCTTCAGGTGAATAACACCCAGGTCGTATCGGTTCCTGCGACTCAGGTCCAAACTCCGTCGCGGCCGATCCTAGCGACAGCGTCGAATTCTGCCTCTGCAACCGCGACGACGGTAGCTGCCAGTAATAAGATGGACGAGAGCAAAAAGAAGACTCAAATCCGAAGCAAAGCCTCCAGTCAGCGGCTTCGATCGCCCAGCGAGCAAACGAAAAGTGAGTGATCTGATAGATGATAATAAGCATCTTGTTCCGTGATTTGAGTCACCAGGACAGAGACATCGCCTGAAAGCGGTGCCCGATGCGATTGCATCCGGGAGCTTCACATATAATCGCAACCCGATACGATCACTATTTTCAGCGTTGTCTCGGTCTCAAAGCTGGAAGATCTTGTGAAAGAGGTGGACACCATGCAACAGATCGACGATGAAGTAGAAAATGTCCTATTCTCATTAGCGGACGACTTCATAGACAATGTAGTTAATGCCTCGTGTCTCGTATCGAAGAATCGGAAGAGTTCGATACTTGATACGAAAGACGTGGCTATTGTAAGTTCAATCACCACTCTGATGCTGAATCACCATCGACGGGACTCCCGAAACGTTCCCGGGAACTCATCATAAATGCTCATTTCTCAGGTCCTCGAAAGACAACATGGCCTGTATATACCAGGATTCGGAGGCGAGGATCTACATACGTACAAGAAGACAACGACGGCTGAAGCCCATAAGCAGCGAGTCGCTTTAGTCCGGAAAACCTTGAAGAAATTCTAGGGATGTTCATCGTGAGACCTCACAGGAACGTTATTGATCTGTTCGAGAAGCTGTTCGGATCATCCTAAGCATCTCTCCCAAAGCATGTATCACAAGTTGAATCGTGATCCACCCTCTCAGTCGCCGAATAAAATCGTCCTCATCGGTATTTCGCGCTGCGGCATTATAATTCCCAAATTGTTGCTTCTGGAATTCTGTTCGGAGCAAGCTTTGTAACTCGTCCAGCATTCTCTCATTCCTACTCTTCCCGCGTGGGATACAGGGAACAGAGTTCCTCCATGGCCACTCCTGGTCACCTCCTCCAATGACATGGAATTGCTTTCGGAAAGCCTTTATTCACCTCTCATCTCGCTCTGCGAGTGAACTCAAGGAATATACTCCGCTCCTGCTATATATATAGGTCTCATCTAATCCTCCACATATGTTGCTGAACTCGGGACGGGAGCCTTGCCTCCAAACTCAGTCGGTATGCATCAAATCTATGATTATCTGCTCAGGAGCAATATAATTTCGGGCTCGAGACCCCACATTCACCATGCGGCGAAATTTCCCCGCGCCCTATTCGTGCAGGGAAATCGCTAGGGAATGTTCAAAAAATCATTTCTCATGACTCATGAATGCGACGCATTCTGGACGCCGATAAAGGGATAGGAATCAGTTTTCTTGGTAGTGAAGCAGGGAGTCACGAAAAAAACGAAGGAACAAGGAGTACTGGAAGCTCCGAGAAGGCATTCGTTCGGAATTTCCCCGAGTCTCCCCCGCTGCGAGCGAACTCGGCCGTCGCTCCTCTCCTGGCATCTAAAGATCCTTCCCTGGAGCTTGGGGGGAACAGGGAACCTATTCGACCCTGAGTATGAGATGGACTCCAGAATCCGTTTCCACAGGACCAGACATCTGTCCTGCTTGCAGTGCAAATGTGGCTTCCTCGAAAGGTTTTTGCATCGCGCCCCTACCGAAGAAACCGAGATCTCCTCCTTTCTTCGCTGAGTTGCAATCCGAGAATTGTGAAGCCAGCTCCTCGAAGGTCACATCGCCGGACTTGATTCGCGATTCATATTCTGGAAGGGGGAATCCCATTATTGGATGCTCTAGGGCGAAAGGCTGAACTTCGGAACTTGCTCGGGAGTCAAAGAAAATAAGGCATGAGTGTTCAACCTTTCAGAATCGCCAAGGCTTCTTCTTTCGACCTGGTGATTTTTTCCTCTCGCCAGGAGGACGGCCTCCGAGAGTCCCTGTGCTTGACTAGCAGATGACTCGCCCTGAAACGAAGGACTCGAGATGTTTCATTTCGTTTGACCGCGCTCACTCAGAACTCGGGAAGGGGTCTGAAGCCTACTCTGCAGGCATGTTCGGGTTTACCTCCTCTAGAGTGTCGATGTAGCAAGCCTACCTGACTTTGTCGCCTTTCGGTTGCGCTGGCTCAGTGGGAACTTCCCATTGTGATTCCTTCGTGTGGATGTTCAGATAGTAACAGTCACCCGAACTACGCGACGTTCGCTTTTCCCAACCGGCCGGCAAGGGGGCATCAGACATAATGATCGACACCTAGCTGAGAACCTCCGGCGGAACTTGGTCTCGTCGATGCGCTGATGGATGATCGCTCACTTTCTCTCACTGACAATGAGTCGGGAGAAATGCACCAGTATTGTCGACTTCGACCCACAGCGCCCTACGGCTCAGTCGAGGGTTAGGTCACGCTCGCTCGCCTCTGGCTGCGTCACGGGAGCGCGGTTTCGACTCTTCGGTTGAGAATCCGATCTCCAAGTGCTTCTTTTTCTTCCTCCGGGAACCGGTGCATCAAGAGGTAGCTGTGTGGTACTTGGAAGCGGCTCGGACGTACCACGAATACAAGGCGTTCCTTCGCGCTGTCTCTCCGGCAACGATTCTCACCATCTCCCGAAATACGGTCGAGATGGGCGAACGTCATGTCTCTCCCCGCCTGGCCTGGCATCGGATTTTCGCGACTTCCGGCCGCTGCCGGAGATCAGAATGGAGGAAGTTTTGTTTACCTTGTGAAACCTTTGTGGTGCGTTCCTTTCTAAAATGGCCGCAGTATTGAGTGAGTGAGCACCACCACCAGTCCATAGCGGCCCAATAACTCAGCGCAGTGAACAGCTTTTCGTTGTGCGTCCACAGATATAAGTCGAGTGATTTAATTCTGTGAAAGGCCGGCCCTCTTGGCCTGCCGAACATCTCCAACGCGACTGAAATGGATCCTGACGACAGAGAGTTTGTTCCTCCGCCAGAGTGTCATGTGTTCGAACCATCTCATGAAGACTTCAGAGATCCTCTGGCGTATATCGCCAAGATACGTCATATAGCGGAAAAATCTGGAGTTTGTAAAGTTATTCCGCCACAGGCAAGTACCAAAGAACCGCGTGAGTCGCGAGTAAGAGGCAGCGTCTAGTTGCGGAGCGCCGCGAAACAAGCATAGCCATTTGTGATGCGTATAACCTTGAAGCCAGCGTTGAAAGGAAGACAGAAACGCTATTTTATCAATTGGAGTTGATTTTCTTGGGTGCTGACCGTACAACCTGCTGGCTTATGATGAAGTTTTCCAACTTGTCGCTTGTCTGGGCATGACTAGGTAGAAAAACGTGCGAGCACCTCCCGACTTGCCCATGTCTGGGTGATTGCTGAAACGACGAGAATTTCAGGACAGAAAAAAAGACTAAGGGCCTGAATACACTTCCTGAAGTGTAGAGAAACTCCGTCACCGTGATTTGTTCAACTTCGAGAATATCCGAGTTGAGCTCCAGCTTCTTAGGCCTGATGCGTTGAACATAATTTATTCTGTCTTCTGCGTTCTATCGCATAGCTGTGAGCGTTCTATACGCCATAAGAGACAACCTGATGGAGGATTCCAATTATTTCACCTGTATATGGCCGCTTAGCAGCATTTGACATAAGTCACGTAGACCAGCGGCCCCGCGAGGCCTGTGGAAGGCAGTCTGGCAGCCAGCCGGGCGGAGGAGAGGCATCACCTCATTGTGGCAAATCATTGCAGATATTGTCCCGCGATCTACGACTATTGGATATTGGAGGATATCCTCGCAGAGTCTCGGATCCGATCCTAGGGGCATTCGATGTCGACGGTAGCTGCTCGAATTTCTGATCTTTCGCCCTAAAACGCGAGGTCTCAACATCTACCGATGTGAGTGCTGTTCTAGCCACGCCGATCCCCGATACGAGTGCAGCGACGATTGATGTTGGCTTCGCTCGAAATATTCCGCGAACGGTTCGTTGCCGAGTGGCGGACGGCTCGGGATCAAGACTCACTCAGAGATCGCGAATAAAGCTGTATCCTCGGCTAAGAAGAGCCGAAGAATCGACATCGCTCAGCGGAGATCCGCGCGTACATATATTCAAGCGATGATCGCTTGGGTTCGGAGCATTTCAATCAATCAGTGAGTCAACCGTGACGAGCTCAATCGTTGTGCAGATTGGGGCGCAGAGTCACTACCCGAGGGTATCGATTTCCTCAAAATCATGTGGAATCCTCGTACCCGATATCGTCCTCCCCTGGAAACCTGAGGCTCAGGTTGCCCGGCGCTGCCCCAGACCCAGACTTGGCCCAGAGTATTGCTCGAGGATCAAGGGGATCCGAAGTGTTGGTCATTGGAGCAGGTCGATCTAGATTTCGCTCGAGTTTTCGATTGTCGTAGCGTGCGGTGCTGCTGCTGCTCCCCGACGAAGTTCAGTCCTCGTCGGGACGGTAATCTGATTCTTCGCTAGTCGGGGCCATCTCGGGGTGGGCCCCCTAAAATCCATGGGGAGCATGTACCAAGGTCCATCAGGTGGCAACGCGCCGTAGCGTGTGTTCTCATTAGAGGTGCTCTTTCCTTTCAGGGCTGGCAACCGCCTTTCGTCGTCGACGTTGACAACTTCAGATTCACTCCTCGAGTTCAGCGACTTTCAGAGCTGGAAGCATCGTCTCGATTAAAACTTAACTTCCTCGACAAAATCGCCAAGTTTTGGCATCTCAGGGGCAATAGTCTCAAAATTCCCATCGTTGAGAGGAGAAGTCTCGATCTGTTCAAGTGAGTAGATGCACGAGGAACAGAGACGTACGATTGCGACGTTTCGATTTTCATTATGTCTAGCGAAGCAGAACAGAAGACAAATCCGACCTGATAGCCTTGATGAAAAAAGCTCCAATCCGCTCACCTGGGTCAATTTTTTGGATTTCAGGCTGCATCGCATCGTCGAAAGCGAGGGCGGTTTCGAGCGCGTCGGGAAAGAACGTAAATGGTTCAGAGTTGTGCAGAAACTTGGTTTGCCCCTAGTGAAATCGCTCTCCACGGTATTGCGAAATCATTACGAACGGCTCCTCTTGCCGTACGACATCTTCAAACAGACTGGAGGTTTCGTGGCGCCGGACGAGAAACAGAACGAGTCGAAAGCGGAAACCGTTGTCGATAGAGACTACGTCCCGCACGACATTGTGCAAAGGCAGAATATCCCGCCTCCGAGCACAGTGAGCCAAAGAAGGAGCAAGCGTCATTGTGAGCCGATTGTCAACGACGAGAATCAGGAGGAAGACGTCAAGGACAATAAGGAACTCAAACGATTAGCCTTCTACGGAGCAGGACCCAAACTGCCTGGCTATTCGCCACCGAAGAAAAAAGGAAAGGTCGACAAGTCGACGAACGATAGCGATTCAGCCGTTGCTCACATCATATGCAAGGTGAGTTCCAAGAATCCTTCGCTGATGCCGGCGAGAAGTTTCCCCCGACAGGGGAAGCGAGGTCTCGACTAACTCATGATACGATCCGCAGGCTTGTCAAAAAGGCGACGATGAAGACCGACTCCTAATGTGCGACAAATGTGATTACTCGTTCCACTTGTTCTGTCTCCGACCTCCCTTACACGAAGTTCCTCGCGGAGAGTGGCGATGTCCGAAATGCGTGGCGAACGAAGTTCTCACTCCAAAAGAGGCTTTTGGATTCGAGCAAGCTCGTCAGGAGTATACTCTACAGGAGTTCGGAGAGATGGCAGATACGTTCAAGAGAGACTATTTCCACAAGCCGGGCCATACTGTCAAGACGAGCACAGTCGAGAAAGAATTCTGGAGGGTACTATCCGACATACACGCAGACGTCACCGTTGAATACGGTGCCGATCTCCATTCCGCCGAAGTTGGGAGTGGTTTCCCCACGGCGAATACCCCGGGACTCCTCCCCGAGGACCGAGAATACGCCACATCCTACTGGAACTTGAACAACATCGCAAACCACGCGTCTTCCGTCCTCCGCTACATCGACGGCGATATCTCGGGCATGAAAGTGCCGTGGGTATATGTGGGCATGTGTTTCTCGACGTTCTGTTGGCATAACGAAGATCACTGGAGTTATTCGATCAATTACCTCCATTGGGGGGAGCCGAAAACCTGGTACGGGGTACCCGGCGACGCTGCTGAGCAGTTTGAAGCCGCCATGTCGAAAAAAGCACCGGAGCTTTTCGAGGTTAGTTCCCTCCTTGTTCGGCTTCCCAAGAGCGTCCCAATGTTTCATATGCTCCGTTCGCCGAATGCGATCGTCGTGGAATCGTGGCGGTAACACGTCGACCCTCTTGTCGATGACACATTCTCGCGACATTTCAGGCTCAACCCGATCTCCTACACCAGCTGGTCACAATCATGAATCCAACAATACTCCAGGATGCTGGAGTTCCAATATATCGCGTGGATCAGAAACCGGGGGAATTCATTCTCACTTTCCCAAGGGCCTACCACGCAGGTTTCAATCAAGGGTGAGCTTTATTTGCGAGTACCTCGGCAAATCGCAGCTCTGGCCGTTTCGGAGTGTCCTCCCGTGGAGTCTCCGGGCTCGAAACGCTGACTAATCGACCAATCAAGAGATTCTCTTTCCTCGCAGGTATAATTTCGCCGAAGCTGTGAATTTCTGCCCGGCTGATTGGTTGTCCATCGGTCGCTTGTGTATCCACCACTACTCGCTCCTCAATCGCAAGTGTGTCTTCAGTCACGATGAACTCATCTGCAGAATGGCCACGGAGCCGGAGAGAATCGAAGTCGGTTTGGCGACGGTCGCTTTCGAAGACATGCTGATCATGGTCAAGTCCGAGACCGCTCTCCGGAACATAGTCAGAGACTATGGGGTCGTGAAATACGAGCGGGTTGTTTTCGAGTTGATAAACGACGATGAACGACAATGTATGGTGTGCAACACGACATGCTTCCTATCATCAGTGACATGCGAGTGCAAGGAGAACGCGGCAGGATCCGCGCTGGTCCCGAGAGGCGAAGACGGCGTCGAGCAGAAGAACAGCCTGATGACTTGCTTGCATCACTTCAAGAGTATTTGTTCCTCGTGTAAACCGGAACAGCTCATTCTGAAGTATCGATATACACTCGACGAACTGCCTGAGCTGTTGGATAACCTTCGGAAGAGGTCGGAAGCTTTCGATTTGTGGCGCAACAAAGTCCGCGAACTTCTCCGGAAGGATAGAGATCCGAAGCCCACACTTGAAGAGCTGAAAACCCTCGTCAACGAAGCCACGGAAAATTCCTATCCACTGGTCGATGGTGGAGCGATTTTGCGGAAGGCCGTAAGACAGGCTGAGACCTATGCCCAGTATGCACAGCAGCTCTTGGCCACTAAGATTCGCACGCGCCGTCAAGATATCAATCAGCCTGTGGGCCGACTGACTAAAGAAGAGCTGGCCAAATTTTACACGTAAGTAGCCTCGAGTCGAGTCGATGCTCTTTATTCGGTTGAGGTGAACGCCCAACGGTTGCCTCTGGCGATGAACCTTCCGGGGTGTGGGGCCTTTCCTCACTTCGCCGCCATCTCAAGAGAGCGATTTTTCACAGAGAAATGCAAACCATGCAGTGCACCATCAAAGAAACGGCTATAGTGAAAAGCCTGATCGATAAAGTTGAAATTTTCTGTGCGGAAGCAGCGACTTTCCTCCAGACCGATGACAGCGACGAATCTCTTCCACTCGACAAACTCAGGGTGAGCGGCGGAAGATTACCCTGCCGATCGTGTTGTCAGCATCTGTTCTGTGGGGAATCCCGGGCCTGGTATAACATTATCCAATATCTCTCCAGGAAATGACGATTCAGGGCGAGGCTCTCGATGTCGAACTACCTCAGTTGACTCAACTGAGATATAAACAAGAACGAGTGGCCTGGCTCCGGAAAGTAGGACCCTTCTTGGAACCGAGGAGAGACAACTGCCAGAGTCTGGGCGAACTTACGCTCAACGATATCCGCGGTTTTCTCCGGGAGGGCGTGAATTTGGCTCCGCACAGAAACGTTGAAAGTAGAGCCGGGCAACTCCAACAGATGTTAGTGGACTGCGAGCGCCACGAGGACTGGGCGGCGGAAGTCCTGAAAGCGAAGTGAGTGATCTGTTCGGTCCCTGTCCCATTTTCGGCCAGGGCGAATCAAAGTTGAGATTGCAGATTCCTGCTACAGAAATGTCCTTTCATTCAAATACTGATGTCGAACTCTTTTCCGTCCAGAGTCAAACCAACGGTGGCTGATATTGAGCAACGGCTACAAGAAGCATTGCGGATTCCGGTCAAATTGCCGTCAGTCCTGCTGCTGGAGGAAGCGTTCTACAAAGCCAAAGACTGGATTGAACAAATGGATACGCTCACCCCGAAACGAGATCACCGTCCTTATCTTGATCAATTAGAAGCTCTCCTGAACAAATCAAAGAACATCCAGCTAGGCTTGGAGCCTTGGTCGTCGAAGTTGGAGGAGCTGGTCACCAATGCGAAACAGTGGCGGGAACGCGCGACGAAAATTTTCATGAAGAAGAACACACCAGCAGGAGTTCATCTTCTTGATATTCTGAGTCCGAGAGACGATCCTCTCAGCCTGCGCGGAGTGCAGATAAATAAGAAGGAGGAGATAAGCGTCGTGAGTAGAAACTTTTAAGCGCATTGATTTCACGAGATGTCCGGTGGCTGCTTCCATTGGGTAGCGGGTCGAAGCTTGATCCCGAAGAAAATTATAATCTCACAAACAATGATCTCCTCAGGCGGAGGCTTTCGAGGCGACGGCGATCAGAGAACTCGAGTATCAGCGTAAGCTGCGGAAACACAACCAACAGAGACGCCTACGGCCGACGAAGCAAGGCGTGGAAGAAAAGCATTGCATATGTCACAAAGCGTTCAATCTCAACATGATACAATGTGTTCTGTGCAACGACTATTTCCACCGTAGGTGTCCGATTGCGTGTTTGTATGCCTAAGACCATTTTCCCGAGAAGCTCCGATTTAATCATATTATTCACTCGGCCTTGGGAAGCTCGAGAGAGATCTGGAACCATCTCAGAAACATTTTTTTCCAGTGGCATGCGTGCCTTCATCGTGTGTATTGACACCTGAGCCTATCTCGAGCGAAGCCTCTTCGGCGACGAACTTCAACGCCTTCAAATCATCGAAAACAGCGAGCCTCATTCCTCCTAAATTCTTGTGCATTTGGTGCCAACGAGGCCGGAGGCCTGGACTCGAGAACATACTGAGTTTGTTGGTGAGTAAAGCCCCGATACCTGGCTGCCTATTCCATATATATTCATTCATCCACCCTGCTAATGTCACCCTCCGCACAGTTATCGTTGGAGAGTATCCCAGTCCGGCTGGTCGAGGGCGAGGCGCTACAATGGCTCACTGATCGCGCCATGCTATGGCAGAACAAGGCCCGTGAGGCGCTGCGGAATCGCGAAGTGCAGGATGCTATCAAGAAATTGCATCACATTTGCAACCAATTAGAGCGCGGGGAAATGGAGAAACTCGAGGCGACGTTCGGACTTGCGGCAAGAAGGAAGCCGAAGAAAGGCGCCTCCACGACGAAATCGCCCGAGAAGAGTGCCTTCCAAGACGGCTGGTATTATTCGCGACCGCTCATCCAACTGTCGGAGAATCTCTTGCTGCATTTAGAAGAGGTCATGATGGAAGGGGATCTACTCGAAGTCTCGCTCGAAGAGACGATGCTCCTCTGGAGAATAATCGCTGTAAGTCTCGAGTAGGGAATGAGAGTTGTGGAATATTCTTGTTTCTGTGTCGAGAAGCCCCATGCACGCGAACTTCGGTCCTTCGCATTGATTTCGCAATTATTCCGCAGTCAACGAGGGCTAACCTCTCCGCATTGAGCACTGGAGCCAATCTGAGTGAAGATTTCCCGAAAAAGCGCGGTAGGAAACCAGCGATCCTCAGCGAAGACGGACGACGCCAACGAAAAGTACTCGTGCCCGCGGGGGCCGTCAGCCTCAATTCCCGCTTCCAGCCCACGAGTCATGAAGCGGAAGAGGACGCCGAAGGGGGAGAGGAGCTGTAAGTACTCGCGAAAACTCGAGGGAGGGGGAAAGAGAGCTGTTCGCCGACAGGCTGTCCGCCCAACCCTGGGATCATATTTCGATCATATTTGAGACAATATTTCCTGAGTAGGTACATGTTTCAACGCAAAACGCCAGAGAAGGGCATCGTCATTGCGTATTTCTTGTCGAGGACCGCGGAAGTCTTTGGGGGAGTATTTCATAGAGGCTGTCCTTCATTCCCAGGTGCTCTGCGGAAAAATGCTCTCGGCCGGAGGAAGATTCCGTTAACTGGGTCCAGTGCGACGGAGGCTGCGATAAATGGTATCACATGCGCTGCGTAGGTCTGCCGGACGACCACAAAATGGACGACGACTTCGTATGCGGACCCTGTTCCACGCTGATAACGGAGGGACACGATTCTAAATAGGATCTCTTCGTCGTGGTTCGCGTCGCCACTATAATGTAAAGTGTGTAAATATTGTTTATAAATATACATGGACCGCTGTTAGAGCTTTCCGCAGTCGGTGGAAAGATGGCTTCCTCACATTGGACGGAGAACAAAGAATTCTGAGAATCAATTTGAGAGCCCCTGCCTTGCGGCGCCAGGCGACTCTGACATTTCCTCATCGATCCATCTGAAGATAGAGCGGCTTCAGATGAAGGGGGAAACTGTCAAATCGTCCACGTCCCCCGTGAAGATTGTTTTTCTTACATTAGAGCGATCTCTCCTCGAGCATAATGGAGTTGGAGGCCGAATCCCTGCATCGGAGCTCCTGATTCTTGAAGCATCTTCGCTACGAGCTCGATGTCTTGTTCCTTTTCCCTTGAGTAAGAACTGACTTTAAACAGCGAATAACGAACAGCAACAAAATGTGTTGACTGCCCGAACGCTCCTCGAGTGTTCCCAACGACTGGAAGACGTAAACATGGAAAAGATCTCCTGTATTCCTTGACTATTTCCTTCGTCCTACAAGTCGGTATCGCTCCGTCACTGACGCACCGCCGGGTCTCGCGGAGCCAATCGGAAACCATAGCATCTCCTGTCGAGTATGATGTCATTCTCCGCGTGGATTCGAGATCATTTATTCGAGGGATCCAGTCAGATGTAATATTAATTATGGGTGGATCAGCGCGGTGAGCTGCCCGTCCGGCGAAGGTTGGATATTATGGAATAAAAGAATGACTCGGCTGATTCGCTAAGATCAGGTCAGTCTTCTGTGAAAACGCTATCCGTATGAATTTTGGTCAGACTCGGTTTCTCGAAACGATCGGGGAAATTGGGGGATCCACTAGGACTCGTCGACTTCGCTGCTCCAGCCCAGAAGAAATGAGCGAAGCCTCGGACCTCGCGTGCGCGATCGGGCCGAATCGCGAGCGCTTGCGCCCCACCGCTAGCGGCGGGTATCTATCGTTCCGAATTCGTGCCGTATCGTAGCACTCGGAGTCCCTCGTGAGACTTTGCCCCGACCATTAGGACTCAACGCTGCCAGCCCAAGATGGAAAATAATTGTAGATTCCGTTTGCAAGCTCGGTTGGAAAGTAGAGATTGTTCTGTTGTTCAAGCATCGAATTTTCCTCGAGGATGCTGAAAAATCGTGAATACTGCCTGAGCCGGCATTGTTCTGATCACCAGTTTTTCCAGCTGAGCTTCTGAGATGTGTGGCCGAGAATCGCATGAGAGGGTGAAAGAGGATTCTTGAGTGTACGGACGAGGCGGACATCGGGTTCTGAGGGATATCCTGTAGGTACATCCCATAATCCCGGCCATGAGTCGGTCGCGTTAGCTGAAGCCGTTCCCTAGAGACTGACTTGACGAGCAGGCCAGCGCTAGAAGGAGCGGACTCGTTCTTCACTGAGAGCAGACTCGATGCGCTCCCGCCTCTCTTCCACGAAGTCCCGAGAGTAATCACAGAACGATTCTGTATTGAGGAAGCGATTGATATTCCAACAAGACGTTCCTTGATGAACCTGGCTAAGGACCTCCTGTCCATATGTTTCGCGTAGCTAGCGAGTATAAAGGCGACACTCGCGAAGGAACGAGCATTTGAGAGACCATGATGAGGAATCTCCTGGTGAGCTGTGCTCTGCTTGCCCTTCTCTGTGTATTCACCAGGGCCGAGAGAGATTGCCAGGGATGTGGTCCCGAATGCGCCGGTGAGTTCCGATCGAGCCTGTCTGACCTGGCTGAATACCTAGCTATATCGAGCGGAGCGAGATTCGTCATCGGGTGCTCATTCCAGATGCGTGCCATACGGCTATGTTTAGGGCGTGCTGTTACAACTACAACAGGAAACGCAGTGTTTTCATGCCAGCAATCGATCGTGGGAGCTCTTCGCAGTTCGATATTCCCTTTGGCGGGAACCAGGTCTTCAAACCATCGAAGCTCAAGCCGGGCTGCAGCTTCGATTATTGAGCAGAGATTCCGAAAGTTACCCCGGAGCGAGACGGCTCACTCCGACATGATTCACTCAATCGGCACGGTCCGTCTCCATGGCAACCGATATCGCTCCGTCGGCCTGCGAGCGATCCTGATGGCTGATAAAGAGGTTTGCACGAAATAAAGAGTGCAACTCTGACCACCCCACTCCTTCTCGTTTCCGCCGTGGCATGCGCCTAATGCAGTGATTCGAATGTTTTAAGCGCAGCAAAGGAAACTTGGTAAAAGTCGCTGATAGTTTATTCTCCCACAAAGGTGAGTCCGAGCTTCGAAGGAGCGACCCTTAAGAGCTCGGACGCTCCCCCTCCAACTGAGGGGGGAACGTCGGCGGAGGGAGCTTCTTCTGAGGTCGTCTCCGACAGTTCAGTTGCAGCGCGACATGGTCTCGAGAGAACGGGAAATGCCCACTCGATGAATTGGTGTGAAGAACGGGAGAACTTCTACATTGGCGGGGGTGGCGGAGCATAAGAACCGCAAGGGGGAGGCGGAGGCGCGTATTGCTGAGGCTGAAAAGTCATCCATTAGCTTCGGCCTTGAATGAGATTTTCGGTCATGAGCTGCCCCGGAACTCTGCGTGCTATGCGTGTTCGATTTGAGACTAAGCATGGACTCGTGATCCAAGACATGGAGAGCCGGGGATGATAACAAAATGACTCCCTAGAGATTGGAGACTCAAATACCGGCGGTGGCGCGTAGTATCCGCCTGGTGGCCTGTAGGACTCGGGGTATGGCATCTGAGGTGCACTGGGGGCCATGTACGGCGGGGCATTGCCTGCGAGCGAAGGAGCAGTTGAAATCTCGGGAAGAATGTACGGTAATTGGGTCGAATCCCCCCGGCACTAACCTGCGACGTACGGGAATACTCACTCGGATAAGAAGGAGGGGTAGGCCTGAAGTCATCGTAGAGTGTCGGTGGGGGAGGTGGAGCGTATCCCCCAGTGTTGAAAAAGGTCGTAGTCGTGTTAGAACCCGAGCATTCCCGTTCTCGGCGTTCGCGTTCTCGCCGCTCGACATAGTTTGGGTCGAAATGACCTGACATCTGAAAAACATCCGTTTTCGAAGCTTGGTGCTTGATAATAGTGAATTGGAGGCCCAGACGGCCTCCTCGCGGGCCAACTACTCCTGAATGACCGGCGCGAGAGCGCCGATCGAGAATCATCTTTCGTCAAGCTCTGAGCATCCGCAGCGTCCTTTGTCCTGGCAATGAACGAACGTAGCTGTAGACCTCGATATTGACCCTAGGATGACTCATTGCTGTCTATCAGACCTCTGTTCGGAATTATTTGCCAGGATACGGCCGGTTCTGTCGCTAGCGACGGTTCTCAGGAATTTGGCAAGCTCGCAAGGCCTACGGAATCGGGATCCTCGTTTCGAGAAGAGGGTCCCGAAGCATTCTGAGGACAACTCATCGGAGAGGAGCGTACGCCACCAATGGATCGAGCCTCCCCCAATCCCGTTGATTCCGCCGTCGAGACGAATAATCGAACTCTTCTCGGACGGTAGGACGAGCCATCGATATTGCCTCTGATCATACTTGGGTCTCATAACTTTGTGTAAAAGTGTCTGCTCCGTATTCTAACATCATACAGTACACGTAGAGGAGGATGGACCCGAAGACCAGCACGCTGGGGTCCCACATTAAAATCTACTTCTCAAATCGACGAGGGACAGAAATTCTGACGAGCTCAAGAACTCACCCTGGAACCTTTCAAGACGCTTAGCGAGTGGTTTGCGCTTCGAAAAGACTACTTCCTCGCTGCTTGATATGAGCGTATTGTCGCCAACTATATTGAGCCTTTCAGCAAGCTGCGCGCGCCTTGCCTACCCGCTCCGCCTCCATTGACGTATTGACGTGCCCACCGGAAACGTGTTTCGGAGACGAAGATCCCGCTGCGATTTTTCAACGGTTAAGCAAAGCGGAGACCTACGCTCGGACTCTGCTCACGGCTGCCCTCGCGTGAACCTCGCTCCACGGAGCCTATGATGCTGAATCATGAGAAGCAGGGCCAAGCGAGGCCCCAGGGAGAACATCCGTTCTTTTAGGCATCATCGCCGTCATCCGAGCGGTGAGAAGGTTCGTTCCCTAAAATTTCTCAATCCGCCCCGACAACAACCTGAGATGACTTTGTATGCGTCATTGCATTCGAAACGCCCTCAAACCATCGCGGATACAGGCATTTTCTGTAGCAACCGTCGCGGCTGTCGCAGACTGAATGTTCCCCGGATGTCAGCGAACATCATGGCAGTAGATCGAAGATCACCGAAGGCGACTTGCCGTGAAAAATACTCAGGTTTCATAGGATCTGCATCCTTGCAGCACACGCGCTAGATAGGAACCGATGTCGAGCTGCCCTAAATATCCCGCGCTGAACGAGCTGAAACATGGTTTCCGACCCGAGAGAATGGACTTGCGAATCACAGTGATCGCACACGAGACAGACGGACGGAGTATTGGACCATTGTTGAAAAGGGAGCCACTCGAGGAGGACGCCCGGAGTCTCCCAGGAACTCCTCTTTATTGAGGCGATCAGACCTACGGGATCTCAGACAGAATGACTGAGGCTCCTTGATGTAGACTGCGAGCCGAATCTCCTGAATCACAAGGTGACGTCGTCTGATCAGGTGCGATCAAGTAAATCATGTGCGTTCCCGGTGCTGGGTATCAAATCTGCGACCGGTTATTGGTAGCTCTCTCCGCTCGCCAGCCAATCGTTTTGGGAGCTGGTTCTTGGGAGCTCCCCAAAACGTGCTGTTCGAGGTCCTGAAGAGAAGGGAAGCTGGTTATCCGCACAATACGCTCGCGGGTTTCGAGGATATTTCTGGTTCGGGATGAATGGGGCTTTGTGGAGTTCGCACCCTCGAGCATCGGTGATGGAATCCGGAAACCGAAACGTGAACATCCGTACAGTGGGCCCTCAAAGGCTCGACTCTCCACTTACAGTGCCGGAGATCACAGAATCATTGAGCGGAATGATCGGATTGAACGACCAGGACGCCAAATCCACCCAAATCAGGCCCAACGATCGATCGTCGCTCAATACTCTAGCTATATGGAGCTCCGGAGGCAATAGACCCAACCGGAGTTCGAACACCGACCCGTGGGGGCCGAGCGCTGCTCGCATCTCGAGGAAGCGTAGTCAGAGTGATAAAGAATCTAAGACATCTTTTATTAAATAAATAAAGATCTGTATAGTTTATTTACATCTATGAAAAACGGAAGCCCGATATTTGGCAGATGGCAGCAGCGGCTCCACTCAGAAGTATCGACCATGAGTACCTGAGTTCCGGCGTCCGAAACCAGTCTTTTCTAGGCCGCGCGCTCAGAGCTCGTCGTGATCGTCTTTGTCTGGAGTCTCCACCGGTTCGGAGTCGTCATCTTCCTCACCGACTTCATCGTCTTCAGGGGTCTTGGTCTTGTCGAGTTCCTCCTCCATTTTCTTAGCCTCTTCGTCATCCTTCTTCTTTTGAGCCTCATCTTGTTCTTCCTTCATTTTTTTCTCGGCGTCTTTCACCGCTCCCCAGGTTTCCTCGCCGAATTTTTTGGCGTATTCGATATCATCGGTGATGAGGAAGTTATCGAAAATAGTTCCGGATTTCACTTGCCACAAGTCCAATCCGATGTGGCAGATTTCCTTCTGGAGGTAAATTTTGTCATCAGCCTTATATTCGGGGTTATCGATCTCTGGATGGATCCATTTCCCCTTGTAGGCTGGGTTGTCGATTTTCTTGGGCTTCCATTCACCCTTGTACTCTGGATTTGTGATTTGAGGGGGTTCCCATTCGCCATCCATCTCATCGTCCCAATCTTCGGGTTTCTTCGCTTCCGGATCGGGTATGTACTCAGGCTTGTCCCAATCCTCGGGTTTGCTGTCGTCAGGATCATCGATTTTCTCACGTTCGTCCCAATCTTCCGGTTTCTTGGCTTCGGGATCTTTGATTTTCTTCGGGGGCAGGAAGTCCCAATCCTCCTCGAGAGATCCAGCAGCGACACTTTCATTGTCAATGAGTACCTCGTAGGTCTGATCCGGCTTGACGATCAATGTGTACAGGTGGGTGAACACGTCGTCCTTACAACGGATATCTTTCTTAATCAGATGATTGGTACCCTTGTAATTGAAAATTACGTGAACTTTCCTGGTACCAGGGCCACAGATATCGGGACCGAACATGATACCGTAAGGAGAATCTCCATTCATTTGCGCTTGATCGAGATCGCAAGGGAAGAGTTTAACGTAACCGCCCCCACAATCGATATTCTGCTCATGCTTAACGCTGAATTGGATGACCTGGAAGGAGAATCTCGGATCAGTCTTTCCGAATCTCGACGGAATACGCTCGACCACTCTCCCTATAGCTCCATCTGAGATATCAAGACTCGAAATCCATTCGTAGCCGAACGAACACCGCTAGTGTGAACTCACCAGATTTTTGCCTTCGTTGGTGAACTTATCGAACTTGCTCGACAGGCCGTAGAAGCGGGCGTCTTGAGACGTTTTGAGACCTTTGGAGATTTCCGCGTCGCCGTAGAATTTGCCCGCGGTTAGCTCAAATTTACCTTGATCATCACCTTTGAAAACAGAGTCCACCCATCGTTGTCTCCAAGCATCTGAAACAAACAGATGGATGCTTGAAAAGCGTCGATGCGCGCGGGAGCGATCGGCTGACGTGTACTTGAGCCGGTGTCGTCGCATTCAGGATCTCGACACAATGCACACTGCAGGAAAGGAATCCAGTCCAGAGCGGCTTTGGATGGAGAGCTAGTTCGAAAATTTCGACGGAGTCTCAATGACATCGTCCCGACGTCTTCGTCACATGTTCTAGCCGAACACATGGCCACGCATTGAATTTTAGGCACTTCCCCGGTTCGAAGAGATACGGCACGGATAATTTGTCATTCGCCATGTCGACTAACTCGAGACATAGACTCCGATAGCGGCTCTTTCTCAGTAAATCCGCAGATCTAGGCGATATTTCGTGTAGCATGTCGCAAACCGCTCCCTTTCGGGGACGAGCTGGCGTCACTTTCGATCAGAGTTTGCCTCAGAAATCTCCATCGCGCAGCGCAGAGCACTAAGCTTGGTATCATTTACAACCAGGAACAAACCTCCATCGTCGAACGTCTCCTTGAAGTGAACCTCAGCGAGGGTCGCCCCCACAAGAGCCAGTAATAGCGCACACCTCATCGCCGCCACGAAACAAGAGTGTGCCGGTATTGACGAGTAGTGTATTGTTATAGTGTAGGGAGATCCCACACGGCATTTTCTCATTGGCTGGCAAACCACCAATCACCAGCCACCACGAGCTGCATATGGGCATTCGAATTTGGCGCCAAAACCCATATGTACTGCAATGTGCGAGTTTGCGCGATTCATGTGTTTATGAAGCTCTGAGGAATGTTCCCAAGTCGGGGGGACTCGCGGAGTCGAAAAAAAGTTTAGAAGACACGACGGGAGCGATCATATTGGATGCAGCAATGCGACTTTTGGCTCTGATCCGGGAGATCACACTTAGCTAGAAGGAGACGTGAGTCGAACGTTCCAGAAGAAGCGGGCTCAGGGAGAGCGGGCATCAAAAATGCGTCTCTTCGATTCCTCGATTCTCCCGGGAGCTGAAGCGATTTCCGAAAATGGAAGAGCGATCCTGCCGCGAAATCGAGGATCCTTCCGTTCGTTAGGAGCTCCATGTGTCTAAATGGGATTATTGCGGAGGCTGAGTGAATTGATTCGGAGAGCCCCGGAGATTTCACGGAGATTCCCCCGTTCTCTGCGAACTAGCGTGAAGTTCTTGAGTTCATTTCTGAACGTAGGGATATCAATACTGCTGGAGTCTAATCGTGGTTTGCAGGAATGTGCCTGCACTTCAGACGAGGAATAATTCGTAAAGGAATCAAGGTCAGCAACGAGCGAGCCTTGCGCTCAAGCCCCATCCAGGAGTTCTCCTCAGGATAAAAACCCTGTGCAGATTCTCCGTTGGCATCTTGGACCGAACGTCCTGCGTTTCCCGCGGCACTTCCTCTGAATCGGAGTACATGGGTTTCTCCCGCAGAAGCTGCAGCTGTAGGCGTCTCGGACTTCATCTTCAAGTTTCGACCCTCTCCGAAGGGATCTTTTTAGACACGAGTCTAAGCCAAGAGCTAGCTCTGAGTCTCCTCGAACGGAGCTCGCGGACCCCGAGTAGCTACGATGGGTATCTTCTTCGCTAACATATCTGTATTCCACAACACTGGTATGGGGAAGCCTCCGCCAGGATAATTTTGGATTCCATTGAAGCTTCGGATGGCATTCCTGAAGGCGGAATCTCATTAGGTTCAAGGAGCTGGAGCAAATCCGAGGGAAGAAAGGCTCCCCATGGCTTGAACGATCCGAGGAATCGATTCTCCCGCGCAAGTTTGGATGGCTCTCGCCTAAGAGGTCCATTCCAGGCAGGTGCCTGATTAACTCACTTACAGAGAATAGGGCTTCACCTGGGGGATCAAGCGTCGACCTCGGGGGAAAACGGGATGAACGGTAAAATAAGGCGAATCATCGAGAGCCGAGTGGAATAACCCTCGCAAGCGTCCCCGACGGGTTTTGGGCGAATCGCGCACAGCGAATGTCCACTCAGAGCAGGCTGGTCTTCAAAAAATCGACTGATCAAGATCCACACTCGATGCACTCATCATGAATAGCGTCTAGCATATTGAAGAGGTTGACCACGGATGCGATAGAAAAATATCTCAATTAGAGCGGGCAGGGACTCTCTCCCGTCTGCCAAGAACTCGTACATGCCAACGGGTTCCGATCATGTGACAGGGAGGCTCATGCATGAGGATTCAGGCCAATACCATCAACGCAGCGTGGGTTGGGAACATTTTTCAAAAAAAATTCCTCGACTGAGTCCTCCATGGCAGCAAACAGAGGAGGCTCCGCACCAGCAGCTGACAGAAGGACGGACGCTCCCTCAGTCCGGAGCGAATCGACCCTGGCTCTGCCGGCATAACGACAATACCGCCATTCGTATCATACGTCCGTACATGTACGAATACGTTCAATGGATCCTAGCTCATGGGGCTGTGGTATCGAACCCAAAATAGGGTTCGATACCACAGCGCTCCCGCAAGGTTTGCGTCCGAAGACGCATCGCGTACAGAGGCCTGACGCTGAGGCTGAAAATCTACCATCCACGAATTCCCACAGACCGGAGTTCTTCCGCGTAGTACAAGGGGGGTTCCCGAGCGCCTTGCAAAGATGGTAGAATAAACGTTGTGAGCTCCCAGCTCGTCATGATTTCGTCTTGAAAACGAAGTGTTACCGCTTGGACTTGGAGGCTCAAGGATCCAGAACTTCCTGACGTCTGAATATATCATTTCTCGGAATCGTCCATTCATTACCCCTTGACACACAAAGACTCTACATTCCAGTAGGAATGTTATCATTTCGGAGTGCGTGCTTCTTAAGGCCCCGTAGAGTTTTCTTCTCAACTCACTCAAATTATGCGGCCGAGGAAGTTCCATTCGGATCTTAGATGTTATGCCAATTGATCGGGGCGAACGCCTTCGTCCGGATACTCTCCCCATTCCAGCCCAGTGTGAGCTATTCGAAGAGGTAGCCATCCGGGCTCCGCGAGCTCCGATCGACGAGAGTTAAAACTTGATCTTGGCTTCAACTCGTGTTTATGCTCGGAATCGCTGCTCCGCGATCCTGTGAACGGGAGATCATCATTCTCAAGCGCTAAATCATCGACCTAGATATTCCCTCTCCGGAGAGCTACAACGGGAACCTTGTTCGGAAGAGATCTGATACTGGCATTACATATTCAGCTGCTTGCTTTGTAGGTACATCTCAATAATTGAGACGACTTCTCTCGTGGCAATTGGGGGTTGGGGGTCATTCCACATAGGTCGAGAGCCTATCAATGCATTCCGAACAAGAAGTCGTCCGTTCGATCAGTCTCGGGGAGGAACTGCGAGAATGCAGAGCTTGCATCGAGCGCGATTCAACAACATTTGATGCGGTGCCTCGGAGGAAGATGTGCGTGAGACTCTCCGATATTTTCCGTTCGATTCATCAAGTCAAGTTCGTTCTGCGCATCGAGCAATCCTTCCTCAAAGCGCTCACAAGTCTGTTCGCGAATCATATGGAGAAATCACGGCCGAGATGATTCCGACTGGAAGAATTTTCCGAGTTTGCCTATATCTGCCGCTCGGTGTGTTGTGAACAATCGCCACACTTGAAATATGACCGGCGATCGATAGCCTTACTTGACTTTCGTTGTGTGAGCTGGCTCCACGGACCCTCTCCGCTCACATGCGGCGTTCTTGATCGATATGGATCTTTTCCACTTCGAGAGGCGTTCTCCCAGACAGCTCGAGACAGGTGCAGTCTTTCGGCAAGGAGTTGGAGTTATCATGTTATAATGTAGCACATAGGTTCCATTCCAGCTTCTCCGGTCAATCTCTCTCACGCCGACGAGGGAGCGACCCCAGAGAGTTTGGCTTTCTCCACTCCTCGTTTAGTTACTCCCCCTATCTACACGCGAAATCAATTATTTCGTGTATAATCATTAGAGCCCGTGACTTCATGCACTATAAAAACCGGAAATATGCATGCAAGTAAGCCCTGAAAAAGGGCCGATATATGCATTGAAAAAGAGAAATATGCACAAAAAGATAGGAGCTTCGTTCAGGTTTTATGATACTTTCTGGAATTGACTCAATCCTGCTTAATACAGGCGCAATTTAGGTTACGGGTTACAGTAGACAATGAGATGCATCTTCAAATTTTCAAACGTAAAACTCTGACGACGGGCGCTGAGAAGTTGCTTCAAACTAGAGGAGCTCCTTCCAACATCCACCGACGTGATCGGTGCGTACTTGAAGCAGGCTATCTCCGAGGGGGTCGCGACCAATGAGACTATCCGCGGAGCTGCCCCCCTGAAGTATGT